TTGGTAGTACAAGTATAAGCGAATCAGTGGGATGTCCGTTGAATTTACCATTTGTTTGCTTCGCACTGAGAATGCCAGAATCAATTATTCCGCCTAAACTCGTTAGTGGGCAAATGAATACAGGTGGAATTCAAATACTCGCAACCTGCAGACATGCGGATCCAGATGCCAGCAGTTGGGAGCAAGGACATGTGGGGTCGATCGAATAATCGAATAATCAAATAATCGAAATTCACTGGCACCACATTAGATGGACCACTGAGCCTCCGCATTCCTGTGGCCAGTGAGGTCGACCCAACCCAGTGTATGTAGCCATGGCTATAGGCACACGGATGTCCGTGTGCATCCCGATCCGCGTGCCCAGCTCGGCTACATCCTTGCACAAAATACACTGGGAACAATTGGATCGGAAACCCTAAGCTGCTGATGAGATAACTTTAGCCCAGTTTGTATCTGTTAGAGATTGAAAGCAAACACAAGTGTGATGCGTAATTATCGCTCAATCTTATTCATTTTGAATTCCAATATGGGTCGCTCAGTGTACCAGCAGCTCAATGCAATTCCATGGCCAAGTTGGAAAACAATTTGGGCTCTCCCCTTGCTGTTGCCATCTCCCTTGTGTTGGCTCTCCCTCTCGCTCTCGCTCGCCTGAGGCAATGACTTTTACACATCGCAGCACATGGCCATCTCGTACCTTCTCCCACCCCCCAGAGCCCCACCCCCCCATCGCCACCCAGCGCATCCGAGCGCGCTCAATTGTATCGCTACAGATTCAGATTCAGATTCAGCTTCAGCTTCATCTTCAGTCGACGTTGGCCGCGTGTAAAACTTAAAGACTTACTCACACAATTGAGTCAGCAGATACACTGGAAGAAAAACGCAACTCTGGCCCTGACTGCTAAAATCGCTGCATATTAGGCACGAAATTTGAGCATAATCGTGGCGTTTGTTTTGTTAAACAGAATGTTGATTTTGATATTGACATTCGAGTAAATTGTTTCCCATTTTAATCGATTTCGCTATTTACTTTGTCGTGTTACGCGGCTTTCGCTCACCATATGAAATGTTAAATAAGTAAATACACAATTTTAATTGCTCAATTAACTTTATCAAGAGGACAGTGGAACGTGCAGTTTTCAAACTTGACACACCATTGATTTTATTTGTAACACCATGATTCATTTTATTTTGTAGCATGGTATTTTAATGAGTTTCATTGTTGACATTTCAAATCAATATTTTCCTAGTTGCAATCAAATTGTGCTCCTCTTTTTTCCAGTGCTCTTTTGGAGCCAAGAAACTTGCGTTACCGGATTTTGGATGCTGTTCACCCTCTTCCTCTCTCTCTCTCTCTTCCTCTCTCTATCTTCCTCACTCTCTCTCTCTCTCTCTGTCCCTATCGCAGGCCATCCTGCTTGCACCTGCAGACAAGTCCATAGACGAACATTGAAAACTTTGGCCATAGTTTTTAGTTTTAAGTTTTTCAGCTTCGCACCTCGCTTCCTCTGCCGGCGAACTCCCATTGATTTCGCTTCGAACAAGAAATACATTGCTTAGGAATGTATTTGGGGTTTTAGTGCTTTTTCCCCGGTTTTGGTCGATGTTTTTTTCGTGTGTTAGCCGCCGTTGCAAACTGGAAATTCTTTGGAGCTGACCCAAAAATAAAAGCGGTTTCGGGGAGACTGCAACAACTGATTGCCGCCTTATCAATGGACCAACGGTGTTGGGGGTGTTGGGGGGGGAATGCCATATACTGGGTTGCGTATACGCCCCTTGGAATGCGGCACAGTGCAGCCAAAACTGTAATTCAATTGGCTGCGGATTCTGCAATGTGTGTGCGCTCGAAATGGGTCAGCATCTGATTGATTTAGTATCCGCACAATAATCTTGCTTTTGTGCAGAAATTTCAGTTTACTTTCAACCAGTAATTGGATTTGTCTTGCGAGCGGGCATAAATTGACCTACAGTCGTGCCTTGCAAAATCATAAATGTGTTTCCAAATCTTCTCTAATTTCATTTCAACCGCCATTCGTATCGATTTTGCTGTCTAAATGTGATTAACTTTATTTGAGAATGCCTTAAAATGACACAGTTCACGGGTAGCTTTAATCTGAATTTGAAGACATGAATATTTTATGCTATTAGTGTTGAAGCCTTTCGCTGGAATTGTTATTATCTTTTTAAGTAAAGTAAATCGCTTCTGAACTACTTAGCTTGCTGGTTTTCTCAGAACTTTCGACCGGTAATCCGTTCACGTTCATTTGCATCCAAAGATGTGTCTCAGTAATTCCACTTAATGAGTGCATAATGAATGCTACTTTTGGTGTATTTTTTTCGCTACTTTATGTGTGTATTTTTTTATTTTATGTTTTTGACAGTTGGTTTCCACTTTCGACAAAACTTGTTTCGTTTTGAGGTTAGTTTTCTTTGCTGGCCGTTTGGATGTTTGTGTGCGCTGTGTGCTGTCTGCTGTGTGTGTTGTTGTTTCTTGTTTAGCCGCTTTTTATGGCAACAACAACACGTGGCCCACAACGCAGGCCAAACTGTAAGCAGCTTTTATTTCTATAGCCTGTCTCTGTTGCTCATTAGGCACTTCGCATCGCTGTGTCCCGCTTCTGCCTTGTCTATTTTGCAGTAATTTCCAGTTGGTTGAATTCGGTGGGAGGCAAACAAAAAAAAAACAGTTGTGGAGGCTGCAAAAAGAGAGAGGAAAATGGGAGGCAGGGGAGAAGGAGAAAGAGAGGGAGAGGTAGAGGTCTTATAACTCCCACCATTTCCATTTCGAAATGCTTTTTGTTGCCCACTTTGATGGTCAATGGGGGATTTCGTATCTGTATCTACATGTGTCGGCCCTCCAACTATATTTGCCCTCTCACGCCCACAAAACACCGCAAAACAGCACAACAACAACGAGCCCAAACATCAAACGAGTAAAAAAAGTAGAAAAAGCTTGAAAAAATCGCAATAAGCGAGTATAATAAGAGCAAACACCGCACTCATCGCCGTGTTAATGGGTTAAACTGAAGTTTTGCCCATAATAATGAAGCGACAAAAAACTTTCCGTGATTCGAAACGGAATTATACAGCCGTTGCTTGTTTACGGATACAGTCAAGCCTCCAGAACTCAAACTTCCTGTACTCTGATTCCCTGCTAGATTTTACACCAAAAATATGGCATTCCGTGCTAATGGCATTCAGTCGCTTAATAAATTATCTTTGTAATGTGTTTAATGTTAGCTCATCTACCAATCGTTATTTATTTTATCTATGTATACATTTACTGCAAAGTATTTTTAAAATGTATTGTGTACAAATAAATAGCACAAGGCAAGGCGAATGCCAAGCTTCTGTGAGAAAATTGATTTATTAAACTCCAGTTTAATTTCAAAGCTAGCATCGGTTTTTATTGCAAATAGACCGTACAAATTGTTCACATGTCAAGAAAAATCTTCTGAAAAATCTTTGCAAACATTCCATGTGTGTATACATTGAGAGAAAACTGTACAACAATTGCTGTTCAGCCCTGCGCGGCTTATTTAATTGTATTCGAAAACTAAGGCACAACCAATTGCTAATCTATTATTTTAGATGTCACGGCACTGATTTACTATTAAACTACGGAACTGATTTACTAACTAACTTTTTACGGTGTAATCAGAGTCATGCAGGTTCGCCTGTGGTATCCATTGCATATATAGAAACCCCGTATGTATGTATTTATGTGGCTGTATCTGTGTGTCTGTGGCCAGGTATGGCAAACTAAACACTAACAATGTTGATTCATGACTCTGCCATAGATAGTTTGCTCAGTTTGAGAGCCACTGGCCACTCACCCTGCTGCGCTGCTGCACTTTTCTTCTGCTGCGGCGGCTGTTGCTGCGGCTACTGCTGCTGCTGCTGCTGCTGCTGCTGCTGCACCACAATAAAACAACAACAAACCAAATAAGTTACACCGAAAAAAAAACGAAACGATGGCAAACCACGTATCAAAAACAAAAACGAGACGCCAACGCGTGCGCGCACTTCAAAACAAAAGGCGGAAAACCGAACACTGAACACCGAAAACAAGAACGCAGTCGCAGGCGGTGAGAACGAGACGGAGACTGTGGGGCAACACGGTCAAAGCGGCGACACTGCGGCGCTGACGCTACGGAAACGTCGACGGTCGCCTCGCAACTGACGCGGCTCCATTGCCAAGCGGCCGCAAAAGCCCAGCTGCAGAGAATGAGAGAACGGATCGCGAGAGCTTTTTAACCGATTTGCCCGCTTCGCTCGATGTTCGAATCGAACCAGGCGCAACTATTTTGAAAAAAAGAGAAACAAACCAGACTGCTTCAAATTTCCTCTTTCTTCGTTTTGAAGCCAACAATTTTAAAAAAAGAATACCAATAAGCTGATTTGAGAGCAAAGTCAATTGCAAATACACAAGTGCAAATACACAAGTGCAAACACACAAGTGCAAAACAAGTAGGGCTATCTGGATTTAATGCGACCATAATTACCTATCATCTTCTTAGAGTGGTACTTAGTAGTTAGAAAATGTACCAAATTCTCAACTCAAATATTCTTGCAATATACAGACATTAATATGCGGCATAAAAATAAGAACTCAAGTTTCCCCCTCGGAATTTTTCCTTTATATGCTTCCTTTTAAGCTTTACTCTAGTACGCCCAATTATTCGTAAATTAGAGGGTATTGAAAGACAAAATGCCAAAAAGCTGCAAACTGTTTCTCGAACTGGGATGCAGTGGCTCTCGAACCGCACAGGTGATCGTGCAATTGGTGGTTTGGCAGCCATTGTGATTAAAGTGATTAGCGGCTTTTACTTAATTGCAGTGTGCCTCAAACTTTTAGGAAGCATTGCTCCAATCAAATTTTGTAAATTATCAGAACATTTGACGAATGTCAGCCAAATCATAAAGTTCTTCACAAGCTTAATTAATATTTTTTAAAATTATCTTATTAGAATTCAATCAATAATTAAATGCCCAAAACTTACCCAGTCGTGAATCATTCTTCTTTCGCACACGCAGACAAATGGTGCAGGATTTGATGCACTGCAGACGAGTCGAGCGGATCGAGAAGAAGAAACATATAGAAATTAATTAGGAAGGGTCAGGATGTCGACCCCAATGGGGAATGGTATCCGTACGTCGTGTATGTGGCGAATGACCTCCGTGCGCGATATATTCTCCAGGGTCAGGCCATTGACCTCGAGTATCTCATCGCCCACTTCCAGATTATCGCGATCGGGCGGTGAGCCGTATAGTTTAATTTTACCCTCCACATTTTCGACGAGTATGATGACATAGCCCGATAGTTCGACAACTTGTTGCTGCAACGACAAAGGATGAAGTGCTGAGTTAAATGGCACGTTGTTTAAGGATCATTATAGTTAAATGGGTATATCGTGAAAGTCCTTTAGCCACTGGGCGTATACTTAATGCGAAACCAGTTACCAGCTTCTTACCCACGATTAAAATACCTAATGCTAAACGATTCAAGCGCAAAACATTTCATATTAACATGTAGGTGCTTATAAATGCTTAATAATTACATACATCCCTTTTGCCACACGGCGGATGCTTAATGCCAAACGATCCCTTCGCTCACGAAATATTTACAAAGTCTTTCGCAAATGGCTAACATAAAGTCATTTTCATAAATGCTGCCTAAATAGCAGAGAACAACTTATTTATGCCACGGCATGTGGGCGGATGTGGGTGTTTTTACTACTACTGAAAACAGAACGAAAAAAATCAAATTAATTACACAAAAGGATGAAGGACAAAGGCAACACAGCCAGCCTGGAAGAGCAAACAATCCAACTTCAGTTCAAATACCCACACTTCTGCGAGTGTGCGAGTGTGGGAAGTTTTGGCCATTATTGCTTGGGCTGGCTCGTTATGTTAATTACAACAAATTATGCTCATGCGGCAATTGCCGGGGGACTCCATTCCCCATTCCCCCAGCCGCTAGTTCCTAGCTCCAAACAACCCAAGGCAATACCCACATATCCTTGAACCTCCCAACGCCAACGCCCTCAAGCGTGTAATCAGTAGGCAGCAGGCCAGTTAGTGGGTGTTTTTAGGCGGTATTTGTAGGTGGTGGCTCTGATTAGCCAACCGGATCCACCAACAGTTTGACATTCACTTTGCAATGGGCTATACATCTGTGAGCTTGAGTTTTTGTCGCACACTGTACTCAAGGCATTTACCAATTAATTAACAAATGGTAGCACTTTTGTGCTAACTGAATATGTAGCAATTTCCCCAAAAATAGCACAGTAAGCTTCCCCCTTTTGGTTCTGTGTCCTTAGAAATAAGATCAGCATGAAGATGAAAATGCTTCGCCAAGGGCAATGGCAATTTAAGTGCCATTCAGTGACGACGAGCAGCATTCCTCAGCTAATAAATTATTAAAAATTCCCTCAGTACGCCTCTCACCTTGCCGGCAAAAATGCCTAGAATAATGCATTGGCTGTCGCATTTGATTCGCATGGGCTGGGCAAAAATGCATCCTTTGCCACATCCGTGACAATTTAAATATGCTTGAAGTTCATTTCACACAAAACCCCAAAATGAAAGCGACACAAAGAGAGCAGCGACAATGCAAACCAAAATGCAAACCAAAAATTGACAAAAAACACTTGAGAAACATTTAAGCCCGGGTCCTCGACCAAATGATACAGGAAAAAACCAGGAAAAAAATGTAAATACAAAATGTAAATGACAAACAGGCAGTTGAGGTAAATATAAATGTGCAAAAATATATACTTGTACAAAATGTTACATAGAACAGAACGCAGAGATCTGCAAAAGAGTGTCTAATTGCAAAACAAAAGTGAAAAAGTGAAAGAGCGAATGGAAAAAGAAATAATTCGACTTTATTGGGTCACAAAAGTGAATAAGCAGGCGTTGCTGTGGGCGTGGCAGCGTGGCAGAAACAACCATTGTTGCAAGCGCATGTCGACAATAGCACTAGCAACAGCAACCACAAAAGGCCACAGGGAAAAAATGATGCCGTTTTCCATTGTGCAATTAGTAATTTTGCAGTGAAAAGACAGTTGAAAAAAGGCTCGATTAAATTAAAACGTTAATAAACACAAACAAATACACTTAATTGGCGGGCAAGTGTACAAAAAATTTGTATACCAAGGAATACAAGGCTTTCATTGGGTGCAGCCCACCGACACTTCGGGCGATGAATACCAAATATTTGAAACTGGCCAGCCAGAATTGAATAATAGATGAAACCCTGACAACGCACAGCTAGTTAAGCAGCCCGATTTGTCGCTGTGTAACGCCAACAGGAGGCGACAGGCAAAACACTCAACTGGAAGTGAACTCGAGTTGGGCTGGCAAGCGGCCAAAAAGGACACACAAAGGCGGAATGTCCTGGGCCAGGTGCTAAAAGGGCCAAAAGCAGCCGCACACAAAGCGGCGAATAAACAGGAAGACAACTCGACTCTGCATCTGGTGGACCAAAATGTGCAAATGGGCAGATGGGCAGATGGGCAGATGGCAAACGGGCAAATGGCAATGGCAATGGGATTGCCAAATGGCAAATGGCAAATGGCAGGAATAACCAGCGCCAGCCTTTCCATTTCAATCGGTGTTCCACCGACAGGGTGCTCCACCCTAATATTTCACGCCTTTTTCGTGTTCCGCTCCGTTGTTCTGCTCGCCTGGCTTTTAAATAAACATATACGAGTATATTTTGTGCGGCATAACGTGGCAAAAAGTCAGGCCAATTGATGAACTGCCACAGTTTGCCAGGACGCAATGGCAAAAGCGAAGCGCAAAAGACCAGAAAGGAAAATCCCTGGAAAATATGTCTGGCAAAATGCTGGGCAAAGGGAGCAAAAGGAGCAAAAGGGAAGGAGGCGAAAACCTAGGCTAAGCTTCATAATTATTGGCGCTTCAACGCCGGATGCAGGAGCCATCAAACACCCGTACAGACAAAACGCTCAGGCAGTGAGCTAAATACACCGCAGGACGAAAATATAGTGGCAATCAGTACAGAAAAATGGCCGATTAAAAATGTAAATTAAAGTGAAGGCTAGTTGGGCATATTATTCAAGCAATATTCTTGATCCCAGTGATTTAAGATTACGTACACTTCAGGCACTATAGGCACTTGTTCCTTCTCAGATGCAGCATTACTTAAAAACCCAAACCCATAGACTATTTATGTATTTTTGGCAACGCTGCTCTGGCACCACTACCATTATGATCCTAACTTTTGTTTACCATGCAACGGGGGATGCATGAAGTCGTAAGTGTGCTGGGGAGACTGACGAGGGCAACTGGCGACATAGACAAACTGGGGCACTTGAGCAGCAGCAGCAGCAGCAGCAGCAGCAGCAGCAACAGCAGCTGTGGCAGTACCGCTCCAGCCCCTGGACCACCCACTTCCCCACGCCCCGTTGCCAGCACTCTGTCGCACTCGAATGAAAAATGACAGCAATTACGCTTAAATTATGCGTTTGTTTTCATATGAGCGTCCTTGTCAGTTGTTCTTGTTGTTGTACTTGAAGCTCATTTCACACATAGACACATGGCAAGTACAACAAGGCACACACACACATGCACAGAGTCTGGGCGACAAGTTTTCCCCGCCTTCCCTTTCCTCACGCTCCATCCTTCATTCTGTCGTTCATTGTCCCTTCTGCTTTTCTACTTTTCTATTTTCCGTTTTTTGTGCTTTACCTTTTGCTCTGGGAAATGCCACGAAAACTGCACCGAAATTCAGTCGAGCGTGATTCGATGGCTAAGAAAATATATATATGAAAGCTACAAAGTGCCGGAAGAAGAAAAACTAATTTCCCGATAGCATACCTTTAGAGGTTAACTGAACTACTGGAATTGACAGCCAATAAAACTTTATATCAGCGGTCTTCAAATCAATTTGCTATCTTCCCATAAATTTTGCAAAAAAATCTCCAACGATGAAAACAAGTAAGTTTCCTTTTAGTTTGTTTGTCAGCACTGATAATTATGTCGTTTACCAACACTTCCCAACGAGCATTCAGTTGGTAGCTGTACCCAAAGAGAATAATCTATCTTAACTCCTTGTAATAAGAAAGCTAGCTGCATAGAGTGTCAAAACGACGAAATGAACTATCCAAATTAGGCCGTTTACCAACACTTGACTACCACCCAAAAAAAAAAGAGCATCACGAATTCCCTGTGATCTCGCTTAATTCTCCATTCGCTCCGCTTCTTTGCGCTTGACTGCTAATGACAAAGCCAAGAACAAAATCCAGAAACGAAAACGAAACAAAAATCGCTGGAAAAAAGTGGAAAGAAAGCAGAGACAAGAGAAGGATGCGGCACAAAAGGGAAAGGGAGGAAAGGAGCGGCGTGAGGAGGAGAAGGCAGAAAGGCGAGAACAAGAACAAAGCACTTGACTTGTCATTTTTGACATATAAATGGCGAAACAAATCTTTGGATATTGTTTTAAATGATGCACACATAGCTACACACACACACACACATACACATACACACATACAGACTCACACACATAGACAGAGGCAGCTAATAAGTGGCGAAAAAGCGGGCGGTTATTTTTGTGAAGGATGAAGAAGGATGTGAAGGCAGCTTGAATGGATATTCCGTATTCCGTGGGATTTCTCCCAATGGGGTTATGGTTATGCAACAAAGTAACACAAATGATACGCACAATTGTGGCTATTGTTAATGTTATTATTGTTGTTGTCCTGCTGCTGTTATTGTTTTTGTAGTTGTTGTTGCTTTTCGCCTTGTTAAAGCTGTATATTTGCGAGCATATGTCTTATGATGGAAGGGTCCTTTTGGGGATTTTTTTTTTGTTTTGTTTGTTAGGCAGATGACGACGTTGGTGGGGGATTTTTGCAGGGTATAGAGTGGTCCAGCACATGCGCAATTGCAGGCACCGCAATCAGACACTCACCAGCACACACACACACGCATGTCCGTTCCTTTATTCCCACACCACACCACCCACCCGCGCTTTTTTAGTCCTATTTTTGCGGCTCTGAATTAAAGGCAATACAACAAAAACAATAAGCAGATGAACAAGAAGAACAAGAAGAACAACAACAAGGGCGGAGGAAAAAAGGACACACACACGCCACTTCATTTCACAACCACACCCCCACTAATAGAAGAATATTGCCGATGGCCATCATATATAAAAGTTATTTGAAAATTTCATAGCAATTCATGTAAAAAACTTTCCCTGACAGCCGCAGAAAGTAGCTGCCAGCCAAGAATATGGCAAAAAGCACACATTTTACAACCGCACTGGCTGATGGACCACGCGGCGTATGCGTTATGCGGAAATTTGTATACCAATGTCATATTAATGTGCCCCCCTTTGGACGCCGCAAAAACGTACACCAAACGAGGAAATAAACATAAGGTGCAACTGCAAGCCGCAAATAAAATATAAATTAAATAAGGAAATACAAATTGTACAAAGGCCAGCAGAAGTCTGTTTAAATAAAAATCAGGAAAGTGCGAATTTTAGGAAGAAAAAACTATTCAAAAGAAGTTTGAACTACAAATTGTATATAGAATTCTACGCAGTGAAAAGACAACTAATCAAATATGAAAATCTAGTTTCGAAAAAAGAGCAGAGTCAACTCCATGAACTGGGAAAAGACATTGGAAACCTTCCAAGATAAATACCTTAAAGGAAATAGAAGCGAGCATTTATTTGCGTTTTGTGTTTCTCCAAATGACCAGATGTAAGTAAGCAACTATAGAAAACATGAAATTCTGGGAATTGCTATTTTTTAGAAGGTCAGTTTAATCGGAATTCCATTAGCCGAAAATAGACAACATGGAAAAACAGAGCACACGATGTTACAGCAACCAGCACAAGGCAAGGCTCCAATCGAAAATGTAAAGAACTAGACAAAGAGTTTGAAGTGAATATGAAATGCAACTGAAATTGTTTGCTTTGCACAAGGGAAACGCAGGACACAAAACCACACACAGAAGTATCGACCACTCTTCTCCATTCGCTCAGCATTATCCTTGCACTTAGGAAACGGCCGGCAATGAAATTCTTTTCGGAAAAAATGCTTGCCTACTTTTTTGGGCCTTCAAAAGTGCCAACTGAGTGCTGCGAAAACCTGTGCAGCGAAAGGGGAAACCATTGCACTCGTCTGATGGCCGATGAAGGTAATGAAATACGGTGATTTCCAACTACTATTTCTGGCACACTTTTGCAACACATATCACGCACAAAATGAAGGCGAAGGACCTGCTTTCAGGAGCGAATAGCAACTATAAAATGTGCCAGGCTCTGCGGAATGCATTCAAATCTACACATTACCCACATTAGCAGCTACACACGGACTCAAAACTAGTACGTTTATATTGTACTTAATTTAGTATGCAGTAAAAAGAGCAGATTTAGTACTGTAGGTACTTGTCCTAGACGCCTTTGTAAGTGATTTGCGGCATCTGCAAGCTTTTCAAGGATCAATAAAACCTTTTAAACAGTGGGTCTTCGTTTTTCGTTTTTTCGCTCCGTATGTGCGCACTGCACCTGTGTGAGTGTGTTTGCATCTGTGCGATTGCGAGGGCGTCAATGGCTGTGTGTGTGTGTGTGTAATAGCCCAAAACGGCAATGTTTAATTAAAAACGATAAAGGACACAACGCTGGCAATGGGCAATGCAAATAAGAGAGTGAATGCAAAGGGCGCTACAGAGGGTGGGCGTGTCCATGGAGGAGCTGGGTCCTTCGCAAATGCTGGAGCGGGCCTACAAGGGGGCTGCATTCATCAGTAGTCGCTCGATTGACAAGCAACGGATGCAGCAGTGCACCCCAGTTACATTTATGTTCCCCCAGCACCCCCTTGCCACCCCCTTACCACCTCGCTTTTAGCCGCCCACGCACAAGCCAAGCAAATTGAAAGCGGAAATGTGCACCCCCACTTCTGCCCCCTGCGTCGCCACCCATGTGGCCAGCATGGCAGAGCGAACTGACGAATAAAATTTCACTCTGAGTGAAAGCCATTTCCCCACTGGGAATTTGAAATACGAAATACGAAATACGAAATGTGCGAATCTTGACTCAAATCGAACTGGCGGATCTGCTCCGTTTGAGGGCTATGATGACAGGCGAACAGGGCCAATATTTATAATTGCAGTCGATAAACATTGCATAATTGTGATGTCCATCAATTCGCCGAGAGGTAAAAAACAATTCAATATGCTCGTGTGTCTGGGACAACTACAAATTGACAGGCAAGGCATTCAAATTTATGGTTACAGCATATACACATATGTACATCAGTTCTGGCTCGATATTTTGCGTCTGAAAGTTGTGTGCAACTTCATTTACTCGGATTGTCATTTACTAATGAAACCATTTCGGTCAACCAATATTTTAAGTATTTTATTGTGTCAATACCATGCGCCCAATACAAGAAGGCAATTAATCATACGCCGTGTTGTCTTCCCGCATATGAATTATTAATTAAACTAATAAAATGCATGGCGCATTCAAGTCGTATTTCAATTGTTTGAGTTATGGATTGTAAAAGTTCATTTGCAGGTTACTTCTACATTTTTTTTACATTTTTACCGAGATAAAGGAAAAAAATAAAAAAAAATTTTTTTTTATGTTTAATGTTTGGACACATCTTAACTTTACAACATTATAACATCAAAAAAATTACAAAAAAAATTATATAAAAAAAAATTTTGAAATTTGAATGCAGATTTTTAGAGAATTGCTTTAGAATCCGATTAAAATTGGTTGAGTTATGGACTTTAGAAGTTCAGTACTCGGAAATGTTTAATAAACTATATTTTTGAATTTCTACAAGGGGTAGCAGCATAAAATTGAAAAAAATAAAACGAGCAAAGATAAAATACCGTATTTCCAATGCAGAGTTTCAGAGAATTAAGAAATGAACTTCTGGGGCTATGCGCCATTCAAAGGATATAAGGAAGTTAAGCTATATAATATACAAGTATTATACGAATAAGTTTACACGTTAATTCGATTGCACCCACCTTGCCCTGGGACGAGGAGATCGTTGAGGCCGACGGCGTGCCCGAGGATTGTGCGCTTAAGTTGGAGCGGCTGCTGTTCGCTTGCATCGCGCAAGGCAGGGGCGCCACTTCAGCGGGGATTGCGGTGGCCCCTTGAGCGGATGACGTTCCAGTTGCTCCACGAGTTGCACTGCCTAAGCTCCAAATCCAACTCCAACTGGCATCAGAGTTCCACCTGTTGGCTACTCCTGGCAACGGGAGGCGGCGAAGGAGTCAGATTCTGATGGTTCGCACTGATGCTCATGGCGCCCGCAGTGCTCAGATGGCCTCAGATCGAAAGCATTTCGTCTTTGGATTGCAGCTAAATATAACAGCTTGATTTGGCTTACGCTCTTAGTCGAATAGTTCCCTAGTAATAGTTGGTGTTCTGGAAGCAGTGAAAATGCAAATGCAACGTTTAGATTTCTGTTGACCTTTGGTGCTGTGCTTCACAAAGAGTTGGCCCCAGTTCATATTTCAGCTTAAATCTATAAACGATTTCCATACTCCGTTTGGCTGCTCTTTTGTTTGCTCGATTGTTCATTTGCTCTCTCGACTTTGTCTGGAACAAAGTTCTGTCTCTTCCTCCGAGTGAGGAAAAATCAACAGAAGAAAGGAGCTCTACCAGCAGCGCAGTCGCCGCGCAGCGGCAGCGCTAGCAGTTGACTCTGAAATGGCCAGAAATAGGGCTAGGTCATCCACATCGTGTTGCCACTCATAGACAGCACAAAGAACAAAAATAATAACAAATACACGGAGAAAAAAAACTCATTTAGATAGGTTTAAAGGCGCTGAGTGTCTTGATCTACTGATCTACTTGCACTGTCTTGAATCTAATGAAAATAAAGTGTAAAACTTACAGAAGGCACTGCCAGTGGGCACTCACATTTGTTCTGTAGAATTTCAGGCCACAAAAATATCATAGCATACTTATGGACACCTCTATTCCAAGTATTTAAACGTTCCACAATCTACCACATCTAATTTCAAGTGATTTGCGTGGCTCGAGAATCTAAAATAGTTGCCCGAAATGGAAAATATGTAAAGCATCCGCATTTTCGAGTGTGCAAAGTACAATGAATGCTTTGCATGGACAAGGACAAAGGCGAAGCCGAATATCCTTTGGATGGCCAAAAAAGGATGCTGCAGTCACGCCCATCGAAAAAGGGGCGACAGCATTTCCATGCCAAGGGCATGGCTTGTAGCACCCCATTACCAAGCGCCACCACCCACCAAGCACCACCCGGTTTTTCGCCACTTTCGCAGCGTTTTTTGGATCCCAAACACAAGCACATTTTGCGGCGCAGACATAACCTCAACTTCTTGCGCGCTGCTTACCACGCTGCCGGCGTCGCAGTCGGCGTCGCGGCTACCAGCGGCAGAGGCAGCCATTTTAGAGGCCAGGCAACAGCTTTACATGGATTTATGTCTATATGTATGTGTGCGAGCGTGTGTGAGTGTATGTAGTAGGTATGTGTGTGCCTGCCTTTGTACAAAAATGTGTGTGTTTGTGTGTTTGAGTGTTAGTGAAGGCAGCCATCCGATTTTCCCCCGATTTTTCTTTTGGCAAGAGCGAAAATAGTGTCAAGGAAACTATTGAGAGACGGCAAAGAAATTAAATAATAGATTAAGTAAGCTGTCAGTCAGCGAGATGAGAGCCAAACTAATTTTAGGCTAACAGTTTTACATTTTCATAGTGATAACAAGCAGCAATGGAACGATTTTCGCTGATATCTCAATTTTGTTTGTGTTTAAGCGAACCAAAAACCCCTTTACTTTAACCAGATCTTAGATTCCTTAATGCTCAACAATGGTTTCCCTGCCATAAAGCTAATAAAATATGTTTAATCATTTTAATAAACTAGGAGTATAACTTGCCTCAGTTTTCCGCTGCTGAAACTGCAGTTTGTTGATTTCTCTGCGGCTGGTTTGCGATTATTTGAAGTAAATTTTATTACTGAATCTAGTTTGGCTTTTTTGTTGTGCGTTTCGTTTTCCTTAAATTTAACTTGATAATTTCTATAAATATATATTTTTTTATTTCCCGTTTTTACTATTTTTTTCCGTTTGGCATGCTTTTTGCATTCTCGCCTGTTTTACATATTTTCCTTGGCTTTTTGCATTTTGATCATTATTTTGTTGTATTTCAGCCAGGGATTAAAGAACGGCAAAAAAAAGTTACCAAAAAAACAACAAGAAAATAGCGACACACACACGCGCGCGAAATCGCACCCACACACGCGCGCACACACACACAGACACACACACACACAGTGAAAAACGCGCACGCGGCGAAAAAAAATATGAGCAATTTTTGTAGAATATTTTGTAGAAGAGCGTTCAAATTACTTTGTGCGTAAAGTTATTATTTATACTTTCAGTCCGGCTTCCGGTTTTAGCGATTACATTTGCATTATTCAAGGGATTTCGTGCAAGATGGCATGCATATCTCTTGGCAAATTTAAGATTTTCTTGGCGAGCACTCTCTTTTTGGCTTCTATTGTGTGTGATTAGTTGCGTTTGCCGTATTTTTAGCCCGTTCCGAAGGATTTATTACGTGCAATCCGCCCGTGCGATGCGCACGCCCGCGTCTGCCGCCGATTTGGAATTGCCACGACGTTGCGTTGAAATGTTGCGCGTAACTGAGTGGCACAGCCTGTGCTGCCGCCGCTGCTGCTGCCACTTCTGCTGCCACTTCTGCTGCCGCAGCCGCTGCCGCTGATGCTGATGCTGCTGGTGCCGCACAGCCTCACTGCGTCGCCGACCACTGCCGAGGCTGCTCTCCTCTCCGGGCGAAGCGAGTGGCGATGCCCAACGGAACAGGTCCTGGGCCGTAGTGTCCTGCGCCGCTCTGCTCCTGGCTCCAGATCCGGCAGAGGCTGCCACTACGACTACGGAGTTGCAGATGTAGCGCCACATCAGCCAGCAGCCAGCAGCCCGGTTTGGTCTGGCTTGGCTCAGCTCGGCTCACCGAAGGCACGAGATGCTCTGTTGCTCCGAAGGACAGTGGGGTTGATTATTTAACACTGTTTATGCAACAAAAACGTAAACATATATTTAAGCTACGTTTCTTTTACTTGCCTTTTGCGCATTTCTTAGTGAGGAAAAAAGAGTTATACATTTCTTACACACAGATGCCTTTTCTATGTTTTAAAAACACAAAACATTTTTATCAATTAACTGCATTATGTTTTAAATTATAAGCTGAAATATGGTTTATTCCCCACCAAGTTCCTGTGAGCATTACCTAAATGAAATTTATTTAAGCGCCTAATTACCCATGCATTCCACTGTGCGATGCCGACGCTGGACCAAAAGGATGAACGGCGCAGAGCCGCAGCCGAAAGGACACGAGCGCAGCCGAACGTTTCAAGGGGCCGTGCCGGAGGGGGGAAGGCTTAATAAACACATGGCATGGACTAGGCCACCCAGCATCCACCACCCATCACCCACCACCCACACAAGGGCGCCCGACGAGATTCACCGTCGAAAAGAAGAGAGACAGTGGCGCAGGGGGCGCAGAGCGGCGAAGGCGTGGAGGGGTGGTGGAGGTAGACGGATACACAGCATACAGAGCGTTCCGTTCCGCGATGCAACAGCAACATCATCAGGCCATATCCGCATCCGCAAAGCAGCCAAAACAGCCAAACCAGCCAAAGCGTCCAAAGCGGCCAAAGCAGCAGCTGGAAGACCCCAACCCGCCTTCCGTGAATTTCCCCGACGCTCTGCAAAAATCATGCGCAGCACGAAATTTCCGAATATCACAACGGAAAACATATGACAGTGACATTCCATTTGAAACGTGATTTTAAATAATTATTTCCCATTATGTGATTTAATCGAAGTGATTTTGTATGAGAGCTTGAACATTTAGTTGTTGGAGTTGAGGATGTGAGCAAGTGTTTTAATAATCAAACTAAGGGGAGCATATTGGTTAGTTTTCATTTATAAAAATTTATTCAATTTAATATCAAATTCTTAAGGAACAAAGAACTAAACTTTAAAATTTTTACGGTACGTGTACGTTTGGTTATAAAATTTTAATACCACTTTTCGCGCACTTTCCAAATTTTAAAATTAACCGCCAAGAAAAATAATCGACGCGATAAATACCACAGCTGAAAAGCTGAAAGGTGTATTTTTAAATACCAAACAGCTCTCGTTGACCAACACCGCTTTTATGTGATTTTTTAGTATAATTTGAAATGGAACTAGTTTAAAATCCAGCAATTGGCTTATGAGATCCGCAACAAAATTATTAAGAAATCCTTGTTTCTACACTAAACTTAACAATTGCCAATATAAATGCATATGTACAATTACCTTGAAGGCCATTCCAATTAAAATATTGTCGACGAACTGGAACCAATATCCCAGGTGAACCGCAAATTTAACCAGTTCACTTGGCTGGGGCCAAAGACCAGTTCGATTATACTAGTTCACATTTGAACAGTGCAACTCTAGTTTTTTTTTTTTAATACATATGTGTTTCAAAAACATATGCAGAATCGGGCAAATAAAACGGATATAACCGATTGCACGGGATCAAGGATAGTTCAAATTAGCCGACAACGTTGACGGCGACTGCGACTGCGAGAGAGCGACCATGGTGTGCAGCGCGTGTGCGTGTGTGTGTGTTTTGTACCGTGTTGTCTGATTGTGTGCCGTTGTTGTTGTTGTTGTTCTTGCTGTTGCTGTTGTGCGTGTGGTCGACGAACGGATAGTGGGACACAACGGCAGTGGACAATCCGGTGGCGGAGCGATCCGGTGGGCAGGAGGTCAGGATTAGGCGCAACATCCTTACCCGTAAGCTGACCCCACCCCACCCCCTTTGGCAACAAACATTACTAAGCTGCTGCTGCTGCTGCTTCTTCTTCTATTCTTCTTCTCCGTCTTCGCCCCTTTGCGTTTTTATCTCTCTTTCACACACAGCGAAACAATAGCAAGTTGAAACGAGGGAAGAAGGCAAGAGAAAACAACAAAAACGGAGAAGCAGAAAACAAAAACAAAGAAGTGGTTCGGTGTTTCCATGTCGCCAACTGTGGACCTTTGATGCCCTCGCAGGTCGCCCGAGGACTGGACACCACCAACATGCTGCCGATCAGCGAGGAGCAGCAGCTGCAACAGCAGCAGCAGTTGGAGCAACTGCATCATCAGCAGATACCAGAGATTCCAATACCAGATCTAGATCAAGTCGAGACCCAGGTGGGCGATGGCAGCCTGTGGACCGCTCTGTATGACTACGATGCCCAGGGCGAGGATGAGCTGACCCTGCGGCGCGGCGAAATCGTGGTGGTCCTCTCCACGGACAGCGAAGTATCTGGCGATGTGGGCTGGTGGACCGGCAAGATTGGAGATAAGGTACGCAGTTATACAATGTCCCTTGAAGAGCGTCCTAATTAAACCACTAATCCCCTTCAGGTCGGTGTCTTCCCCAAGGACTTTGTCACCGATGAGGACCCACTGCAATTGAATGTCTCGTCCGCCATTGGTGACATCCAGCCGCATGAGATCGAGTACAATGAGCTGGACATCAAGGAAGTCATCGGTTCCGGCGGCTTTTGCAAAGTCCATCGTGGCTTCTACGATGGCGAAGAGGTAGCCATCAAAATTGCCCATCAAACGGGCGAGGATGATATGCAAAGGATGCGGGATAATGTCCTGCAGGAGGCCAAACTATTTTGGGCCCTCAAGCACGAAAACATAGCAGCCTTGCGAGGAGTATGTCTGAATACCAAACTCTGTCTGGTGATGGAGTACGCCAGGGGAGGAAGTCTTAATCGCATACTAGCCGGCAAGATACCACCCGATGTCCTAGTCAACTGGGCCATTCAAATAGCCAGGGGCATGAACTATCTGCACAATGAGGCGCCCATGTCGATCATACATCGCGACCTCAAGTCCTCCAATGTGCTGATCTACGAGGCAATCGAGGGCAATCATCTGCAGCAGAAGACGCTCAAGATCACGGATTTCGGTTTGGCCAGGGAGATGTACAACACGCAAAGGATGAGTGCCGCGGGCACATACGCTTGGATGCCACCGGAGGTCATCAGCGTCAGCACCTATTCCAAGTAAGATTCCTTTTTTATTTGGGTTCCTCTCTACCTAATTAACAAAACTCTGTATCCGCCAGATTCTCCGATGTTTGGAGCTACGGTGTGTTGCTGTGGGAACTAATAACGGGCGAGACGCCGTACAAGGGCTTTGACCCGTTGTCCGTGGCCTACGGCGTGGCTGTCAATACGCTGACCTTGCCCATACCAAAAACCTGCCCAGAGACCTGGGGAGCCCTGATGAAAAGTAAGTGATGCAATGCAATGGACTTGAAGTATTTGAATGTCATTATACGAAATCCCGCAGGCTGCTGGCAAACTGATCCGCACAAGCGACCTGGCTTCAAGGAGATTCTCAAACAGCTGGAGAGCATCGCCTGCTCCAAGTTCACCCTGACGCCCCAGGAGTCTTTCCACTACATGCAGGAGTGCTGGAGAAAGGAGATCGCGGGTGTGCTACATGACTTGCGCGAAAAAGAAAAGGTACCATCTGGCTGGAAAACGCCAGGCAACCCGACCATATAAACTCCTAAACCTATTAGAGTTGCTCTAGATCGTTTCTAGACCGTTCCTTGTTGGCCTTACGCCGCGCTCTTGAGTTCTTCCATAGTTCCCCTCATTTCTCCCACTTGGTCGTTGATGAAATTCTAATAATTTGGTATATACTTTCTCTCCAAAACAAAACAATACAAAATTCCCCTATTATCCAATAAAACATCCAACGACGTTAAGCGTTTCCAAACCATCGAAGAGGTAAGCGCGTCCAACAGGTTTCTCTTGCCCGCCGTTTGCGTTTCAGTTGCGTTGCGTTGCGTTGCGTTTCTTTCTGTTGTTTCGTTACATTACTTTGCTCTATTTTACCCTAAGTTATCCTGTTTTTTAACTGGCTGGATAACTCCCGCGATAGAGCCCCTCACAAGCCAACAGCTGCATGGTTTCTAGTTCCTAGTTACTGCTATTTTCTAGCACCAAACTCCCCTGTACAGTGACCAAGCTTCACCCAAACTAACCCGCCACGTTCCGTCATGTTATTCCCATTTAATCCCGGCAGGAACTGCGCAACAAGGAGGAGCAGCTGCTCAGAGTGCAGAACGAGCAGCGCGAGAAGGCGACTCTTCTGAAAATCCGGGAACAGAACCTGCGCGAGCGTGAAATGGTGCTGATCGAACGGGAGCTGGTCATGATGCAACCGGTGCCATCGAAACGCAAGCACAAAAAGGGCAAAAAGGTGTGTGATTTTGCTTATAACGAAGTTCCTTACATTACAATCTTATATCTGCATTATTCAGAACAAACCGCTGCAGATATCGCTGCCCACGGGCTTCCGGCACACGATTACGGCCGTACGCGACAAGGCGGAGCAGCCTGGATCACCTTCCTTCTCCGGACTGCGCATCGTGGCACGTGAGTACTGGGGATTCCCCTGCATCCGACCCAGAGATCTGATTACCATGGGTTTATTAGATCACACGTTCAAACTTACGCATTTGTAGCCTATTAAATTACAAGATTAGGGTTGCTTCCACATAAAGTGATAAATCGTATGATGTTCGAGATGAATCATTCTTTCAACCAAAAATACTATAGTTTATATGATATAGTTGTATGATATATGCGCTGGACTTAACTCTATATATAGCTCTAGTGAGTATTCAGTGCATCATGCGGGTCTAGAGATAAGATTACGCCTCGTATCAGTGGCAAAATGAACTAGATATTTTTCATATTTTTGGTATAATTCTTTTTAAATGAGTTTTTGTATATTTAATTGATTTGCGTTTGGTTTTTTTCGTTTTATTTTCGTCTTATGTTCCGTATTATTTTGATGGCTTTGGGGTGAATCAGTGACCGATGGGCACAAGGGCAAGACGTGGGGCCCGTCGACGATGCACCAGCGGGAGCGATCCCTACTGCCTTCGCAACTGGGCGGCGGTCAGCCGGAATGGCCCGCCCAGACCTCAACCCACTCCTCCTTCAGCAAGAGTGCTCCGAATCTGGACAAGAAGCAACAGCAGCAGAACCAGCAGCAGGTGGCCTCGCTGACACCGCCGCCGGGTTTGGGAACTTTGGGTGGAAGTGGAAGTGGAGGCGCTGGTGGGACGCCGGCCACGCCCTTGTTGTACCCAGGTATACCCTTTATACTAACGCGCCCCAACAACAACAACATTGGCAATTGTAAAGCCATCACCACCACCATCACAACCACCACTACCAACAACAACAACAGCATCTCCGCCAACAACAACAATCAGCTAAATAATAATAGTACTATTAATAGCAATAACAATAACAGTCAAACTAACCTGACCTCCCAGCCGAACACGATAATCGTCCTCCAGAACGGGCGGAGCAACTCCAACAGCAGCACCAGCCAATCCCCAGTCAAGACCTATCATCGCGCCAGGAGTCAGGAGAACGGACTGGATCATCCGCATGCCTACCAGCCACCACCACTCTATTTGGTAACGGATGACAGCTCGGAAACGGACACTATGGCCAGTCCGACCGGCTGCTTTCACTTCCTCAAGTCTGGGAACTCGTCCGCGGCCAGTGGTGCAGTGCATATGCATCGCTTTGGCGGCAGTCTGGGCAACAGTCCAGCCGTGGGCAGAAAGAAGCATTCGCTGGACAGCAGCAGTCACCATCCGCCCCCAATCAGTAGCAATAGCTTTGCACTGCCCAACCAGTTAACTCTGCCATCGGAAGACAACAATACGTATGACCATGCCTTCTATCGGGATGTGATCAAGAAGATGTCCATGGCCAGCAGCGAAAGGGTGAACTCCAAGTCCAGTGGCGACCTAACCATGTACAACTCCAGCACACCGCTGACTGCCAGGGATTGCGATGATGCGGAAGAGGCGCTCGAGGGTGGTCGCTTTCAGCGTAACTTCTCCGGCTCGCAGTTTCCACGGCACTGCTTCTTCACCAGGCGGGAAGAAGGGGAAGAGGAGGCGGAGTTGGAGGTGGACACAGCAGAAGCGGAAGACGAGAGTCAAGTGCCGCCCTCTCAGATGCGCCAAAACTCCACCACTTCGCGCAAGAGCTCAGTGACCTTCCAGAGCGTCAGTTTCGAAGAGCCAGATTTTGTGGCCACGCCACGAACGCCTGCCAGATCGGATCTATATACATCCAGTGCCTCCATTAGCTTCGCCACCTATCGCTCCGCCTCGCCATCGCTGTCCTCGTCCTCCACCACTGCTTCCGCCTCCCCCTCCATTGCCTCTACTGAAGCCGTGAACGGCTATCACCTGCAGGAGAACTCCATACTGAACACGCGTCGAATGCAAGATGTCCAGCCGCATCCCGATGTCATTAAGCAGAAGGAACACTTGCGGGCCCAGGAACAGCGCATGCAGAGCAAGAACCAAAAGAAGCGGCGGCCCAAACACATTACCAAATCCAAGTCTGTTGAGGCGCCTGTCGAGGCACAGCACCACATTGATGATCATAATGATCCCCAGCACCAGCACTCGGCTGGATCGAGCAAGATCCGCGCCTTCTTCAATCTGTTCACGCGCTCGCGAAAGCAGTACAGCAAGCTGGCGGAGCACAACATGGTCGGTGGCTCCGAGTTCTGTGCCATTGATCCCTATCAAACCGATCTGGCCATGGGCGGAAGCAGTCGCTCCCTGAAGCGCAAGGGCAAGAAGCCGCAGACGCAATCCTGCGAGCAACTGGAGCGCTGCTGAAGTACCACTAAGGCAGGAGTTGTGAGCTGTGCTGCTGTTGGAGTTGGACGCCAGATGAGAACCGCCTAATTAGCTCATTGTTTTATATTAAAACTGTAGACTAAGTCAGACGCAAAAGATTAAAGCGATGAAACACCAGACGACAGAAGGACTTCCTCTGCGGATTAGCCCTAGCTAATGTGCCAAAATAGGAGGGCCCAGATACCCGAATCCCCGTCTAACGAAACCACTAAACGTAAAACCAAACTCCCCTGTCCGAGGTTGGCATTTCACAATAACCGAATTGTTCCTAACGAATGCAATATGATATGCGAAACTCACACACAAGACATCCCATTAGTGCAGTGATTTTTGCCAGGGGAGCGGCTAGAAAACTGCAAGATAGTACAGAGTGAGGACGAACCTTTACGGATCAAACATTTACGGATAGACTAACGCCGCTTATACGTAGGCATCAGAAACAAAAGAAAAACATTTGCATGGGCCAATGGCAAAATATTGAACTAAACCATATACATAAATGTGTAACAATTGGATTAACCTTAAGGAAACCATATTGCTATATTTATACCGATGCGTAAGTGCGTCCTTACCTTACATTACACACATCTTAGTTGAACTAAGTTCTAGTTTTGTAGGAATTCGAACTTTTTTTTGTGTCCAGCGAGAAGCCTTCTCCTCTTCTCCGTTTCTCCTTCCATGTAAGAGATATTTTCCAAATTTCCATCGCCTTTCGCATTTCGTTTGGCCTGCACTTAACGAAAAATTCGCAAACGATTTGCGGTGCATCTTAATTTTAATATTATATTCGACTTTTTTTGTATTTTGAGCACAGTTTTATTTACATTATGCAATCGGGTTTTCCAATTTATTTATTTATGATTTCTTTTACAAAAGCACAAGAGTAATCGCGCAAAACAAAAAAACCTGTGATCAAAAAACGATGATGAAACGAAAAAGAAATGATAATTTTTTTGTATTATTTTTATGAATATTTTCAATTGTATATTTATACTTCATTTTACGATTTGTTCATTCTACGTTTAGTGCTCGATTCTATTTCAATGTACTTTGTATATTACTGTATTTTCCATGTTGGGGCCAAGCCATCCCAAAAAAAAACAAAAATAAAAAGAAACTATACCTAGAAACAGAAATCCGACAATAAAACCAACTTAAGAGAATCTGCCGACCAGTTTTGATTGCCTCGCAGCCGAAAATCACAGAGAACGTCCAATAATCACACGAACATTTCAATTTGTATTGCTACGATTATTATATTACTTCTATAATTTAACGAAAATTTGGCATGTTAAGAATGGATTTTCTCTGTGCTTGAGCACAATCCCCAGTTGGACAGAGAGATTAACCATTAGTAGGACGAACAGAGTCTCCTGGTATGCGGTGGTTAAACTTTGGTGTTGCCTGCGGTTACTATCCATCTACTCTCCCGACTATCCGATTACCGCCCATATCCCAGCCACCGATCCCCAAACCAGAGCCATATTCCGTAACTCAATCATGTCTCATATCCGCCTTGGATGCTGCCGACCAACCAGGATACCAGGGCAATAGCAAGATGGATGACTGGCGTCCGGGGGCCACCAACATGCCGATTATGTCGCCATCGCCGTATCTGCTCAGCCGTTTCACCAGCAACGTACCCCTGCCGACGCTCTACGCCGGCGACTCTGCGCGGAAGCCGAAGCTCTCCGTGATCGAACTGCTGCTGTACAACATGGCCTCCCTGCTGGCGGGAGTGGCGGCCGGATACGATGTCCGGATGTCGAACGTGTCGCCAGTGCATCCCACTTTGCTGAGCGAAGTGCCTGCCCTGAAAGCGGCACCGAAAGCAGCAATCACCGGTCCGGAGGAGGTGGAGTCGCAGCCGGAGCAGACGCTGGAGCTGCAGGTGGATGCGGCACTGAAACAGCAGGAGGGCGAACAGCAGGATCTGAGGGAAAGCACGCCCCGGAAGATGGCCACACAAGCCAGGTAAGTGTTGAACGAAACTAGCGCGAATTCTTCAGAACTAAAGCTGTATCTGTATTACTGCCCCACAGATTTGCTGGCATTGAAGCTCCGGTCAGCAAATCGCAGCCCACATCCCTGGCCCGGCGAATCGGTGGCAGCCAGCCATACTACACACCTGTGCAGCGGACACCACAGCATCAGTTGCACCACCACCAGCAGCAGCAGCAGCACCACCACCACCAGCTCCTCCACCAACACCCACACCAACCACAGCCAGTGCCATCGGCCGTAGTGACAACAGTAGCGCCATCACAACCACCAGCCGTGGTGAGTGCACTCTACGCCGGAACCCAGCCACCGACGCCATCGCCACGCCGTAAACTGAGCAACAGCAGCTTTGGCAACGCCAATCCGCAAGCGGATGCCTTCGAGGAGTTCCGTGTGGGCGGTGGCATCGGTCCACCGCCACTTTATGCGCCAGCCGATTACCTGAGAAACGGACCCAGTTACTCCAACGATGGCGGAAACTACCGAAATGGTTACTTTGGTGAGTTTTGGGGAGCCACTTGACAAGAAGGTGCTAACCCAATTGTTTTCTTCCCCGCTGATAGGTTCCAATTACTTTCCATACCGGCCGGAGTTGAACTACAGCTACGAGCGTGACTGCAAGTCGTACCCGGACTATTCCTACGACTATAACCATCGGCTGCCGGACTACTACGATTACCAGTACGAGGCGCCAGTGGTGCCGCTGCCCGTGACCGTTCCCTGTCCGGTGAGCCAGACCCGTACACCACCGCCCCGGGTTCCACAAATGGGCGTCAGTGCGGCCGGACACCGACGCACTCCCTCGACCGTTTCGAATAATTCAAACGTCCTTCTGGAGCACGAAGAGCTGCTGTGCTACGACTACAACAATCTCAATCTGAATGCGGAGTACGAGAGGGAACGCGAGCGGGAGCGGGAGCGCGAGCGCGAGCTTGAGCTTGAGCAAGTGCCTCCACCCACAAAGCAGGAGCTGTACGCCGGATCACCGAAGCTGCTAAACCGCCTCATCCACAGTCCGCTGCCGATGACCAAGAGCAAATATGCCACGGCGGCAGTGACGCGACCGGCCAGTCTGCCCTTCGAGCAGCATGCGCTTTCGCTGGGCTACCAGCAATCAGGTGCGGGTTCGGTGGTGGCTGCGCTGCCACCACCGCTGGCCGGCCAGTCCAAGCTGCGCAGCTCGCTGAAGAAGTACAATGGTGGGAATGGCGGCAATGGTTCCACATCCTCGCAGCAGGGCACACCCACTAATCCCACGCCGCCGGACTCGTTGACCAGCGATGATAGCTCCTATTTGAGTGCCAAAGAGGGTTCCATTGGCTCCCAGCACAGTCGGGTGCGCTTCAGTCCGGAGGCCTATCTGGACGCCAATCCGCTGCCCGCCCTGGGACGCAGGATGACGGCTCCGGCGATGCAGCTCCCACATCAGCAGCAGCATCAGCAGCAGCACAGACGCCAGCGACAGGCCTCCAATGGCAGCACTCCGTCGCCATCGGCCTCGTCCTCCTAGCAGTCGCGCCTGGCGCTAACCTTGCAGTTGGCGCGCAGTCCGGGTGCGGACATAGGGACCGGCGGAGGAGCGGCTGGCCTGGCGCTGCACCAGCAGCGGGTTCCCTATCGCTGGTACTCGGGAGCCCGGCGATCTCGATCGGCGCACTATGAGTACCGCTTGTGAGCGAGCAGGACAGGCTCATCTAGGCGTGCGAATAAGAGGGCGATAGCCATAGCAGCCGGAAGATCCAGGTGGCGATAACTGGCTGAATGTAATTAATCATCTACAGGAAAAGCAATGGGCGAAATTACCAAATATGAAAAGCCGCAGAGAAACACAATATCAGTGGTCGAGAAATCGCAGATAAATCAAATGGTTTTCAGGAAGATAGAACATACATACATATATCAAAATAAGAGTGCGAATGCAATTCCAGATACTATAGATTGCTGCAGAATTTAAAATCTAAGCAGCGCTACATACAAGTAGTTACCACGTTGTTCAACCCAAGTAAATAATAAACTTCGATGTTACTGTTAGCCAGCAGATGGACGGGAGATCCATAAAGATCCTCCACTCTCCTGAACGCCGTCTGCCGAGGATTCAGAGTGCTCCATGGACAGACACACATAGACCCACTTGTGCAGCCCCGACTTGTGCGATTTGCCTTAAAAGTAGAGTGAAGACTTCACTAGTTTTGCCTGATGCCGGATTCCAAAACCAAATAGAACACTTATCCTAACGAATCCCAATCCCTCGACTAAGATTAGCAATTCAAGTGGCGCAGCAGCCGTTTCACATGGCTGATGTGCTCCCATTTATGTATTATACACCTAGATATATTCAGGAAGGCCTCCACTTGCGTTCTCCGATTTCTGATTTCTGATTCAGATTAAGTGCCGCCAGCCAGCCAACTAGCAAGCCATCAACAACAATAATAATTAGTAATACTTTGTAATTCCGAGGACACCACATCCCGATCAAGACACACGCCAGCCGTAAGCCGTAAGCCGTAAGCCGTAAGCTCCATTTTAAGTCTGACAAAATGTTTATATATTCATATATATAGTTATAGACACCTAGATATAGGCCGATATAGACCGATATAGACGCGTTAACCCACAAAACCACTAGCTCTGAATTGAATACCAGTTTAACTCGATCGATTTACAACTACTTATAATGGATATATACGAGTATATACACACATATACATATATTGAACACATAACGAGCATATTGCTGATGTTTTTCCAAATACTGAATAGCTATGATAAACGATATAAAGGCGATGAATTTGACTACCTTGCATATAGGCCACGTACATAGATACTTAATATGTAATCATGTTTGTTTTCGAGTTCTTTTGGAAATATATCTAGATACTCCGCTGTTCTATTTATGCTATGCTTTCAGGTTTCGGATTGAAGTTGTTCGAACTCGTTTGAAACAGTGTCTTCAACACGAAACGTGGAACACCTTAGATAGTACCGTGTATATCTTTAGATATTTGTGGAATACCTCGGACATCATCCGATCGCAGCATGCACAAATAGCATCCTTTGACTTTCAAGCAACTGAATTGCATTGAAGATTTCGTTACTCGACTCGTTTGCCACTCGAGCAACTCCCGCATCTCTAGGCCACATTGAAAATGAGCGGGTGGCAAATGGGCCTCCTCATGCGTACATATATGTATCAGTTAATAACTATAATTTAGACAAATTGTTGTTTATGCTCACACAGAACTTCGGACAAAAATAGGAACCGATTGACCAGAAACCAAGCAATATAGCCACTCATAGGCCCGAAAAAAGGAAACCAGTTAACCTTAACATTTACCCACTAGCTTAATTGCATTTGCCTGCATTATTTATTAATTAGACGGAGGGCCTGAGTTCTTTGGTTTATTTGTATTGCTGCTTAATTGCCTTTGAATTAGCAAGCGGGAAAATTGTATTGAAATCGAACTGAATTAAGGGGGGCGAAAAGTTCGATTGTAGGGGGTAAGGTGGAAAGGACTCACAAATATGCAATAACAAAATGCTGCTTGTGACTTATGTTATGTACAAATTAGCAATTAACAATTGACGATTCATTTAAATCATTCAGAGACCAAAATGCGAAAATAAAAACTATTTTTTATAGAAAAAGAAAACGAATCGAAATCGAATCGAAATGGGGGTAAAGTTTTAATTGGGGAGCCTATAAAAGAGGCCATTCGGATATTCCCAGGGCTCAAAAGTTCATCAGCCATGACGGCGAGCACTGGGTTGAAAACGGAGGAGAAGGCGCCCGAATCCCGGCGAGCATTCAGGAACCTCTTCAACTGCTTCTATGCCCTGGGCATGCAGGCTCCGGATGGCAGTCGACCCACCACGAGCTCCACATGGAGGCGAATCTACTGCTGCTTCTCGGTGGTCATGTACGTGTGGCAACTGCTGTTGGTGCCCACGTTCTTTGTGATCAGCTATCGGTACATGGGCGGCATGGAGATCACCCAGGTGCTGACCTCCGCCCAGGTGGCCATCGATGCGGTCATTCTGCCGGCCAAGATTGTGGCACTGGCGTGGAATTTGCCATTGCTGCGCAGAGCGGAGCACCATCTGGCCGCTTTGGACGCCAGGTGCAAGGAGCAGGGGGAGTTTCAGTTAGTCCTCGATGCGGTGAGGTTCTGCAACTATCTGGTCTGGTTCTACCAGATCTGCTATGCCATCTACTCCTCCTCGACGTTTGTGTGCGCCTTTCTCCTGGGTCAGCCGCCTTATGCCCTCTATTTGCCCGGCCTGGATTGGCAGCGTTCCCAGATGCAGTTCTGGATCCAGGCCTGGATCGAGTTCCTCATCATGAACTGGACGTGCCTGCACCAAGCCAGCGACGACGTGTACGCCGTAATCTATCTGTATGTGGTCAGGACCCAGGTGCAATTGCTGGCCAGGCGGGTGGAGAAGTTGGGCAGGGATGACACTGGTCAGGTGGAGATCTATCCGGATGAGCGGCGGCAGGAGGAGCACTGCGCGGAGCTGCAGCGCTGCATTGTGGATCACCAGACGATGCTGCAGCTGCTCGGCTGCATTAGTCCCGTCATCTCGAGGACCATATTCGTGCAGTTCCTGATCACCGCCGCCATCATGGGCACCACCATGATCAACATCTTCATCTTCGCCAATACGAACACCAAGATCGCCTCGATCATTTACCTGATGGCGGTGACCCTGCAGACGGCTCCATGCTGCTACCAGGCCACCTCGCTGATGCTGGACAATGAGCAGCTGGCCCTGGCCATCTTCCAGTGCCAGTGGCTGGGCCAGAGCGCCCGGTTCCGCAAGATGCAGCTCTACTATCTCCATCGCGCCCAGCAGCCCATCACTCTGACCGCCATGAAGCTGTTCCCCATCAATCTGGCCACCTACTTCAGTGTAAGTGTGTCTCTGAAGGAGTAACTGATGGGGAGTCATGAATCCAACTGATTAACACCACCTTTCATTTTCCAAATGCGAACCACATACCAAGTTTCATATCTTTTCAAAAAACTACAAGGCTGATCCTCTATGTGAACAATGTGTTTCCCATATTTTCAGATAGCCAAGTTCTCGTTTTCGCTCTACACGCTCATCAAGGGGATGAATCTCGGCGAGCGATTCAACAGGACAAATTGAAGACCATTATCCATTGATGCACTGAGAAATACATACGAGTATGTGCTATCGATTTTGCATAACCTGATACGAAGACCTATAGGATTTCAGATTGCAAATGTAGTTTCGTTGTGAGCAATAAACTAGAACATGAAATGTGCCAACCCAGTGAGTACGGCTGTGCTTTTTAGTCACTTGCACTCATTTGTTGCAGTGCAGCACTGCACTGAAGTTTAGCAGATGCCGAATTACAAGTGAAATCGATAATGATCGCTAATCGGGCAGAACAGAAGCCTGCTAACCACCGAATCGCATTGGCGCACCTTCCATCTCCGATCCGATCCGATCCCCCATCCCCATTCCCCATCCCAGCCGTCGCCCACTTTTCGTGTCCCAAGGCGAAGCACCTGACCTGTCAGGAGCGGAGTTGCCTCCTCCTCGCCTCCACCTCCACTCCAGCTGCACTTGGCCACCGATTTCTGGCCCAATTCGAAGTGGTGGCGCAGTTGGTGCTGCTTTACCGTTGGCCGTACACTCGTCAAAAATATGTATACTGCTGTTGGCACATTTATTATAATATCAAGACCTCAAATTAGCTATTTTTCAAGTGCTTTGAAACAGTACACAATGCTGATCGGTTTTTGAAATATGTACCTATATCTCAAGTAGACCCATCTTAAGGCCACTTTTTCTGCGTGTACCTGGTGGCCAATGCGGAAAAGTGGAATGGAAAGGCTGGCTTTCCCAGTCTGGTTCTCAAATTCTGGCCAAGCTGGAGATATTCGAGGCTGGCCAAATGTTCTTCTGCTCTCGAGCCGACAGGTTCAGCTTATTTTCGGTCCGTCGCGAAGTTTTTCCGGACAATTTTCCGTCGCGAATCGTCGAAAATGCTTGTGAATATTAGTTTTGTGTTCAGTGAGATGTTCAGCACCCACAAGTCCATTTCCAGCTGAGGATCATCGGGATGGTAAGTGCGAACTCGGCTTACTTACGCATGTTACATACTCGTTTGTTGGGATACAAAGGAGGCAAGCCCACATTTGCATCCACATCCAGCAGATCCAGTTTGTGGTCACTCTTGCCTTGGCCTTCGCCTATTTTCACTTAGTGGGCCAACAGGTTTTCCTTGGCATGTGCCACATTCGCCGAAAGTAAACTGCCTAAAAAAGTAGAGCGCAGGAAATACACTCAAAGTCGATTTCTCAACACTTAAGTATTTATGTGCATATGATCAAATATATTCGGAATATCTTTAATGTGATGCTGGTATTTATATGATATGGTACCGCTATTGAGTTCAGTTGGTCAGAACTTCGCTCTATTAGGGGAATAAGTTTACAGGGTATTCGAAAAATTATGCATAATTAGGCTTAAAATAAAAAAGCAAAGTGCTAAATAGTGTTGCACAAATCAAATCACACAAATGTCACAATTGTTCGATAACCAAGATAACCAAGTTACTGGATTACTGTCACCCGTTGAAGCCTAGGAACCTTGGAGTTTAAGGTACACAGGGACCATTTCCAAACGCACAAAATCCACGTTGCTACATTCAGGCACTGGAACAAAATTTGATTTGCTCCGCTTGGAGATTGGATCCGTGGATCCTCTGAGGTCATCATTGCCATCGCAACTGTCATTACCATTATGAGGCGTCACTTCGTGCAATCGCCGCTGCACAATCGGCTGCGCCGTTTGAGGAGCGGATCGGAGCCGCCTTCCGGAAATCCCGAGGAGGACAGGATGTGCTGGATTTGTCTCACCGGCGATGAGGATCAACGTCGCCGGGATTGGGTGCACCCGTGTCGCTGTCGCGGCACCAATAAGTGGGTGCACGAGTCCTGCTTGAGTCGCTGGGTCGATGAGAAGGAGATGCTGCTGCCGGACGTACCGGTGACCTGCACCCAATGCCGCACGGAGTACATTATAGTGATGCCGCAACTGTGCCGCTTCGATGTCATCCTGGAGCGCCTGGACAAGGGCTGCGAACGTATGTGTCCCAGTGTTCTGATGGGCATCTTGGCGGCCACCGTCTACTTCTCCGCGGTGACCTACGGAGCCCTCACATTGCTCGAACTGGCCGGCTACAGCATGGGCATGAAGCTGCTGCAAGAGGATCCCTCTCTGCTGATGATACTGCTGCCTTCGGTGCCGACGCTCCTGATTTTGGGCAGGCTGGTGCGCTGGGAGGACTGCGTGATCCGTTGGCTGCGTCGCCACAACCGTCGCGGTGTGCCCGCCGAGCATCTGGATGCTTTGGGTCTGCCCCTGCCCGGCGCGCCGCTGGACGATAATTACTTCGATGAGCTGGAGCGCGAGTATCCGGAAGCGGATGGCCCAATGGGCGGTGCCTTTGAGACGGAGCAACTGGGACGCGCCTCCACCAGCTTCTGCATTGCCCTCAGTCTGCCCACCGTCGCCGTGGTCCTGGGCCAGAAGCTCTTTGGCGGCATCTACGGGGATAACAAGTTGCTGGGCATCGTCCTGGGCGGAATGGCATTTGTGGCCGCCAAGGGATTGGCCAGTGTATTCCTGAGGCAATCGCAGTACCAACGGAGGCGCAACAGATACGTGTTGGACTACACTCCTCTCAATCGTGTCCACAATCTGGCCCAGAGGCGCTGAAGGCAGCTGAAATCCATCAGTGACAGCAGAGGGCTTTAGTAACTTTTTTTTTATAGCATTAAAATCTGCATTTAAATGACAAAAAATCACTTTATACATTATGTGATGCTATAGAAGCCAAATATTTATTCACAAAACATTAAGTGGCTCCCGTTCGCCGGAGTGAGCACGTCCAGGACTTCAAACGACGGCCTTCACCTGACCAGAATTTTAAACACAATCCCTTATCCGCATGGAAACTATATGGCGGCTAAAGCCCCACTAAAGCCCGCCTAGCAGCACCCAGTCGACTGCCCACATTCCGGACCATTCTCAGGATCTTGACACGCGACCTCTGGACCATCGAAGGACCCGTGTCCAGCTTGACGCATTTGCCCGGCCAGGTGAACATTACGCTGGAGGCCACCGCATCGTCGAAGAGCAGCAGGTAGCAGGGTCGCAGGGAGAGCGATTCCTGCACACAGTATTCCAAGAAGTGCTTCTCCGGGGAAAGGGGGGCAATGGATTCGTCCAACTCGGAGGGCAGTTGGCATATAACCAGAGCCCTTTGCGGCGCCTGCAGCTTGGAGTTCCGCCAGCACAGTGGGCTTGGGTCCCTTGACTGCTCCTGTGGCAGCGAACTCAGCTCCTCGCAGTCAACCAAGGCTGTTTCCAGTTGGGCATACAAGCGAATGGGCGCACCTGGCGGATGCTCCAGCCGTCCAGTGGCCAAGAAACGATATAGGTACTTAAAGGGCAGGCCCAGGTAGCCGTAGCTTGGCCTTGGACCCGGATCCCCGATCCGCTGATCAACGCCATCATAGCTGATGCTCAGCAGGTGACCGGGCTCCACGGTGGGGTGTGCCAGGCCCAGGACGCGACAGAGTTGGCGCAAATGCAAGCCCGACAAGCGGCGCAGAGTGGGCGACGAGGGCGTGCCCACCAGGATCCAGTGCAGCAGATGCAGGGCATCCACATCGTCCGGCAGCAAGTCGGCATTCTGGTCGTCGGCACTGGAGCAGTCCAGCATGAGGCGGCAGGAGGGCCAGTTGTCCGCGACGGCTTGACGCAGTCGCTCCACTTGGCAGCCGGAGCCCAGCACCGCCTGGAACTGCGGTGGCACCGGGATGAGCGCCTTCTCGTGCTCCTCGCTGCTGGCCGCCGCCGTGAAGATCAAGAGGCTTATGTCACTGGCATGGGGCTGAGCTCGCAGCGCGTCCCGAACCTGGCACATTGCCAGCCGAAGCGGACTGAGCCGGGAGGATGCCGGCGGAGGCACCTTTTCCTTGCTGGTGGAGGAGGGCTCAGAGGGATTATCCATCGGCTATTGAGGATGGCAATGCTTACTTGAAGGCTAAGACGCCATCGTGCAACTCATCCTGCTGCACTTTCGTCCTGGGCTTGGTAACGGGTATCGGAACGGGTCGCGGATTGAGGAACGGATTGAGATTGCTGGGCACCATTCCCATCGGCACTGTTGTGTCCATTTCCGGCAGCGCTATATTTTTCAGTTCACACAGCCTTGGATTTTCCTCTAAGAGATCGCTCTAACTCTTCTAAAATTTTGACAAAGCGAATGTTGTTTCGAATGTTCTGAAAACTCAACGGAGTGAAGCTACTTCGATCCAATGTCGAATGATTTCGCACAGGAACACCCATGACTAAATTGAATTTGAATATTCTAAAATTATCTATTTTTCTTAATTTCCCATTTGCGTGAGCATATTACTTTCCATTTGCAATCGGCAACAGTTTTCCTGACGTAACTATCAACAAGCGAAATCAACAAATAAGCTGCCTGCGCAGAAAAATCCGAATGCATTGAGTATACGCACTGTTGTCCAAAGATTATAACGTATGCGAAAAAACGAAAGCACGATTGCGATGGCAGGAAGTATTTACAAGCTCCAAAACAGACGGGCCCCTCTGTTGTGAACTGTCAATCAATCAATAGTGAGCAATATAACACAAATATTTATTTATATTTTTTGCGTCACGCTGGGAATGGGATGCTGATTATAATGCTGGATTCTCTTGAACTAGACCTCCCAATGCGATGTACTTATGCCAGCTTAGCTACACAAGCAGAAGACCTGGGAACACTTTTATATATGTATATGTTTATATATCATCAAATCAACGTACGAGTATAATGGGAATAAGAACCCATTTTTCGGAGTAGCCCGGTAAACATCACCATATAAATATGCACTTTGGACTTGAACTAATCCGTGGATCCTTCTCGATCACCCAGACGCCACTGCCCCTGACGCACCTGACCTAGAACGGCAAGCGGCAGTCAATCGAGCGGGGGACAAGCGATCCAGGGGTCGCCTGCTCATCTGGATGGGCAATAGCTACGTCAATGCAGCGATCACAGTCCAGACATACGCGTATACTATGGGTGGATGGATGCTGATACCGATTGCTCAGTGCAAAGTACGACATTCCACAGCGGACGGCTGGATTGCTGGATTGTCGGATTACGGAGCTCGTATTTGCACAATACATTCACACCACTCGTATGGTTATGGTTTATGGTTTTCTTTACTCTTTGGAAATTCCATTTATTAAGTTACTACGTCTACAACTAATTACGTACGGGGTCTACGGCTAGTTAGTTAAAAACTTCGTTTTCTGGCAGCCTGTTTTTGATTCGTCGGCTTAAACTAGATTGAGTGACTACTACTAGGTGTGTTAGTACATCGTATCGACTACTACGCATTATAATAGCACTTGACAGTCATATAGATATGTTGGTTTATAGCTTAATACAGACGGGTGTCTCTGGCTGTCTCGCCTCCTCTCATAATTCATTCATCTAAGTACGGATAATGATGGTGTTTTGCCACGCTTTCCCATTAAGTTTCAAACTCAATTGCAGCACCTTGTGGCGGCTTGTTTGGTTAGCTCCTTTTGCGGGCAGGCTACTTTGGTTACTCAAATTCCTGCCCGTCGTCGTGAGCTAACTGAAATGTTGAAAGAAATCAAATAATATCATTAGTTTATGGTGAACGGAAGACATCTATGATTGGGATTCTGGTACTGATATCTAAACTGTTTCAAAATAAAATGCTCATAATGCTGCGAAAATAAGGTCACTAATGATTCAAAGCATAAAGCTATGAGCGACTTGAGTACGAGGTAAAACCCTTAAATTTGTAAGCATAATCATGAATGGAAACTGTATTGTATGTGCTGACCCACCTAGGACTCTTAAAACCGCTTGTTGTCGCGCAGGAAGGCCTTTTGACGCACCTCCTCCTTGACGCAGGGATCGACATCCTTTCCAGAACCTGCCCGCTGGACGCACACGGTCTCAGACTTCAAGCCGAAGCACTGCGTCTGCACGACATTGAAGAATAGCTTTCCGATGGCGTTCGCATCCTCGTCGCCGGCCATCTTCAGGCACGTGCGGAACCGCAAGTCACAGCTGCAGTGGGACAGAGTGTATGGGCGGTAGTTGAAGAGATCATAGCGATTGGACATCCCATCGATCCACATCTTGCAGTGGTCATGCTTCCGGCAGCACTTGTCCGCCTTGGAAGCGCCGCCCAGATCGTTGTACGTTCCATTGGCCAGGTTGCCGCGTCCGCACCACCGCGTGTTGGGCGCAATCAGCCAATCGGAGAGTTGCCGCCGCTTCCGACGATGCACTGCATCGCGTGCGGCACCGCGAACGCCACTCTCGTCTGTGTGGCTGTGGTCAGGAGATAGGGGCACCGTTTCCGATTCGATTTTGGTTTGGGGGTCGCGCAATCTGACGGCCAAGTGCTTGGCATTCGTCCCGGGAACAAGGCACAGCTGCCAGGTCGCAAAAATCACCAGCGGCATCAGTGCGCAGATAGTGCGTTCATTCGGGATCCACATCGTGTTGAGTTGTGCGTCTGTGTTCTCTACTTTTTCAGCGCCCGGCGTCCGTAGCTGATTGATTGCTCGCCAATCCGAAAAACACTGCCGTTTTATATGCTCGCCCACCGCCGCCAAAACGCATCGAACGTGTTCACACTGGCCTGCATTTCGGCAGGCGGTGTTGCACACGCGCTATCAGCTGCTTATAAGCAAATAAACTTTTAAAGTGATCATTTTACATTAATTTATTATTATACGTAAAATATAAATTTATAGATAATGATTGCCAATGTTTGATAAAACATTATCATTAGTTTTTAGTATGTGTGGCGCGGGCGCAGTGTGAACATGTGTGTTCTGGTATATTCACGCCCCGCCAGTGTTGCACAACCGTTGTAGGATATACAGCTGTTCCGCGGAGTCATGAACCGAAAATTATTATTAAAATTGAATTAGTTGATTGAAAGCGATAGCCAGACGGCGGCCAGAGGAGCAGCAAAGATGCAGCGCGTCCAGGCCGACCAGAAGCCAGCCAGGATGCACCAGCATGCACATACGCACTCGCACGCCCACAGTTTGCAGCAGGCGGAGGAGAAGGAGCACAACAGCAATGAGATGACGACCACTTCGTCATCGACTGCCCGAATTGCGGCCAGCAGTAGTGCCACGCCCACAGTGGCAGTGGGCGGCGAGGCCAGCGGAGCACCCACTCCGCCCAAGAGTCTGGCTCTCAATCAGAACCATCACTATGCGCCCGGTTCGGACACATCCGGGGAACAGGAGGAGGAGCTGCTGGATTCGCGTTACGAGTGCGCAATCTGCATCGATTGGCTAAATGAACCGGTGTTGACCTCCTGCGGGCACCGATTTTGTCGCAGCTGCCTCACGACCTGGATGCAGAAGAACAATCAGTGCTGCCCCATGGACAACAAGCGTCTGTCCGCCGAGCACGACATCTTTCCGGACAACTACACACGCCGCGAGATCGAGCAACTGAAGCGGGATTGCCCCAACTCCTCGCTGGGCTGTTCGGTGGTTGCCTCGCCCATCGAACTGCACCGCCATCTGCCCAGTTGTCCCTACCGGCGACAACAGGAGCCGCAGGAGGAGAAGTGCCCGTTTGCCAAGATCAAGTGCGATTTTGTGGGCCGACCGGAGACAAATCAGTTAGAGGAGCACCTCAAAGCGGACATGCCGCATCACATGCAGCTAATGCTGCAGGCATTCCAGCAGACAGCCATTGCCACCTGGCAGCCGCACAAGCCCAGCACAAGTGGCTCCGCCATGGAGAACGGTCACGGACAGCAGCAGCTGCCGCCGCCGCCCCAATATGCCAATGGTGTTGATGAGCAGATTGTGCAAACGATGTACCAGAGGATTGTGGTGCTGGAACAGAGGACACGCGAGCAGGAGACGCGACTCGAGAATTTGCAAAAGCAGCTGCGCTTGGCTCGCCAGCAGGCGCCCGTAGATCCGCGCTACAGCAATGGCACAATTGTGTGGCGCATCGAACAGCTGGGCGCCCTGGTAGCTCGCCTGCGGGCCAATGCCAACAATCAAGTGTACTCGCACGAGTGTTACACCTCGCCGCATGGCTACAAGTTCTGTGCGCGGCTAAACATTCAGCCCAGGAAGCCGCATGTGCTCAGTTTGCATGTGCATCTGATGCAGTCGGAGAATGATTACCACTTGGACTGGCCCTTCAAGGGTCGCATCAAGTTGTGCATGGTCCATCCGGCGGATGCGACGCTGTCGCAGCACGACACCATCATGACCAAGCCGGAGATCCTGGCCTTCCACAAGCCACGCGAGGCGATTAGCACACGGGGATTCGGTTTCCTCGAGTACGCCAACATATCGAACATCATACAGCTGGGATTCTGCGCCGACGACCGGCTGCTCATCAAGATCGAGATCAATATTGTCTGAATTTGGAATGGAAAAGGACTTTAAGCTCGGTGGCACTGATGTCTTCCGAATGCGTTAAGTTTGCACCACAGTGGATCGAATCTAGGGGCCTAAAGGTAAACCGTGCAAGTAGAAAGAAAACCAGGTATTGGACATACATACACATGGTAGCAATTATAATGTTCATCTTTTTGAAGTGAATTCATTACGTTATCTGTGCTGAATTCGGTCAATAGATAGAGGATAACTCCATCTCTGAGGAGTACTAGTTAATGCTTGACCTATTATCACCAAGGCAATACAACTTAGAACTACAGATAGCAATGCGACCCCGCGATTTGTGTGAATTTAATCGATCCACTTTAGTGAACTTGTACGCCAACGTACAATATGCAATACCCAATAGCTGAGACACGTATATATTTTATATAGACTTATATATAGTATACAAGAGACCGGCAATAGTCACCGTCTAGCAGGCATCACATTAAGCAATCTCAATGATATTCCACTACTAATCGATATTATGTATCCTAGAACTATCTCTTATTCTTTTTATATTCCTAGTTCTATACTGTTGGTTTTAGCAATCAAAATGCATTGCAGATCACGTAAATAGGTCTACAATTAGCAATCTTAATTGGTCTTGGGTTTCCCCGTGTGCCCTTATCAATACATTTCAGTGCTTAATTAATCTTTAGTTTTCAAAACATTCTCGTCAATTTGATTGATTTTAACTATGTTTGTAACTGAGTACGTCCACTTGGCAGAAATGCCCAGGTTTACTAATTATTCTAGAATTTAACTAGGTTTAAATTCTTCAGTTTATCGTTTCGTTTTAGTATATGTATGTACCTTTTTGCAGACAACGAAGCAGCCGCTAAATATTTTGTAACCTTTAACGCACACGCCTCTGTTTATGATCGCCAATATCGTTTGGGTAAAGAAAATCACAAAGGCTGTATGTATTATTTTATCCCAATAATTATTTAAGTCCATAGCGTACGTACTATATGTTTAGAGTTAAGAATCCCGGGTAGAACGCACACGCTGGCATGGATTAAAGCCCAGATTTATCTGGGTTCAAATCGCTGGCAGCTTGGACCCCTCTCCGTTTAGGGAACCCCAATAAAGGACACTTTTGTACCGCCAATCCAGCCGTTGTACGCATCTAAGTTTGGTCATATACAGTAGGTTCAATCGTTTATTCAACTCATATGATTGATTTTCCCTTCTCTGGGTGATTGAGCCGCAATGTTACTTGAAAATTAAAGTTTCTCTCATTTAATATGGGTAATGTGGAACTTATTGATGAACTAGATCTATCCTAATTATGGCTAGCTACTTAGTTGGCTAGGCGCCAAGTGGAGGGAGCGGTCTCGGTTTGCGTGACCAGCTGATCCTCCACATTGAGGTCGATGGCCATGGTGATGGTGGTGGTGGGCGGACTCGTGCCCTTGATCACCTCGATTGTGACCGACTGAGGCAGAGGCTTCACGGCTCCCTTTACTCTCACCGGATCATGGCTGCGCATGTGGGCATTTAGGCCGCCGGATTGGGCGAACGTCTTGCCGCACAGCTTGCAGGCGTACTTGCGCTGCTCGGAGTGGAGTAGCTTGTGCACCCGCAGCGCCTTCTTCCTTTGGAACGTGGAGCCGCAAACGTCGCAGACGAAGGGCCGCAAATTGGTGTGCGAAACGGCATGGACATTGAGGTCATGGAAGCTGTAGAATGCCTTGCCGCACACATCGCATTTGGCCGGCCTCTCGCCCGTATGACGACGCATGTGAGCCGTGAGAACTCCACGATCTCGGCAAGGTCGACCGCACACCTCGCAGATGCAGGGCATGCGACCTGTATGACAGATACTGTGCGAGGACAGCTCCTTCTGCGTGTAAAATGTGGCGTCGCATTCCGGACACTTGTGCGGCTTGATGCCACTGTGCCGCTGGCGGTGGCGCATCATGTTGCCCGACTGGGTGAAGGGTTTGCCGCAGATGTCGCAGAAGATCCCTGTGTGCTTCCAGCGATGACCGCGCAGATCGCGTTCAGTGCGAAACGTCTGGTTGCAGGCTTCTTCATTGCATTTGTACACTTTCGGCGGACCTTTCCGCTTCTTGCTCTTGCGCTCACTTGGGGATTTATCCTGAACCCCACCGGTGGCTTCTATGTGCTTTAGGCGGCGGTGGCTCTGCAGGCTGCGTTTGGTGTTGTACGCCCGGTCGCACTGATCGCACTGGAACAGCATGTCCTTAGTGTCGTTGCTTGGCTGGGCGCACTCATCATCAGCCGATTCCTCCTCATCCTCCTCCTTCTCCTCCTCGTGAGTTTCATTATTCGCCGGCTGCTCGCCGCCCGTCCACCCGAGATCGATGTCCAGCAAATCCTCCCGAGTCTCCACCAGGGTGTTCTTCATGGCCGCCGCTCGCTGGTAACGGTGCCGTGGGGAACTCCTCTCCTCCACGTCCGGGTCAGTTCCCTTTACAAGATCTTCGACTAGCTCCTCAATTCCTGGCACTTTGCTGGAGTCCTGGGCAATGGGATCGCTTTCCAGTACGCTGGGACACACCGGACTGGAGCTCCCCTGGAAGTGCCTCATCCGGAAGTGGTCCGGGTAGCCGTCCAACGACAAGCGCTGGTCGCACAGCAAGCAGCAAACTTCGTAGGAGGCGGGTGCACTGAACAAGAGCTCGCCGCACCGGAGATTGTGGTAGCCACCGGCCACATCCGGCGGTGGCTGCACCTTTATCATCGCGCACCTTGATTGTTCACTCGACTGCCCGTGCGGATGTGGCGGCGCACTGGATCCGGATTAGTGGAGGATTCCAGCTATTGGCGTCGCTTTTTTGTAAGTGTTTGTTACAAGGGGGAGGGGAAGGGTGGTTTTCCCAGCTGACGGCAGTGTTGGCTAACGAACCACCGTGTTGAGCTTGCTTTCGATGTGGCGGCACATTTCAAATTGGTATTCACTCCGATAAGTACGTTGTCATATCATTACTTGGGTTTCTTATCATTACTTGGCCAATAATGTTAATGCAGCTAAAAGAATAGCTGTTTTATACTGCCAATTACCAATGCTACAAACCCAATCTCCTTTTTTTGGCGTGCTTAGAACAATTTATTTGTATGCCATATTTTGCGTTAAATTCAGCGAAAAATAAATTAATTTAATTGTCCAGGCTTGAATACAAGTCGACTGGAAATAGAGTTACGATCACAACAAGGTATTACATTTTAAATTTCGATGGCAGGTTCATATCCTATGGACAAAACAGTTGTACAACTTTCGGCTATAATTGAAGATTAGAAATTAGGACCTTAAATTTTCTGCGTTTGCCAAAAAAAATACTCTTTTTATGGCTACTCGACGTTGTAAGTGCTGAAATGCTTTGGATACTGTAATATTCAAAACTTTTTCACAATCTGTCATTAAGTTCTCCGAAAATGAAGGATATGTAACGGTACATTCTGCCATTTGACAACAGTGAAATTTATCGATAACCGACCGCGCCTATCGCTGTGTATTCGGATTTTCGTATTCGAGTATACACTTTTTTTCGGATTGATTTTTCGCTGTCCAATTGGAGAAGTTCGAATAGGAAAGGACACACAATCCCCGAGAGATATCCATAGATCCGAAATCTCTGAGCAACCATGTCGGAGGCGGCGGTGCCAGCGAGCAATGCGAACGCAAATGCCACTGAGAAGATGGCCAGTTTGGTGCGCGAGGCAGAGAATTTAAAGACCAAACTAGAGGAGGAGCGCCAAAAGCTGAACGACGTTAATCTCTCGAACATCGCGGAGCGACTGGAGCAGATCGCCTATGTGAACATCAAGCCGCGTAAGGTGCTTAAGGGCCATCAGGCGAAGGTCCTGTGCACCGACTGGAGTCCCGACAAGCGCCACATCATCTCCTCATCGCAGGACGGACGGCTGATCATCTGGGATGCGTTCACCACGAACAAGGAGCACGCTGTCACCATGCCCACCACCTGGATTATGGCCTGTGCCTACGCTCCGTCAGGGAATTTCGTTGCCTGCGGCGGACTGGACAATAAGGTCACCGTGTATCCGATAACCTCCGATGAGGAGATGGCCGCCAAGAAGCGCACCGTGGGTACCCACACCAGCTACATGTCGTGCTGCATCTATCCGAACTCCGATCAGCAAATCCTCACGGGCAGCGGTGATTCCACATGCGCCCTGTGGGACGTGGAATCGGGCCAGCTGCTGCAAAGCTTCCACGGACATTCCGGTGATGTAATGGCCATCGATCTGGCTCCCAACGAAACGGGCAACACCTTTGTCTCGGGCAGTTGCGATCGCATGGCCTTCATCTGGGATATGCGCTCCGGCCATGTGGTTCAGTCCTTCGAGGGTCACCAATCGGATGTGAACAGCGTTAAGTTCCATCCTTGCGGAGATGCCATAGCCACAGGATCGGATGACAGCAGCTGCCGGCTGTACGATATGCGAGCGGATCGCGAGGTGGCTGTGTTCGCCAAGGAGAGCATCATCTTTGGCGTCAACTCGGTGGACTTCTCGGTCAGCGGAAGATTACTGTTTGCTGGCTACAACGATTACACCGTCAACTTGTGGGACACGCTGAAATCGGAAAGGGTCTGCCTGCTGTACGGACACGAGAACAAGGTGTCCTGCGTCCAGGTCTCGCCCGACGGCACCGCCCTATCCACCGGCAGTTGGGACTACACCATTCGAGTGTGGGCCTAAGCCATGTGCTACCTATTGTTGGGAAGGCATTTGTCCAGGACAGATGCCGACTCGCTTTGTTTTCCCCCTTCTCCTGTGTGCATCTAGTCTCTAATTTGCTTTGTTTGTGCATCTCGAGGATAGTTAATTTACGGATTCGGTGATCCCTCAAGTGTGTACATATGTCTCATATCGGGATTGCCAGCATGGATGTCTTGGTTACCGCAGTGTTATGATTAAAACCAGCTGCTGTACTATAATGAATCTAAATATATATATATACATGTATATGTATCCAAGTGTAACCATTATGCGACTAGTTATAAGTTCCTGTTCGAAATAAATGTTGAGCGATAGACAAACTTGCTTATTTCTTTGCCACTTGAAAGTCAAAGTTTGAGTAACATATATCGAACATTTATTGTACATACTTGGTTGGTTCTATTCGGAAGTATGGTCTTGGCTTAAAACTATCTTAACCAACAGATTTAACAGTTTATACAGAACTTCTATTGATATGTAGGTACAAATATTTGAGACACGGAAATGGAAAGCTTTCATCCTTTAAATTAAAAAGAACATTTACGTCCTTAGATTAGAAACTGATATAATATTTTTAAAGTATTCGCTTGTTTAATACTATGAAAGATACGTGAAAAGTTGGTACGAATGTGTCAACTAAATCGAGTTTCTATAAACATTGAAAAGCTATCAAAGCTATCTAGAACAGCGAATATTGTGTGTGGTGTATCTTTGATATAATGTGATAGGGATCCTTAAGGCGACTGGAGGCTTCCGCTCAGTCCGATCTGTAGGTGAATAGCATCTCGATGGGTCCCGCCTCGACGCCCTCCTTGGCATTGGCCGACGCCTGGAGCTTGTGCGCCCGCATGTGAGCGGAAAGACCTGCCGCCTGGGCATAGGCATTTCCGCAGATCTTGCACTTGAACTTCTTTATGCCCAAGTGGAGATGCTTGTGGTGGTACAGCGCCTTCGGGCGGGAGAAGGCCGAATCACATTTGTCGCACTTGTAGGGCTTCTCGGTGGAGTGCATGGCCTGGTGCTCGTTGAGCAGCGACTTGGAAGCAAAGCGGCGGGCACAGGTCTGGCACTGGAACGGTTTCTCGCCCGTATGCGTGCGACGGTGTACGATCAATGCCTCCCGGTAGCGTGATCTATAGCCGCACAGCTCGCACACGTAGTTCCGCTCCTCGCTGTGGACCCGCCGATGTGAGGTAAGGTTGTGCTGGTTGACAAACGACTTGCCGCAGTTCTCGTGCTCGCACTTGAATGTCCTGGCGCCGGAGTGACCCTGCACATGGCGGAGTAGGGATCGCGAGCTTTTAAACACCTTGTCGCACAGCTGGCAGGCGAACTCCGTGTGCTCCTTGCGACGGTGCTGGGCCAATGCCCGGTCCACATCGAAGGTGGCTTCGCAGTCGACGCACTTGAAGGCCTGCGGATACGGATGGCTCATCTTCAGGTGGGTATTCAGGTATTTCTGCGTCGTATACCTCCTATCGCAGTGTGGGCAATTGTAGTCCTTCGGTTGGCGCTGCTTCTACAGGAAGAACATATTCAGATATTTGATTTTCTTCTCAACTGCACGGCCTGCAGTTTGTTTCTTGTGACTACCTTGAAAACGGACTGGTGCGTCTCCTCCTCATCCGGTTGATAATCTTGCCGATTATCCACGCCAATCAGCGTTTCCAGATCACACCCCTCGTTTTCGGATGCGGAGGAACTGCCACGATCCGGCTGCCACATCGTATCGATGGTCTCCTCGTCCTCTGACTGTTTACCGTCGAGCACCATGATACGCAAGGGATTGCCATCGTCCTGGTCCAGTTCCAGCTCCTGTTCCGCGTTCCCCCGCTCAGGCAGAACATCCTCGTTGGACAGGTACTCCTCTTTGAGGCCGCTCACAGCCAAGGGTGCTCCGCTGGCCGTTTGGAACTCTTGATCCGCTCGTGCTAGTCTGTCCAATCCCGTTACCGTCTTGGTGAGGGGCCGGCCCTGCTTGTCGAAGTGCACATTGCGGATGTGGCGGGCGAAGTCCTCGAATCCAAAGTGCTTCATCTCGCAGAGCAGGCAGACCAGTTGGAAGCTATTCGCCTCCTGTTCATAAAAGATCTCGCCGCATTTTGGACGCAACTGCTGATGGGCGTGCAGGCGGACATAGTCCACGTTGGCGAGGCAGTGTCTTAACATGTTCTGCTTATAATTTACATTAAAATTGTTGCAATATTATTTAACAAAATCAAAATAAACTATGTAAACAAAATTTCGATTGAATTCGATAGGCCTTCAGTGCTTACATAAACCAGCACTAATTTTATGTGTGCTTAGCCATGTTTCAAACCAAACTCAAATATACATTTCAAGTTAAAAATTAATTATGTTCAATCGGAAACGTTTCCGACCATATAAAGTATAAATATTCTTGTGGAAATTAAAAAAATGAAATGTCCCAAGGCTGAAGTTCTAAGCTCCATAACTCAACTTACCTTAATCGGATTTTGAAGAGCCATACCTGTAAATGTTTCTGGCACAATTCTCTAAAAATTGCATTCAAATTTAGAAAATATTTTTTTTTAATTTTTTTGATGTTACAATGTTGTAAAAATAAGAAATGTCCCAAGGCCGTAGTTCTAAGCTCCAATTCATTTATTTATAAGATGAGCCGCAGTTGAGATTAGGTACAAAAACAACACCATTGAATTGTCCTTCATACTTCGAAGGCTAAATGTTATGGAGCATAAATACCTATAGTATTTCACCGCATTTGCCACTTGGAGCACTTCTAGATGTCTTCGGGCTTGCATACGTGGCAAGGTCCATCCTCTTCGCCGACGGAGGTGGAAGACGACACGACCTCAGTTTCAGCCATTTCGTCGTTAGTACGGTCAAGCGGCTCGGAGGAAGGGCCACCACTGAAAAGATAAGTGGGAATATATGTAGAATGAACATAATTCCTCGTGGGATCTGTTCACCTCTCCTGGGTGCGCTCTAGCTTCCTTCGCTTGGCTGGCGGTTCCCCAACTGGACTTCGCTCCCGCTGGAGCTCTGCTTCCGCAGTTAGATTCCCAGTCAGATCGTCCAGGGCGCTAATAAAACCATCAACATCCACCAAGTTCGATGGCGAACCTGCAGACTGGGCCTTTTTATTCTTCTGCTTAGGCACCTCCGGTATGAGGAACTTGTTGGGGGAAGAGGAACGGGCTTCCTTGTTCTCAGCTGGGCTTGCCTTAGACTTGTTCTTGTTCGGCATATCGAAGTTCAGTTGAGGTTCAGTTGGGGATTCTCGAATATGGTTTCTCCGGTACGGGTCCTAGATGTGAACTGAGTTTGATTGATACACGTCAAAAGCAAATGTCAGAAATAGGCACTGCTAACTTGATAGGAAATGAAATGTGTGCTTTTACGGAAGGGCATTTCCAATTTCAAAATCTTTTAAGGGGCCCTGCTCATTCAAAGGGTCATCTTATGGACTCCAACATTTATGTGTTCTGAGGGAATTCGAGAGATGAGTACACGAAGGAGCTTAAAGAGGTAGCGATCACTTGTTTCACGATTCATCTGGCTCAATTCTCAAAAAATCTGCATTCATATAAAGTATATATTCTCGATCAGGATCAATAGCCGAGTCGAAATGGTCATGTCCGTCTGTCCGTATGAACGCTTCGATCTCAGGAACTACAAAAGCTAGAATGTTGAGGTTAAGCATGCAGCTTCCAGAGACATAGACGCAGCGCAAATTTGTTTCCAAATGTTGCCACGCCCATACTTTCAAAAATATTTTAATTTTTATTTATTCCCAATTTCTACCGATATTCCAGAAAATGTTGAAATTTATCGTTTGCACTTCCAGCTAAGTAACGGGTATCTGATAGTCGGGGAACTCGTTTACATCGTCTATCTTGTTTTTTATTCAAAATTCTTGTTTTTATTCATTAATAAAGCACTTCAGCTGAAATACGAATCGGTTAGCAGTTTTTTAAATTTAAATATGACACAAAATTAAACTCCCGCCGCTAACAATCACTTGTAAACATTCTCCTGGTCTGCAGATCCATCAGATCCGTGGTTTCAGTGGCTCGTTGGTTCCTCTGGCGGTGCATCCGCTTGTGTTGCGCGTAGCCCGCCGCCTGGGCAAATGACTTGTCGCACTGGGTGCACTTGAACCGCTTCCCATCCTCGTGGAGCGTGCGGTGGTGGTACAGAGACCGCGAGCTGGAGAAACCCACGTTGCAGTCGGTGCAAATGTGCCGCTGGCGTCGCTCTCCGGCGTCCAAGTGCCGCTCCAGATGGCTCTTCAGCTGATAGCTGGACGGGAATCGAGCCTGGCACGTTTGGCAACTGAAGGGCATCTCGCCGGTGTGTCGCCGCCGATGGACCTGCAGATTCCAATGGATGCTCGTCCGATAGCCGCAAAACTCGCACATAAGTCGCCGATTATCCGAACAGGCGGCCGGAGGACGTTCCGCCGACATGGTCGGGCCGCGTGTGCCAAATGTAATCGCCGTCACTATTGTTAGACGCACCCCATCCTACCACTTGGCATTTGGCCGCTTTAGCAGCAGTCGCCCGATTAATTGCTGTCAAAGGTACCAAATCGCTGGGCTAATTTTAAACGCGGGCTCTCTTTTGCGAATCAGATTCATGTTATGTATGTATATTTATCAATACAAAAAGGTTAACCGTTCGAATATTAGCCACATCCGCTTGCGGGATAACAGGGATCACCACAGGCTATCCTTTCCGGTAGTCAGTGTCACAGGATTTGGTTCTTGGAAGCATTATGTGCTTAATGTATAGTTTAACCATAACAAAGTTTAGTTAATATTGCAGTGTTAGTAGTTCAGAAAATGCATTGAAATGTAGTTTAGTATTAGTACTGACAATCCAGCCAATTAAATTCGCTTTAAACTATGTTTTCTCAAAAAGAAATTAACAAACTTTCAGTTTACCTAAAACTAGAGGTATTATTTACACTACACATAAATTCGATGGAATCCCGTGAAATGAGGACCGGAGAGTCACTTCTTAAAGTCACTTGCAATACAAAAAAACTATTGATTTCCATGGTAATCCTATAGCCTATGCCTGAGTTCCTGAACTTAAACGTCGGAATTGGAAGATACAAAACGTACAACTTAGTCTACGGCCTCTGGGATTCTATCCGTTGAGCTCGTCGTTCCGGTGCTTGCGCATGTGACCAGCGAGACCGGCGGCCTGGGCATAGGCATTCCCGCACAGCTTGCACACGAACTGCTTGGTATCCGTGTGCAGGAACTTGTGATGGTAGAGGCCCTTCTGCCGGGAGAAGGTCGCGCCACAAACGCTGCACACATGCGGACGCTCCGTGGAATGCATAGCCATATGCTCTCGCAGGCCGGAATGGGAGGGGAATCTCTTGCCGCACACTTGACACCCGAACGGCCGCTCACCCGTGTGGCTCCTGATGTGGACGCGCAGCGTCTCCTTGTTTCGGCAGCTGTAGCCGCAGCTCTCGCAGACGAAGTTCTTCTGCTCCGTGTGCACCTTGCCGTGGTTGCGCATGTGACGGATGGTGAAGAACCGTTTGCCACAGCCAGGATGCGGGCAGGGCACGTTCCGTTCGCTGGTGTGCTTGAGCTGGTGGCGTTTCAGCTCGTGTCGCGTCTTGTAGCGCCGCCCGCAGACCACACATGCAGCTCCACCGTGCGCCTGCACCATGTGCTCGTCCAGTAGGCGAAGGCGCGGCAATTGGGCCTCGCATTCCAGGCAGGTGAAGATGGCGGAGCCACCTTCCTCGCCGTTGTCATGATCCCGCTTCAAATGCTGACGCAGACTGTATTTTCCATGGTAGATCTTGCCGCAGTGCTCGCACTTGTACTCCTGGGCAGAGGACTTGGCGGGTGCATCCTTGGGCGGCTCGTAGTCTGCGTCTTCGCTATCCGCATCCGGCGAAAGGGTGTCTTTGTGCTGCCGCATTATGTGGCGTTCGAGAACCTTGCGGCTCTGGTAAACTTTTGTGCAGTGCGGACACGAGTGTGAAATCTTGGCGGAGTGTCTACTCTCGCTGTCCAGATCCAGTTTGATTGCGCACTCCTCCTGCTCGGAGTCCTCCTCTTTGTAGTCCACCTTGAGGGCTCTGACTTGACGTAGAGATTCGCCGGCCATCGACTGATGGTCCTGCCACTTGATTATGCTCCTGCCCGGCCGTTCGTCCTCCTCCTCGTCCAGCTCGTCCAGGACACCGCGCTCATCCTCGCTGTCTACGCCAAGGTCGCCGACGATCTCGTGCCAGGCAAATGGATTCACCTGTGCCACTATGGGCACCGGCGAGTTGGGCTCCCGCTCACGATCCCGCTCCTGCTTGAGATCTGCTCCGGCGTCCGTAGCCTCCGTCTTCAGCAGTCCGTTCTCGAAGTGAACATTCTGGACGTGGAGCAGAAAGTCTCCGAACACAAAGCTCTTCATATCGCAGAACGCACAGTCAATGCGGAAGCTGTGCAGGCTCTGAAAGTAGATCTCGCCGCACTTGGCGTTCGCCATACCGGCGTACGTGTCCGGCTTGAGGGACTTGAGCATGATTGCTGCTCCCACCTGGCCGTTGCTCGCCAGGATTTGCTCCTCTTTCGAATATTTTCGCCGTTCTAATTGGAACGCAAACTTTTTGTCTTGGCGTCAACAGCTGTTTATTGGAGATGCCACTGTGATGGCTAGCGGGAAAAAAAATGAGCTGAAACTAGCTATTTTATTGAAATACTGGATACATACTTTGCATACATACCCATATTTAATGCTAGCTATTTTAAGCTTTTTGGGTATTTTTTAGCCACCATCGTCGTTCCGCACGATAAGCCCGGCTATCGAAAAACGATAGCTCCGATAGGCTGCGTTGTGGCAACACGAGATTCCGGTATTGGAATTCCGAATTTCTTTGAAAGATACACCCATTGAACCGCCAGCTATGCATCCCGATCTCACGGAGCGCATTCTCCAGCACTTGGAGACCGCCGACAAGGTGGACACACTGGACCTGGCCGCGCTCTTTACCGAGGATCACCAGAAGATTGTGGGCGCATTGAAGAGCATCCAGGCGCATGGTGAACTGGTCACCGCGGAAACAGTCACCCACAAGAGTTTGGGCCTCACAGACGAGGGCCGCGCCGTCGTCGAGCACGGCAGTCATGAGGCCCTGGTCTACGCTCTAGTTCCGCCAGAGGGAATCGCCCAGGCGGCTCTAATGACAGCCGGTGGAGCAAATGCCAAGGTGGGCTTTAGCAAGGCCATGTCCCACGGCTGGATTTTGGTGGACAAGAGCGTCACTCCGCCGCTGGTGCGTCGCAAGGTGGACACCATTACGGATGTGGTGCGTAACCAACTGCAGCAGGTGGCACTGGGAAAGGGCGACCAGTTGCCCGCCAAGGAGGTGGCCGACTTCAAGAAACGCAAGCTCCTCCAAGAAACGACTACCAAGAGCTTCGTGCTGGCACGCGGCCCAGAATTTGCCACCACTCTCACCAAGTTGGAGACAGATCTCACGGTGGAAATGCTCGCCAACGGATTGTGGGACCAGCTCAAGTTCAAGGCCTATAACTTTGATGCCTTGGGTGCGCCGCCAACGCGCGGACATCTCCATCCCTTGCTCAAAGTGCGCACTGAGTTTCGGCAGATATTCCTCGAGATGGGCTTCTCAGAGATGCCTACGAACAACTACGTGGAGTCGTCATTCTGGAATTTCGATGCGCTCTATCAGCCGCAGCAGCATCCAGCTCGCGATGCCCACGACACCTTCTTCGTGAATCATCCGGCCAGAAGCCACAAGTTCCCGCAGGATTATCTGGAGCGCGTGAAGAAGGTGCACTCTGTGGGAGGCTATGGGTCAAAGGGTTACGGCTATGACTGGAAGATAGAGGAGGCGCAGAAGAATCTACTGCGCACTCACACGACGGCTGTGAGTGCCAGGATGCTATACAAGCTGGCCAACCAGGAGGGCGGCTTCAAAGCAGCCAAGTACTTCAGCATCGACAAGGTATTCCGCAACGAAACACTGGACGCCACACATCTGGCGGAGTTCCATCAGGTGGAGGGTGTGATCGCAGATGTTGGCCTAACGCTGGGCGATCTAATTGGCACGCTGTACGAGTTCTTCAGAAAGCTGGGCATCACGCAGCTAGAATTCAAGCCGGCATACAATCCCTACACCGAGCCCAGCATGGAAATCTTTTGCTATCACCCCGGCCTGGCCAAGTGGATCGAGGTGGGCAACTCGGGCGTCTTTCGGCCGGAGATGCTGCTGCCCATGGGACTGCCGGAGAACGTGAATGTAATTGCCTGGGGTCTGTCGCTGGAGCGACCCACCATGATCAAGTACGGCATTAACAACATCCGTGATTTGGTCGGACCCAAGGTGGATCTAAAGATGGTGGAGGAGGGTCCAATCTGCCGGCTGGATCATGCTTAAAAAAAAAACTAGGACCTGCGATCAAATTGCATTTTTTTCACTCAAGAATGTTCCAAAAAATATTTATAAATAAAATATCCGCCACAGAACTTGGGCTGTATTGATAAAGGGAAAAATCTTTTAAAATTTGGCGAACCCCCATTTGAATTTGGCGTCAAACCAGCTGTTCCTAAGGGTTGTCGCACGCAACAGATTGATGCTAACCGCGTTTGAAGGTTTTGCTCGATAGAAGCAGCTCGGGTTTATAAAAGGGCACATATCTGAAAAAATAAAAACTGCTCAGAGAAAGAATTATAAAATATGCTTGAGAATCTTATCAATTGAAATTGTATCTGGCAACCCTGGCACAAAACAACGTCACCTCACCCACACACAAACGCTCGAAGAAAACAACGAAGGAGAGACCCAAACAAAAAAAAAAAGAAAACACAAATTCGTCATTGTCGCTGGACTTTAGGCCTTGAAAATGGCTAACAATCCGACGCAGACCCTCCACCAGGCAATCAAGGCCGAGTTCGGCACCCAGAGCACCAGCGATCTTTCGAAATTGAGCAGTATAAGTGGCACAAACCCACAAATGACGCCGAGATTCGCGATTCCGCAGCTCAAAATTCCTCAATTGCAGCTACAGGCCAATGCGAATGCAGCTGCCCAGCAAGAATCCCGCCAAGCGGCGGAAACACACAATCAGTTGCTCCTCAATGAGATCCAGTTGAGGCAACAGAGCCAGCGATCCGAGAGCGAGAACAAGCCACAATTAGTGGGATTTGTGATACCCCAACTGGGAGCAACGCCCATGCAACCACTGAGTATACCCCTGCTGTCCAGACTGGAGCGTGGCGTGGATAAGCTGCAAATAGGCGATGGGGCAACGAACACAGACACTCCAGCATCACCACTCATTGACCTTTCGTTCACGGTGATTGCAGGGAATAGTGGCGCACCGCCCAAGGAGTCGGCCAGCAAGGCGCGCCAGCTGACCAGTCGGGAGAACTTTGATATACCCTTCATTGCCTGCGATCGAGGAAGAAGCACGCCTACTGGCGACATCCTGGCCAGCAGGAGATCCATCAACTACGAAGAGGACGAGCCAGCGAATAGCGACTACCGGGAGCAGCCGGGACCCATCGGGCTCATGCTGGACGCAGTGGTGGGCTATCCGGAGCCGAGGAAGCCCCGTCTAGTGTACGCCGTCACCCCGCTGGAACGACAGCACCTGAGGATGTGCCAGCATAAGGATTACGGCAGCCAGGTCAAGAGATTCCGCTTTGATACTCCCTCGCCGGATGAGCTCGTGAAGCAGGCGCTGCAGAAGTCCTGGCGGGTCTCCCGCACTTGACCCCAATTGATCCTGTTAGTTGACAATTACTTATAAGTAAGAACAAAGTAATACATTTATTCAATAAATTCAAGTTCAAAAGAAGCTGCCTGGCTATTCTTGCAGCCAGTTGATGTCACGGAGCGATGTTTCATTTATTAAGTTTGCAATCCGATCCCTGTCCTTGCTTTCTCAATTATAACTGCCAGTATTTATTTATTTATGTATTAACAGAATATTTTAAATGGTCGCTAAAATGTTTTCACGCGTTAGTGTGTTTTTAGCAAAGGCGTTAAGGCATGTTCGCAATTCTGACAACGGTTACACCGCATATGCGGTCACACTATTGTTGGGCAGCTAGTCTGGGCACACTGCAACTTTGCGAATAGCAAAATCGCGAAACGCAAAAAATTATATTCTTCCACTAAAGCGCAATTCGAACGTAAAGCGAACTTTTAACGCATAGAAAATAAACACAAAGAGCATAAGATAAGAACAAACAACAAGGAGACGTTTAAATATTGATCAAAATAAGTTCTCTGTTCTTGTTGTGCCTCTGTGTGTTTGTGTCTGTGCGTTCGTGTATCTGTGTGCGTGTTCCCTGCGTGTCGGTGTGCGGTGACTGTGCTTTGGTGTGCGTGTGCGTATAGCTGTCACTTTCTGGCGCGCACACAAGATATATACACACAGAAATTTGAAAAAGCGGTGCCCACCACACGTCCCCCACCCCGTTCCAGACAACCACCATCACCACCACCACCACCACCCCCTCCCGTCGTCGCGGTTCGGCTGGATGTGTGCGCCCGGTTCCGGTGCCTTTTGGTTACCGTTCCCGTGCATCTGGACCTGGAATCACAGTGTACGTGCGAGTGAGAGGGCACGTTAGAATTTTAAAGAGCAGCCGAAAGGAGCAAGAGCAGGACAACAGAGGAGCTCGAGTTGCCGGTACCGTTACAGGTAATATTTATATGTGCGAGACACTCGGCGGGAGTGTATGCGCGCGTGTGTGTGTGTGTGTGTTGTGGGGGGTGGAGATACGGATACAGATACATGGATACATTCCAAAGCGGCTGTATGTGCACTTTTCGCTGTTTCCACAATGCACATTTTATTATTTATTTATTTTCGCGTTTAACTCTAACCCCTCTCGCCTTCGACGCTCGTGGTTTTTTGTTATTTTCGGTGATTTGTTGCCCCGCCTTCGATAAGATGGAAAATTCCAAACTGCCCACAGATTAGACGTGTGTACATACATATGTACATACATAAATATACATACATTCTGGTTCTGTTTCTGTTTGGCTGTGGCTGCTGTAACTCAACTAAAGAAAGAAAAAAAGCGTCTGCAAACGCAGACATTTGACCTTGCTGGGGACAATAACAACAAGAATATCAATAAGAATAGTAGTGGGAATAGAAACAACAGCAACAACAGCAAAAACAGCAACAACCCACGCAAACGATTGCATTTGTGATATGCGCTTTTTGAAATGAAAACCCGAAATTGAAATTCTCTAAAGAAATCTGAATGCGAATCTAAGGCAAAAGCTAATAGATTACCCATATACACACGCTCGGGCAATTATCACAATAACATCGTCATCAGGGTCGAGCTTTTATCAGATCCAGCCACTCACGAACACACATGCAAGCGAATTATCAGGTTTTAATTGCCAAAGCACGCACAACTAAACCCAATCCACTATTCCAGATCAGAAGTGCACAAAGGAAGCAGCAGCAGCAACAGCAGGAGGACTGTTCCAGTTCCAATTCCAGTTCCCAGTCCCGTTCCAGTATTCCAGGCAAGGTGATCGGAAAACTAAACCACTCGACAAACTCCAGCAGTAAGAGCAGTATTTAAAAGGCAACGCAGAGGAAGAGGAGGAGCTAGTGGACGTGGTGGACACCCGGAAAGCCCAGTAGAACTCCCCCTGAGACCCTGAGATGTTGCCATTCACCCCGCAGGTGGTCAAGCGTTTGTTAGCACTCAAAAAGGGCAACGAGGACAACAGCGTCGAGGGCAAGTGGTCGGAGAAGGCCGTCAAGAATCTGGTCAAGAAGATCAAAAAGAATTCGCAGCTGGAGGAGCTAGAGCGCGCGATCTCCACACAGAACTGCCAGACGAGGTGCGTGACGGTGCCGCGCAGCAAGCCAGCTCCCGCCGGCGAGCATCTGCGCAAGGGTCTGCCGCATGTCATCTACTGTCGCCTGTGGCGCTGGCCGGATCTCCAGTCGCAGAATGAACTAAAGCCCCTCGATCATTGCGAGTACGCCTTCCATTTGCGCAAGGAAGAGATCTGCATAAATCCGTACCACTACAAGAAGATTGAACTGTCCATCCTGGTGCCCAAATCGCTGCCCACGCCGCCCGACTCCATTGTGGATTATCCGCTGGACAACCATACGCACCAGATACCCAACAACACCGACTACAATGCCGCGATAATTCGCAGCGCCTCGTTGAGTCCGCCGCAGTATATGGAATTGGGCGGTGCCGGGCCCGTTTCCGTATCATCGTCCGCCAGTTCGACACCCGCGACTGCCGCCGGTGGTGGTCCCTCCTCCTCCTCATCGTCGTCCTCATCCGCCGCCTCCGCCTATCAACAGCAACAGCAGCAGCTGTCCTTTGGCCAAAACATGGACTCTCAATCGAGTGTGCTCAGTGTGGGCAGCAGCATTCCCAACACCGGCACCCCGCCGCCTGGCTATATGAGCGAGGATGGTGACCCCATCGATCCCAACGACAACATGAACATGTCGCGTCTAACGCCGCCCGCCGATGCAGCGCCGGTAATGTACCACGAGCCGGCCTTCTGGTGTTCCATCTCCTACTACGAGCTAAATACGCGTGTCGGAGAGACGTTCCATGCCTCGCAACCCTCGATTACGGTGGATGGCTTTACCGATCCCTCCAATTCGGAGCGCTTCTGCCTCGGACTGTTGTCCAATGTGAATCGCAACGAGGTAGTGGAGCAGACACGTCGCCACATCGGCAAGGGCGTACGGCTGTACTACATTGGCGGCGAGGTATTTGCAGAATGCCTGAGCGACTCGTCCATCTTCGTACAGAGCCCAAATTGTAACCAGCGATATGGATGGCATCCGGCCACCGTATGCAAGATACCGCCCGGTTGCAACCTGAAGATCTTCAACAATCAGGAGTTCGCCGCCCTGCTGTCGCAGTCCGTGTCGCAGGGATTCGAGGCGGTCTACCAATTGACACGCATGTGCACCATCCGCATGTCATTCGTCAAGGGCTGGGGCGCCGAATATCGTCGCCAGACGGTGACCTCTACGCCCTGTTGGATCGAACTCCATCTGAACGGGCCGCTCCAGTGGCTGGACCGCGTGCTCACGCAGATGGGTTCGCCTCGGCTGCCGTGCAGCTCCATGTCATAAGCGCACGGCCGGTTCCGGTTTTCAATCTTCCCCCTCCCCATTTTTCCGCACAGTAAGCGCAGGAGTTTAAGTCCCATTTTGGGATTAAAGAAGAACCCCAGAAATCCCATGACGGCTCTGACAAGTAACACTGACGAAGAAAGGATACTATCCTCAAGAATTTGTGGTAGTCAATATCGTTTATTATCGGCTTTTAATCACATTCGCAAGAAATTTCGAAGGTAATTAAAATTCTAGATTAACGTCCGCAAAATCTAGATGAAATTGGTATGCAATCAATGTGCTTTTGCTCGGTTTTCATTTAAATTCGCTTAGCATCTAGGCAGTGAATGTTGTAATACCCTTTGCCAGGGTATAAAATGCACTTGATTTCACTAGGTCTAGGAAAAGTAAATTTAAATGGCCGCAGCCTGTACAAATTAAAATCGAGAAAAAGCAGGGCACAACAACAATTAAATCCTTGATGTACCAAGAACTCCCGTAAAAGGCTTGCAAAAACCAAAAATACTATACTACATCTTTGTTATGGATTGAGTTGAATTTTGCCCGTTTCATCAGTGTTACTAGTCAGCATCTCATCGGGAAATCAAAAATGAGAATCGGAATTGGTTTCAAAGAGAAAACCAAGAAAAATTCTGAGAGCACATATGAAATAAGTTCAGGCAAATTAAATACGAGTACATAATTGAGTAATTGAAAACAAATGGTAGATGCAAACCAGATGCAGATATATCTATATACAAAGAGCACACACTTACATGTGGGATATATATCTTTACAAGCATATATGAGAGAGAACATGTATTTGGCGTTACAAGTTTAGGACTATATATTGTGTAGGTGGAAACGTGGAGAGTTACAGTTTTCGATAAGAAGCAACAATTTTTTTAAACATTTTACATACAAAAAACAAAGCAAATGTGGAAATAACCGAAATGGAACCGACCAGGAACACACAAAACCAAAAGATACCCCGAATCTGTGTGCGTAAAGTTGGTAGCGCTAGAAGCGAGAAAGTCAAAATTCTTTGAGAAAGAAGCAAAACAAATATATCGGTGATTTGGAACAAAAATGAATGAGTAAAACAGGAACTGGGATTTATCAAGCTTGAAGCTTACACACACAGACACACTACCATACATTGCAAATGTACATAAGACCAAAATAATGAAATTATTCACGCAGGACCTCCACTTGATCGAGTATGGGAGTATAGATATATCCGTTTGATGATGGTTGTTAAACGATTTGATTTTCGCTTAGTACGTGTGTGTTAAAAATTCGTCAACTCTTAAAACGCAGTCAGCTCTTGTTAGTCGTAATATTCGTAAAATGCGATCGTATATCCTATATGTAAAGCACTTGCCCAACAAAATTGAAATGCCTCAAGCCCAGGTCTGGCCCATCCAAGGTGCCATTTTGTTCAGAACTGCATTTACTGTGTACCAAATGAGAGATTCTTAATTATTTTACGGCCTCGGATTTAAACCGACAGCTTAACCAACCGATATGCAATATGGTTTGCCGGTGCTGGCTGGATTTTGCTTGGCAAGTGCACGTTTTCTTGGGTCTAGATCTTAAGTCTATATATGTAACGAAATTCGCTAGCTTATATTAACAATTAAAGAGCCCAAATCCAGTTTAAGTTCCAGTTCAAATTGTTTTTACGTCAATATTTGCTGATTCATTTAATTTTTTTTTTTGTCCTTCGCTTCGCTGTTACGACCAAAAATAACTGTACCGCCTGGCCAGTGTTGGACGGTGCATAGTACGTGGCGGCTAGTGTTGGCCAGCGCACTTGTCCCCTGGTTCCGGCGAAACTTTAATTTAAGTTTTGTCTATTGTTTGCCCCCTTTGTTGCTTTTAAGTTTCTCACGTGTGTAGTTTTGTGCTGAGACACTAAGTCCTGATTGGCAATCAATCGAATAAACGACCGCGAACGAGATTGTGTTTTGTTAATTGGCTCTAATCACTGTTTTTAATCAATCAATTGTTTTCGTATTTCCGGCTAAGCCCGCAAATAATGTAATGTAATCTTTAAGTTATGCCTAACGAAACAAAGCAATGCAGGCGAACATGCAGCAACAGTCAACAGTCCTCGGACACAACCACAGAGAACCAGCAAACCCGTACCCGTAACTTTATAAAGTATAAATACAAATATATACATATATCTAATATGCAAGCATGCAGATAAAGACAAACAGAATCGTATATATAAATAAACACCTATATTGAATGGAAAGCACAGCCCAAGCCCCTTCTGGCGCAGCTTAGGGTGGGGCGAATCTCGCGTTCGGCTGGAATTGGATTTGAATGGAGCGGGTAAATTGTACCTTATTCTAAAATAATCGAAGTGCTCTCGAGTTGTCAACGCTCGTGCACCTTGAGGTGCTGTTTATGATTGGATTTGCGCAGAAATCGTGCTGGACAGAGTGGACAGGCGAAGGGACGCTGTTGGGTGTGGGCGATCTGGTGGTGTTTCAGCTCCGAGGCACTAAAGAACCGCTTGTCGCAGTGCGGCTGTGTACATGGGAAATCGCGCTGGTTGTAGTGCCGCTTCAGGTGAATGCTAAGATAGCACTGATCTGTGAGGATCCGGCTGCAGACCGGGCAGGTGAAGCTGAGCGCGGTCGTCTCCAGTTGGTCTTGCTCTGCCAGCGGATGATCGGAATCCGGACTGGTTTGGGCCGCATGCCTGAGCTTTGTGTGGATGCGGCGCGCGTGGATGGAGTGGAATGAGAGATGGCAGTCCGTGATTAAACACGGATATGGCTTCTCTCCCGTATGCAATCGTCGATGGACAGTTAGGTAGTTTGCATACCGGAAGCCCTTGCCGCAGATGTCGCATTTGTGTGGCCGCTCCGCTGTGTGGGTCACTGCATGGATGCGAAGCTTATTCAGTTGCCGGAACCCCTTGCCGCACTCCTCGCACACATGCGGCTTCTCGTCCGTGTGGGTCATCTTGTGGATGCGCAGGTTGTAGGCTTCCGAGAAGCGTCTGCCGCACACGTCGCAGGTGTGCTCCTTTCCAGCACTGCAGAGGCGCTTAGTGGGTGGTATTCGCTTGGGCTTACATATGTCTGGTTGCCTATGTTCCGTGGTGTTGCGCTGCTGGAGAGCCTAAGTGGAGATTGATCATGGAAGACTAATGTGCATTGATAATGTGCATTTTACCATAAGCCACTTGAACTCACCCCATTTACAAGTTCCAACAGATCGAATTCCGAGCCCGGACTGAGCAGCTCCATCTCCATTGGCAATCTTTCTCCGGAGAGATCCTCCAGTTGGGCAAACAGCTGCAAGTCCTCGAGGCAAACGCCATAGTTACCCAGATCGTCGTCCGTAAAAGTGTCGTCTGTTATGTGGGATATGTGGGCTGGATCTCGGGATCGCATGATGGTCCTCCGCTTCCGTCCGGACCGCTGATGTTTCGCCAACTGCCGATGAAGACTTCCGCTACCGTAGGAAAAAAGAAGGCAATGCCAACGGAGTCCGGACTAGCGTCGATAAGATTACGCCGTGTTTAATTATGTAGTATATTATTACAGGTCGCAGTTGTTGGCCATGAAATTCAACAAAACAAGCGGTTGCGCTTGTATTTTATTTTATCGAAATGTCGCTCATAAAGTTTGCCCATAAATGAATGATTAGCCCGGTCTGCACTTTAAACGCTGGCGGTGCGCACTTTGAGCCAATTGGACGATCCCGCGGTGGACTCCGATTACCCAACGCATGTATGTATTCATATAAAATGTTGTGTTGTCTATGGCTCAACTTTATCGGGTTGCCCTGATAAGACACTGTCCAACAAGTCCTAACCGTTCGGTTTCCAGTAGTGAAATGGTAACTGTGGGAGAACACGATCGAAGGTATTCCCCGTCGTAGAGATCATCTATCGCCAACTAGTTCCCACGGACTCAAAGTTCGGAATGAAAAGCAAATCAAACATTTAGAATCGCCACTTGGGGGACAGTATGGCATGGACGGCACTGGCAATATTTTATAAAAGGGATGGTATAAGATGATGATATAAGAAGATGGTATATGATGGTATAATATGAATAACATATCTATATTATATCTATAGTATGATGATTAATTTGAGGACTTAATTCAAGGGGAAATGTACAAAGAGCTTTTCAAGCTGGGTACTGCGATAATAACCGTCATTAGAAAGCTGTTCATAGTTTAGAGCGGGACAACATAAGATATAGACGTAGTAATATTTTACTTTGAGGGGGCTGAATCGTTTTCTTTACTTTAATATTCAAAACCACATGGTTTTCTTTGTCGATATAAGCTTTTATTGCACGACTCTTGAATGAAATAACCTTTTAGACGGCGCCCGCGCAGGGAACCCACGTCTCTGAACGGTTTGCATGGCAATGTCAAAGAGCAAAACTAGGCACAATTATAATTTATCATGTTTGGATTTAGATATGCGTTGCAGCTGAGGCTGCAATGGAGTAAAACTGCACCTAGACGGTGAACTTTTGTAGCAGATGGCGCAACTCTTCGTTCTGGCGACGCAAAAAGACGACTTCCGCATCGTACTGCACGCGCATCTTGAGCACCTCTACGTAGTGATTCAGTCCGTGCTCCAATGTCTTCCACAGCTTGCACTTGGAGGCCGGGAAGCAGGCCGAGAACTGGCGCCAGAAATTACGGATCTCCGCATCCGTAATCTGAATGAGATTTACCGCATTGAGAATGCTGCCCGGCTCGTGCTCGTACATCTTTTTGTGCATCTTGGAGGTGAACAGATTCATGGCGTGCAGGCAGAGAGCCGGCTCCATGACCAGATAGTGATTGTGACATCTCTTTGCCGCCTCCTCGCTTTTGGTTAGAATGGGTTCCCCTGTGGATCCATGCTCCTTTTGATGCTGCTGGCCTCCCGTTATGCCCTGCAGCCGATTGGGCTTTTGATCCTTCATGAACACCTCGGCGCACTTGCGTGGACTCAATCCCTGCGGTTGGCAGGTGGGACAGTAGGTGTACGGCATGAAAACCTCGGTCAGTTCCTCGACATCCCGCAGATGACGGATTCGCAGCGCTGCAAAGATATTGTCGATGCGAACGAGGCATTTGTCCTCCTCGGAATACGGCTCCAGTATCTTCAGCAGTCTCTCCTCGATGAGGAAACCGCCGCGATCGGACAGCTTACGAATGAGATTACGCATCAAGCGCAGCGACTCCGGTGCCAGCTCCTTGATATCCGGCTTGTAATTTGCAGCCGACTTGGTCAGCACCCTGTTTTTGGGAACCCGCCCAATTCGCATGTCAAACTTCTCCAGAATGTTATTGCGCCTCTTTTTCGCCTTGTTGATATTTTTAATGGGTGGCACGGGACTGGACCACGGCATGGCCAGCTGCTGCTCGTGTATGATGCGATCGATGTGGTAGACCCGATCTACCAGCAGGTTCAGTTCCTTATAGTTGATTTCCCAGATGCGATCGAATTTCTCGCGATTGTTCAGCCTCGCCTGATGGGCCTTCGACTCCATATCGTTGATGTTGGCATGCAACTTGTAGATGTCCGAGGAAAGACGGGCTATGTTTCGCTTGCCCGTATTGTAAAGGTTCTTCAGGCCACGCCGGGTGCGTCCGATTGCCTCATGCAGGCGGGCCACCCGCCGCTTCTGCTGGTTGTTAATGATCACATTCTCCTCGTTGCGCTTCTGTAGAACTTGATAGTTGTAGTCCAGCTTCTCGGAGTTCATCAGCACATTGTCACGTGTGCGACGCAACTCCAACTCGAGCCTCTCGCACTCCTTCTCCAGCCGAATCCGTGTGCTCTTGGTCAGCTCCTCCTGGGACTCGTTGATCTGCTGCGTTTGGCGAGCATAGAACTGCTCACGTGCTCTCACCAAACTGGCCTTCTCGTCAAAGTTTGCATTCATCGCATCAAAGAAGGTGCGCCACTTCTCCACCGCACTGTCGGCAAACATCTGCCGCTCCTCCTCGATGGTGTGCCGAAGCATTTGGATGTGCTCCTTGTAGGCCTCTTTTAGTGTCTCCACCTGGTGATCGACGCGCTCCACCAGACAACAAAGATCCTGGGCCTGCCGCTCGCGATCGAACTCGTACTTGGCATTCATGCGGTCCACCTCCGCTTGGCAGGCAGATATCATCTCATCCTTGCGGGCCATGATCTCGGCAATGCGTTTCTTTTGCTCTTCGATTTGGTCCCACAGTAGCATCGGCTCGTTGGTCTCCTCCAGCTCCGTCCAGCGCGCCTTAATGTTCTCGAAACGGGCCATGGTCTCCACGCTTTCGCGTTGCAGCTTCACCTGCACCTGATTTTTCTGTGTTGTCTCAAATAATCGGCGATTAAGCTCCCTTCGTTCGTTGGCCACCCGGACATTGGTCACCAGCTCGTTACCAAAGCGTACCAGTTCATTCAAACGCTCGCTGGACAACTCCAGCTGTTGGTCAATGGGCGACTTCTGGGCCTGACAACGTTCGGTGACGCCTTTTGGTGCCTCGCGGAACTGCTGACGCACCCGGTTGAGAATCTCCAGCCGGCGTTCGTCCAACTTCTTCACCGACTTGTCGCAGCGTTCGTTGAAGATCAGACCATCGATTCGGTTATTGAACGACTCCCAGCTGGCCACCGGTTCAAGATCGGTCTCGACCTCCTCCTCCTCCTCGACACTGCCGTCGCTGACCAGCTCCTGGTGCTCCTCCAGCTCATCCTCGTTGTCGTCCATGGTTCAAAATATATTCCAGGTCGAGATTTGGATGAGAATCGATTTGTTTTGCGGGATTTCAGAAGACAACTCTTCTAAAAGTCAAGGGGGTTTGTTGTGTGACTGGAGAAGTTTGATCGAAGGATCCCGGTTTCCCTTGGTTTCGTGTCCATTGCCCATTGCGCCTACTTTTCCGGTAAAAACAAAAATGTTTTCTTGTGTTTGTTTACTTCTGTTGTCAGTGGTGCCACATTAGTGATGTCAAAACAAACAACTGCAGGTTTTAGTAAATATACATTTGTTTTTTCGTATTAAAAAATGACTGTTTTGCAACTATTTTATCGTTAACAATTGCCAAAAGTCATTGAATAAGTATTATTAGATAAAAGAGTTAAAATCCATTTAGCTCGGGCTTGAATTAAGTTTATCTCCACCTGAAATAATCGTTATCGAAATCGAGCGATAAGTGCAGCAGCTATAGTTACTTCCCTCTCGCTTCCACCTGCCCTAGACGTGCTGACGTCACCCGGGCATTGCCAAATGCAAAATGAGTGGAAAATTCCATTGCCAAAACCGCAATGACCCATTGACCCCTTGCAACAAACATAAGGCGGGATGTTTGACCCCTGAGTTGCAATCAACAGTCCGCATTTGATGCCTTCGAAATACAGCCCTGCGGATTTGGGGACACTGGGTTGCATTCGACCAACATTTTGGAACCACATTCAAAAAAGTCGAGCGAATTATTAACATGATAGTATTTACTTTGACCTATGTATTTACAAAATTTGCGCGGGGTTGCGGGACTCAATTATCCTCAGTCTTCAAGGTGATTTCATATATCAGCTCGTCGTTGTAGTCCTGCCCATGGTCATGATGGTGATTCTGCTGCTGCTGGTGATGCTGTTGGACAGCGTTAAAGTATTGCTCCTCGGTGAGCAGCTCCTCGTCCTCCACATCCTCGTCGACGTCCTCGCCGACCACGTTCTCCACCAACAGGCGCTGGTCATCGTAATCCGATATCTGCACATACTGCGGCTCGCCCTCATTCAAATAATGCCGATTTGACGACGACCCCTGCTCATCCGCCTGACCTTCCTCAACCAGCAGGCCGTCGTCCTCGTCGTACTCCTCCTCCAGCAGACCCATGCCGTCGTCATCGTCGTCCTGGCCATCCATAATGCGGCCAGAAATGGATCCTGAACCGGATCCTCCTTGATTGTCATCACCATTCACAAAGCGGCGCGTATTGCTGCGGCACTGAATCGATCGCTTGTGGGCGTCGAAATAGTTGATGTCGGTGAACTCCTCCTGACACAAATGGCACACATATGTGCCCTGGCTCAGGTGCATCTCCTTACGATGACGGGCCATTTTGTGGGCATCGCGACACTGCATCCCACAGAATGGGCACTTGAGCATCCTTCGCTTGCCCATGTGAACATTGCGGATGTGCTCCTGCAGAGAGAAGTTCTTGTAGTAGGCCTTCTGGCAGTACTGGCACTGGAATCGCCGCTTCTTCTCGTGCGTCGCCTCGCGATGGCGCTTCAGTTGGGTATTCTGGGCGAACGTCTTGCCGCACATTTCACAAATGTGCTCCTTCTCCAGATGCCGGCGCTGATTGTGCACGCGAAGATCCTGCTTGGTCGAGAAGTACAAGGTGCACAGTTCGCAGACGTATGGTCGAATGCCCATGTGGCGCCGCGCATGTCCGGCCAGGTATTTGCAGTCGCGGTACGTCTCCGTGCAGTAGATGCAAGCATAGCGATTGGTTCCGGGCACCAGATGGGTCTTCTGGTGCTTGGACAGTTTCGTTTTGTGCATCACATCTGGACAAATGCCACACTCTACCGGCAGCTTCTCATCGAGCATGTCGCTGATCATGGAGAACTCCACAATGGGGGTGCTGTCCTCGTCAAAGTCCACAATGGTTGCTATTAGGTCGTCGAAAAGCAAGTAGCGGCGCGGTCCCTTGAACTCCTCCAGCATCTTTTCGCTTGGTTTCACATCCTTGACGCTGCCATCGTCGTCATTTTGGCTGGCAAAGCTGCGTATGGCGATCTGGAGGGCAGATGAAGATCTCGCTTTGCTGACGTGCTGAACAGCAGGCTTCGACGGCTGTGGTGGCGATGGTGGCAAGGAGGGTGACGACGGCGGATACATATCCAGATCTTCTTCCTCCCTCTCGGAAGCGCGCTGATGGCCGTAGCTGAGTTCGTGCTCGTAGTCGCCGTAGTCCAGCTCCTGTTCCTCCTCCACCAGTTCACCCATTTCACTGAGCTGCAGTTCCGTGACAACATACTGCGCCCCATGTTCGTCCATCGGCGACTGCTTCATCCGGGAGCCCACTAAGAGACCCTGCAGCTCCTCGTCCACAAGCAGCTCGCCCTCCACGCCGTCCTCGTTGACGATCAGAAACTCCTCATCGTATTCATTGCCCAGACTGTCCAGAACCACGTAGGTGGCATCCTCGCTGGCGTCCATCAGGCGAACGGTTCGACCGTTGCCATCGTCCGAATAATCGCTATTGGCCGGCAGCACAAATTCAATTATCTCAGACTTGTCCAGGCTCATCGCAAGGCGGTGGTTGTTGCTCATCCTGGTCACATCAACTGAATTAATTAATTATTTTGCATGAATCTTGCCGAAAAAACGTACAAAATGGCAAGTGTGACCAGAGACTGGTTGCTGGCCCATACCATCTATCGGACACCAAATTTCGATAGGATTTCGATTAAAATACTCACTTTGTATTTTACATTTTCATTCAAAATTCTACACAACATATTCTTTTGTTTAAAAACATACGTAGATTCAGTGAGTTTAAAGGCTTTTTTCGGCATAACTACACAATCGAACTGTGAATGCAACTCGATTGCAATTTTTTTACGAGTTCAACGAGGTATAACATTCTATATTTGAACCAATATTCTCTTTGTTTCAAATAAAAAAGTTGCAACTTAGTGCAAAAAAAAGTAAAACGACATTATGCGTATGTCTTTCGAAAGTTAGATAACTACTTGTATTACAAATGCAAAAACGGGAATTTACCTTCCTTAGACATAAAAGCTAATTAATAAATAAACTATTTTCTTAATGAATATACCACGAAATACCGATGACTGCGAGCGATCGATAACGCGCAATTTGAATGGCTCTCTGCGCGCCAAAAAAAATCGCTGCGCATGCGTGACGTCGCTAACGTCTTTTGCCGCTTTTTGGCCCCTTGTCTTGTTGTTGTTGCTGTACTGTTTTGCGGTCTGCGCTCGCGACTAACTTGGCTAACTTGGCTAACTTCTGGATTCGGAATTGGCCCGGTGCATTGCATCTGCACACTCGGTGGCGCGCGCTTGTCTTCTTGAGGCTTCTTCAACCCAAACGGTCGTGTTTCGCGAGCTTTTCTGCCTGTAATAGTTCAATAATAGTTATTTCTTTTTTTTACGGTGTTTACTGTTTCTGTGTCTTGAGAGCGTGCGAAGTGCGAAGTGCGCGCATGCGTAGTGGCTGATAATTAACCAATTTGAAAATTGCGGTTCTTCTGCTTTTTCGCAATTCGAATTGACCGCATAATTGCGCAAGGAATTCGATTTTTTTTCTTGTTTATGCTACAAGTGTCATAAAAAACAAGAAGATTACCAAAAGTTTTAAAGAAATGCAAAACCTGCCAAGTCACTATTAAAGGATTAAGGAAAGGATGTAACTTTCGTTCTGAAAGGTAAGGGAATGCCAGCAATAAATAAAAGCTATTTAAAGTGATGTATTAAACAAGAAGAAAAGATCACAGTTTGAACTGAAGAACTGATTTGTGCAACTTAAAAGCAGGACCAAATGAAAGGATCCCAAAATGTTATACGCCAGAAAATATGTATAGAACAAGGTAATGTAGTAAGGATCCCGATGCCGAAGATTAAGGACTGAGGAGCACATAGCCATTTCATTCAGAGTGAAGGGCAGGCAATCTCACTGTCACGGCGACTTGGAAAGGTCGATTTAGGTTTGTGGAGGGCCGAAGTGGTATTGTTAATTGGGCTGATTACAATGCACACAAGAGCTAATAAGAGATGGAAATCACAAATACAAATAGAGAGCACAATGGGCGAATAACCAACGAGCTGGCAGTAACATCAAAATATAGGATTACGCAAAGTTGCAAACGCATTATGTTGATGTTGATTTAAGCTTCGGTATTTGCCTTTATCGCCTCTATTTATTTATTTGTTCGCCGTGCTGCAACATCTTGAGCCCATAGCTCCACAGCTCCACAGCTCCATAGCTTTATAGACTCACTCCAATCAACAAATATGGGACAAACTTGACCCGCTTTCGGCGCGGAATTGGCATCGCATCGCATCGCATCGAAAATGGGCAGGGAAGGGCCACCAAATTGGCCTCTCGTTTATTTGGCAATTAAAATTACATAAATTGACAGCGATATACCCCTTTCCCTTTTTCTTTTTGCCGTAGAATTGATTGGCAATTGTTAAATGAAATATGGAGGATAGACATTCTTCAAAATTCAGATGGCTAGCTGGAAACCTTTTTCTTTATAATCCATATATGTTTTTAATGCTTATAACCATTCTTGTGCTTGTTCGATTGCATACTTAAATAGTTAAAGTCTAGAAGAAGTCTAGAACATATTTCGCACTTTGGTTAACCTATTTGAAAACACGAAACGGCAGAAACAATTAGACTATGCCCCTAAATACTTGACCCAAAATCGTCGCTATGCCAACTAATGCATTTCCATTTCGCAGACAAGATTCTCGAACTTGGACTGGGAGTAGGCCAATTAAGAGTTAGCCACGCGGCCGCACGAACAGGTGTCGTCGCTTCCAGCCGCAGCAACTTCAGCAGCAGCAGTAGCAGCAACAGCAGCAGCAGCAGCAGTAACATCTAGTGACAGCAGCAACATCCAAAGACAGCAGCAACAAGTGGCATCATTATCATTTGCGGTTTCGATCATCGGCGGGGCGGTGTGCGCCGTTGCCTCTGGCAGAAAACGGGAAATCGGAAACATGTTCTCCTCCAGCGCCTCGGCCGCATCCACATCCTTCAATCTCGGCCAGCTGCTGCCTTTGGCCGTCGCCATCGGAGTGTTGCATCTGCCGCAGTTTGCGTGTCATGCTGGCTGGGCAACCAGAACGCCAGAAAATTTGATCAACGATTCAAGCCCCACACCCACCACCACCACCACTAACAGCATGCAAATCCAGGCGATGCAGGTGAACTGCAGCCGGGAGCTGCTCGAGATGCACCTGGAGTTGAGCCGCCCCTTTCGGGGATTGCTCTACGCAAAGGACTTTCCGCTGGAGTGCCGCGCCAGTGGCAAGGACTCCACGCGTCTGCACCTCCGCATCCCCACATCGGGATGCGGAGTGAGGGCGGAGCCACTGGGGGACGGCAGCCTGGAGTACACGGTGCGGGTGATGCTCCAAAAGGAGCAGAAGCTGCGCCAGAGCACCGACATCCTGAGCTCGGTTAGGTGCCAGCTTCCGCCCACTGCGATGGGCATGCCACTTCCGGTTCTGCGACAGGAAATGGGACACGACAGGTAAGTTGGATATATTTGTTATTATACGCTTAAGATTCAATTCAAGTATTCATGCTGGACCATTTGGCTTATTGCATGCATCTACTGATACAATGGTTTTCTTTTCCTTGGTGATATATTCAGAAATGCCAGGATGCGAGCCCTGGCTGCTGCTGCGTTTCCAGCCGCCCCGGCGTCCAGGGAGACGCCGCGCGTGCGGATCTGGCTGGAACTGGGCGGTCCCAATGGCACCGGATCCGTGGAGGTGGGCGTGGCCACCACCCTGACGGTGAGGGCCATTGTGCCGGGAAACATCGGAGTGCGGGTGGTGGACTGTGCTGCGCTCGATGGACTGGGAGAATCCACGCAGCAATTGCTCGACGCCCGCGGCTGTCCCATCGACGAGCAGGTGAGTGAGTAGACCAGCTCTAGCTACACAAGATATATGCAGAGATCTGGTGGATCATTTGCGTAACAGGTGCCGGCGGCACGGCATTCTACGCCAGACCAGACCGTTAGAAACCCAGCTTGGATGCGACGAGACGAGCGGAAAGTCATTAATTAGCCACGATCTCGATGCTGTGGGGCGATCTGCGATTGATCGCATTTAACTTTCATTTTTATAGGCGACATCTAGACATCTAGAGGGTATCCATGGGTGTGCGGGGGCATTTTGGGCCAACGGATGGGAAAAACAAGTTCTTTGTGGAGCCTGCAAGTGACGTACGAAAACAAAAACCAAACCAAGAAATAGTCAAGATTTCAAAATCAGCTCCTATATGAATACTCACTTCAAAATGCCAGAAAATAGGTATTTCTAAAACCTATTTAACCCAAACGTAAACTCTGTCACATCGACTTCAGATACCTCGTAAATTTCGAAGTTATGCGCTTGAGAAAAGTTTTAAGTGCATTTTAAACACGACGAAAATGTAAAACAAAAACCGATTCTGCGCCATTGATTGCTCGATTGCCTAGAAAGGGAAATCTAAACACATGGAAACGGGTATACTAATAACCCATTGATTGGATGCCTGCCTCGGTTTTATCCCGCAAAAAATAAGAAAACACTCAAAAATAAGCCTGGCTCATTAAGCGTAACAGTTATTACAGCACGGACATTAAATGTGAGGCAAACGGCAGCCTAACCGAAACTGTTAGCCATAATTACGCGATCATCGTTAGAACAGTTTTCGTTGCCCAGCCAACCAGCCAACCAGCCAACCAGGCAGCCAGGCCCAAAGAACCCAACTGAAGTTGGCTCAAGCCATTAGGAAGTGGGAAAGAAGCGAAGAACATCCAAAGAATTCTAGGGTTCCCTGGGCTCTCCAGCTCTTCAGTTCTTCTTGAGTAAATTAGGAGGTCACAGCAATTAGCCAACAGTGAAATACAAAGAAATATTTATCGTTTAGCATTTTGACGTGCCCCTGTTGCGGTTGCCACATCTTCGTCTCCCCGGCACCTCGGCATTAAGCCACCGCACAGTGGGACCGCCAGGGATTGGGGCAGTAAAAAAAAAGAAGTCGAGTGATACTGGGCAGTGTGGGTTCGACGCCCACCCCAATTCGAAAATTTGTTTGCTTGCCAAAGCTAAACACTTGCAACATAGATGTATTACACGAGTATTCTCATGATACTATTACTTAGAGCCTCGATTGGCTCCACTGTGCGACAGTGGGCAATGCCATTGCCAGGCATTTGCATTTTGGTCGCCGGCCGTCGCAGCTTTGTGCACATGTCATTCATTCACGACCGGGCGGCCTTAAATGGGTCAAACAAATCTCCGGCTGACGCTTCGCTACTTCTTTATGTTGTTGGTGGTCAGGGCAGCGCTAGAAAAATCACACGGCTTAATTTCTGTTTTATTTTAACGGAACGGGCCAGAAGACACATGCATATACTACCTGGTATACTATACCTGCAACGCCACAAAGAAGACCATTAGCATTTTATGTTTGTTTTATTGTTCAGCTCTTGGCGGCCGTCTTCCGTTTTAGCACATTTCATTTTCTTTCGCGCTGCTTTATTGTTTTATTTTTCTGTGCCTTTTTCTATTTTGCTATTTTTTTCTTTTTTCTGTTTTTTGCTCTTTACTTCTCCATCAAGTCGCTCCAGTGCGATTGCAAATTTATGCGCGCACCCATCACCCATCACAGGTTGATTTGTTTGGTTTAGAAACACTTCTGGGTCAGAGCGTGGAGGAAAAGTGAAATAAAAACCGCGTCTTTTGTCTGCAAACGGCGCCGATGATGGTGACCCAATTTTCGGCATGAATTCTCTACCACTTGACCCACTGTGCAGGTGGGTACCGTTAGGAGCGATAAGCCTGCGCAATAGTTATCGATCCTGCAAGGTTATCTAATTCCAATATCCCAAATGAATAGCGGCAATAGTCTATCGATAGACTAGAATATGGATTTCGATTATTTCGATTTTTTCATTTTGGTGATGGCACGTTATCCTTATCTCCCACTAAGGAAGCATTTTGCTATAGCATTTGCATGTTCACAATCTTTCTCCACGTGAACTCATTTGAACTTCCGCCGCAATTTGCTTTTTCTCGGTATTGTCTCAGGTTTCGCATTCACATCCACCCGCACATTGGGGAAACACGTGCTTGGGCGTGTAAATCGAAACTGGGTACGCCGTCCAAGCCAACGTCCATATCTTGGGTCCTATGCCCTCTCAGCAGCTATCTTCTAATTTTGAGTCGGCAGGCATCAAGCTAAGGGGCTTGAGATAATATAGTTATATACTCTGCTGCATCACTGCAGCAAGTGTGTGCCACATTCGTTGCAGCTGCAGTAGCAACCCTTTTGTCTTAGTTGCCACCAACAATGGTGAGATGTAAATCGCAGCGTCTTGTAATTCCATACATCTGTTTCCAGCGATCGCACATGCATCACACCATGTACCCATAGCATCCGTATCCACAATGTGCGCCATATACGCCTGTACATATGTACATGTGCACCACTTGCAACTTGGGCGCTGTTGTCATTGAACTTGGCCACATGACGTTGGCTTTGCCACCTTTTCCCGGCTTTCCTGGTGGGGCTACTTTACCTCACATGGCACTGTGGTGGCATATTGCTCATACGTAACGGATGTGACCGAAATGTCGCCGTGTGAGCCAGTGTCTTGTCAACCCGAATTATTGTATAACCGGCGATTAAAAGGGCCATGAAAAGCACACAACTGGTTGGAGCTCTCTGATGACTCGGGTTCAGGTTCAGGGACAGGTTCGGGTTCGGGCTCAGGTTCAGGTTCAGGGACAGTGACCACAACGGGGACAGGTTCACATTCCCAGCTTATCCCGCACACGTTACATAATCAGTGCTTTCAGTTAGCTGGAGTTCTTGGGGGCAAACAGTGATTAGGTTTACTGCACCGCTTTTCCAGCAAACGAAACTGAGAACATTTAGAGAACAACCTTGTTTAGCCCGCATATTTGCCATGCCCAGCCATTTACCAACGCCCATGAATAAACTCATTTTCCGCCATGGCCAGGTAATGCCCGCTCTGCACACCCAGCACCGTCCGGCGGAGGAGGGATGGTCCAAGCAGCACGAGGAAGACCTGGTCGAGCGGACGTTCGCGGCCACGTTTCCCGCCTTCAAGTTCCCGGACCGCGAGCGCCTCCACGTCAGCTGTGGCGTGCAACTCTGCAAGGGGAAGTGTCCGACTGTGAGTACCCCAAATACTGTACTACCTCTCCACACCACTCGATGCACTGCCCAAATGCAGGGGTAATACGTAGGGCAGATGGGTTGCATAGCTCCAGATTCAACTCGCAAGCAAGGCATCATTTTTTTTTCTTTTTTTTTTTTAAATAAATTAAAAAAACTACATAGATCATTGCTCAAATACTTTTGCTTCAGCTTGTCTAGCCGAACAAGTAGCTCAGCTAAAAAGTGTTATTTTAAGGGATCTTGACCATTAGTCACTTGTGTCAGCCCAACATAAAATGCTCACGGCTTTTCTCGCTGTGTACCGACAAAATGCACCGCTCGTATGCATCTCAATTAATTGCAACGAAAACGAAAGTGTTGCCACCGCCGCTTCTGCTGTTTGCTGTTGTTTCTGCTGCCCAACGTAGCGTGTTGTTGCGTCTGCTAATTAATGTGGTTATTGCACCGAAATGCAGCCAAGTGGAGCCACATACCCACTTAGCCAGCAGTGCGCCATCCGATGCACTAGCTCCACAATTTGCACCACTGATGCGTTGTCTCCGCTTGGAAGATGAGCACGCTATAGATAAGATACCATTGATGGGGGTGCTGAGTGCAAGGGATTAGCAAAGCTACCGGGATTAGTAGGACTAAGGTACACGTGTGGCAACTGCATGTCTCCGATTCCCTTTCGATTCCAGCTAAATTGTCGCCTGAAGACGCCTCCGCCGCCGTTGAGCGCCGAGCAGCACCTGGCCCGCATCGAGGTGTTCAACTCGCTGGCCGTGACAGCTCCCCAAATCGAGGTGGACCGCCTGCGGTACGATAGGCGCCACAACATGAGCGGTAAGTGTACCATCCGACGGGGGACCGCATCTCTGTGGCTGAGGCAGTGCCTCCGGAGTGGGAGTGCAGTGCGTGCCAGTCACGGCTGCCGCACCAACCACAAATTTCGATTTCCTTCTCTAATTACTTGCAAACACTTGCCAGCTTCCAATTAAACTTTCCTTAATGCGGCAGGTTTTCGCTTTCATTGTGTAATTACTTAAATGTAAATGCATACACATACGTATTTATACTGAGATATAGATTTAAGATTACACTCTAAACTTGCCAAAAATGGACAATTGTAAACGGAGTTGCTGTTTCAGGAGAGGATTATGCACCGCATGTGAGGGGCCAGCCGATGCCCGGCGAGGGAACCCTCTGCCTGTCCATCTCCAAGCTGGCCATCTCCTTCTGCGTTCTGGGCCTGATCTTCCTGGTGGCCGTGGTGGTGGCCATCTTCTCGCTGATTCGATCGCGTCGTCGGGAGCGTCGTCATGGAGCTGGCTTGAGTCTGGGACTGGGATTGGGAGTGGGCATCGCGGGGACGAGCACCTCGAACAGCAGCAGCCGACTGCATCGGGATCGGGCCGAGATCTGCACCTCGATGTTCTCATCCAGCAGCGAATCGGCGCAGTCGCAGTCGCAGCCGCGTTTCGGGGCCAAGTTCCTGATGCCCTACTATCCGAATACCCTGCCCTACGGCCGTGTCTACTAATTGCTAACGCAGCAGAGTTTTTTAGTGGGGCGGCTACCCAGAGACTGACGGAATCGTCTAACGAGTGGTACACCAAAATAAGGTCTAACTTTAGCAATATTATCCGTAGTTCTATAACTTTCGGTTGGTCGAAAGGATCTTGAAAGCGTTTTGCAAGCGGTTTGGGGCCAAAATGTGTTTTGATGTCCTTTCGCTGTAGCTGTAAGTAATATTTACATATTAGATCTAAGAATAAAAACCTAACATAATTGCAACTAAATCAAACTCAAACTCCTTTCAAGCTGTTTTGATGTTTTTCGTTTAACTTTTTTATTTCCAAAACCAGTTTTAATTTGGAATAAACGTACTTCAAATAAACCGTTTGCGTGTTTTTCATTAAGATTTTAATTTTATTTGAATTGCGCGCTCAATGCTTTGAACCTTTGCAGATACGATATTTGTTCAGTATTTATTATTGCTTAGTATGGCTTACAATGCCTTTGCCATCTTGTCACACTGGAAGACAGCTGATTTGAGGTAAAAGAAGCAGCACGTGCACGTTGTTGACAGAATTCAAGTTATTTTTGTTTTAAGCCGACTTTCAAGTTCATTTCACCTTGCTGACCCTTCAACATGACCAAAGTAACGCCAAAAGGCCGCCCAAAGGCCAAGGCGCCCTACAAACGCTACTTCCAGGAGCAAAAGCAGACTGAATCGGGCGACGGTGACCTGCAACACGTAAAAGTGTTCAGCAAAAACCGACAGAATTTCAGTGGAGATTTTATCAGTATGCTGAATAAAACGAAGAAGCCGCGTCCTCAAAAGGCTCCTGCCAAACCCACAAAAGAAGAGCTGGAGTCCAGGCCCAAGAAGAATCCCATTCCCAAAGAGATCCTCGACAAGTACTCACGTGGTGAGCAAGTGCAGCCAAAAGGTGTGAAAACGCGACACTTCAAGGAGCAGCAGACGCGCAAGGAGGTATACCTCGAATATGCCACCGAGCAAGCGGCCCGCACAGAGCTCCTACTCCAGGAAACCGCTGGGCAGCTAGAGGCGGATGAGGGCGAGACCACCGCCGAGTTTAGACAGTCCCAGATTGCTGAAAACGTGGATATCCAATCGTCGGCCAAACACTTCAACCTGAACATGGAATTCGGTCCTTACCAAATGCGCTACACCAAGAACGGCAGGCATTTGCTGCTCGGCGGCAGACGCGGTCATGTGGCCGCCTTCGATTGGGTGACCAAGCGGCTGCACTGCGAATTCAATGCCATGGAGAGCGTCGAGGATGTCCAGTGGCTGCATGTGCCCACCATGTACGCGGTGGCCCAGAAGAGCTGGGTCTATTTTTACGACAAGAAGGGTACCGAACTGCACTGTATCAAGCGGCTGAATCGAGTCAATCGCCTGGACTTCCTGCCCTACCACTTCCTCCTGGCCGCCGGCAACAATGCGGGCTACGCTTCCTGGCTGGACGTCTCCATTGGCGAGCTGGTGGGTAACTTTAACACGGGACTAGGAGATATACGCATGTTGCGACACAATCCCAGAAATGGTGTACTCTGCATTGGCGGCGGACGTGGCGTGGTGTCCATGTGGTCGCCCAAGGTGCGTGAGCCGCTGGCCAAGCTGTTGTGCCATTCGACAGCCATGACTGCTCTGGCGGTGGACCCCAAGGGCCAGCATTTGGTCACCGCTGGACTGGATAGGGCTGTAAAAGTGTGGGACATTCGGATGCTGGTGCACGACAAGCCGCTAACTCATTTTCAGCTGCGTTTGCCCGCCAACGAACTGGACGTGTCGCAAGCCGGCATGCTGGCGCTATCGCAGGGTACCTATCTGGAGACCTACTTGGATCTGCTTTCCGGCGGAGGTTCGGGTGACGGAACGCGGTTGCCGTATATGCGCCAACGCTGCGATGCTTTCGTCCACGGACTGCGTTTCTGCCCGTACGAAGATGTGCTCGGTGTGGCCACGGCCAAGGGCTTCCAATCATTATTGGTGCCCGGCTCTGGAGAGCCAAACTTCGATGCTCTGGAAGACAATCCATTTGAGACTTCGAAGCAACGACGCGAGCACGAGGTTCACGCTCTGCTGGAGAAGATTCCGCCCGAACTGATCACTCTGGACCCACAAGAGATCACTGGCGTGGATGCGCCCACGCTGCAAGAGAAGATCGATGCCAAGAGGAAGCTGTTCCATTTGAAGGCGCCGAGCATCAACATGAAATCCCGCCACAAGATGAAGGGACGTGGTGGCACTGCCAAGGCGGCGCGCAACAAACAGATCGTCAAGGATGCCAAGCGAAAGGTGAGTAGTGGGTCCATTCTACTGTTATATCAAATCTATATCAAATCTTCACCCCGCAGGAGTTTATTGCCGAAGTGCGGGAGGCCAAGAAGAACGTGATCCAGCAGCACTCCAACGAGGCGGGTGACAAGGGCAAGGCCAAGGCCAAAGCACCACGCTCCGTCCTGGATCGTTTCAAACCCAAGCCACCCAAAAAACAGAAAACCTGAGCAGAGTTCGTCTTAAGCAGGAGAATATAATGTATACATTAAACTAATTGTAGAACCTAAGCAAAGTCTGTGAGTCTGCATACTGGACGGGAGTCACTAGTGGTAGCCCACTACAGCCTTTAGGTAATCGGCAATTCGTTTCCTCTCCACCTGCTCCTCCAGCTGTTTAACCAAACGCTCCAGCTTCCCCTCTTTATCCAGTACTCTGGCATAGTAGTACAAGTTAAGGACTCGCTTCTGGTTCTCAAACTTGTCCTGCCCTTCGATATCGTTCGTGATCTGCAGCTTATCCAAGTGGTTGATTATCTCAGGAGCAGACTGGAGTAGAGCGGCCATGAAGACTGTATTCAAATGGCGGCAGAGCGTGGTCATAGCTCGCAAAGTACTCTCACCCACAGTTGGTTTCAGCACCAGTTGCGGCAGATAGCTCAAGAAGGGAGTGAATCTCTGTTCGCCGCCGAAGCGCGTGTACAAATCCGATCGCTCCACAATCTCGCAGAGAAGGTTCAGCACCCGAGTGGCAACGCCCTCGCGTGTGGTGAATCGTTGGCTCACATATGCCTCAATGGATGCGCTGAGCAGGCTGGTCAACGGCTCCGCCACGATTTTCATCAGCGATGTCGCGTTTTCGAAGAGCAGCGCACGCATAGAAGCCACCAGGGAGAGCTGCTGCTCCGGCGACAGTGAATGAAGGCGGTTTAAACTCTCTTGCATGTACCCAACCAAATGCGCAAACAGTTGGGTCTGTCGTTCGACGGGACTCGGAAAGAACTTACAGGTCAGCCGGACAATACCCAGGTTTTGCGGCATACAGAGTTCTCCGCCATCTACAGTTCCCTTTTCCTTGGATGACTTCTTGGTGGCCAAAGGCATCTGTTGGTAGGGAAAACGACTGCCGTCCTTGGCCAAAAAGTTGAGCAGAAACTTTTGGGCATAGTTTTTCCGTAGCCAATCGCTCAGTTCCGTGGTACTGTGATCCGCCTCATGCTGCTCAATTAGGTTCCAGAGCAGACTCATTAGGCCAATTACCACATGCAGACTGGCCGCCGCATCTTGGTTGAGCAGAGGTTGTTGCTGCTGCGGACGCACCTCCATCCAGTTGTCCTGGAGAAGTGGAAGCAGTTGCTCCACGTAGGTATGCAGTTGAGTGCCCTCCGCAGTTAGCTTGGATTCATTGAGTATGGTATGCAGATCGCGGTTATCCTGGCGCACGGGACACAGCACATTGTAGTACTGCGGACGCATTTCCTCGAAGTGAACCACACGGGCAGCGCCTGTACTTGCCGTTTTGGAGGTGACTAGCGTGCCCAGGATCTGCTGCAGACGGATGAGCACCTTGGTGCGCCACTTCACAGTAGTCTGCTTGCCCTGACTCAGGTTCAAAGTTAACGTGCGATTCGAACGCTCGTTGTCGTGGCGAGCGCGGGAGATCATGTCGATGAAGTTGCCAATAATGGTGCTGGCACTCCGCTCTGCCAAGAAAGCCGGTGGTACTCGCAGCAGTAGGACGTCGAGCATGAGGAGGGAGTCCTCCTGGATGGCGGGCAGCACGTGGGTCATGGCGCAACGCAAATAGGTGGCTATGACATGGAAGAATGGAGCCACTGCCTGTGGCTGCAGGGCCTCCAGCAGAACGTCAAGGGTCTTGAATGATTCCTGTCGCGCCGACCTCTCCATGTCTAGAGCGCCGGCCGCAATTCCTTGAAACAGCTCGTTCAGATGACCAATTAGATGGTCCGCATTGCCGGACTTCAGGGAATCGCGCACATTGCGCTGTGCATCAGTGCGAAACTTGACACTGTGATGCTTCAGACGGGAGAGCGTCTCCTTGAGATTAAACTGTCGCTGGCCAGTTTCTGAATAGGAGGACTCCTTCAGCTGCTCGCGAATCTCAATTTTGCGCACCTTAAAGTCCGTCTTGGTCACGTTCAGGCCCTTGGGCAGCTTGGCGCCTTTCAGCTTTACCTTGGCCTTTTCTGCACGCAGGTTCTTCTTGTGGTGGCCGCCCATTTTCCTCTAAATCTGCTCTAAAGAATATAGCGAGATTGATTGAAATGATCGAAATGAAAACAATCAAAACATGTGCGCTCCAAGCTCAGCTGGTAGGCAGTGTGACCAAGTAAATATACAAGGTATATGTGAAGTAGATACTATAAAAACCTTCTTTTTTTTTTAGGAGTACTTAAAAAAATTAGAAAGCTTTTTCACTTGTCATTTAATAAAATGATTTATTATATATCTTGTTTAATGCTAACACATCTGATTTTTAAGAACGTATAGTTGGAGCCTGAATATAAACAAATTAATTTTGCTTTATCGTAACATCCTGATTTTATGGTCTGGTCATTTATACATAAGAGCAGTAAATATAACTTTATACGTCAACAATAAAAACCATTTTTAAAGTGTATTCTTTTCTTTAAGGCACTGCATTACTCTTACCTATCATTAAGTTTAATATCCTTGCATTATCTTGTTGCCTACGAAATAATAATATAATTTATTAGATCATGAAAAATTTAAGTAAATTTGTCTCAAATAACTTTTAGGTGGTTTCATATAAAGCTATAAACATACGGAAACATTAATCTTTAAAACTCGAAAGCTTTTAGGATATAAAAAGTGGCATTGCAAAATGTGGTGAAATCAGAAACTTCAGAATGTTCTAGATAACATATAATATATATATAATGTATATAGAAAATCATGTAAAAAATATATTAATAGTTATATTTGTATATATTTTGTATATTTTTAAACGAGAAGTCAATGCTTGAGATAGATGTAAAAAAAATTAAAAATTTTCAAATGAGAAAGTCTTAAAAATGTAATGTCCGATATTAAATTAGAAATGTAAAAACTATATATGGAAACACCAAATCTACCAGAAAACAAACACTTTACATATTAAAAACTAAATAATTAATTGATTTAAGCAACACGTGCTGCCTGCCTATCGAACAATCGTTATCGGGCACCAAAAGAACCTAACGCGTGGCCCAGCAGCATTTCCGCCATACTCGCAGCTGGTCACACTCAAAATTTGTATTTAAAGAGGAGCGTTTTATTGTTTTTGGCATTCGGTTGTGTTAATAACGCTGTTTACGTTGGCGGAGAATTAGGCGGCAAAAGAAACGCAATACCAGAGGCGCGCTCAAAAGAAATTACAAACATACAAAATAAATACGGTAATTTCGAGTGAAATACCCACACGCACACCACCGCACACACACTCTCACACCCGCACACTCAGCACAATTCCAATAGGAACCTTTCCGGGCGGTGAGCACGTTTCGCGTGAATTTCGCCCGTGATTGTAGAGATTTCTCGATCTCTATTCCGGTGGCAGCCGCATTTCTATAATTAAAACCGAAGCTGAACCAGCAACAGAGAAACAAAATCAAAATTTAAAGAAACCTGTCTGCATTATCTGTTTACATTCAAAGAGAGCAGCTGACGCCGCAGCTGTAGATTGGTGGGTGTGAAGTGAGGAAAACACGCGACCTGCTAACAGAATCATTTGTTATTTTTTTTTTTGTTCTTGTAATACCAATAATCGTGAATTTGATTTCGATAGCAATATCCACACATCTAACCACATCGCAACACCAAAAACATATAAAGGAAATAGTGAGAGCGCAAAAACAGCGGTAAATTCGGCAAATTACGTTACACAACCCATCGAAACTGCACCGAGAGAGCGGCAGAGAGCGACAAAAGAGCGAGGAAGAACAAAAGCAGGTCAGTGCACATTTTTAATAATGAATATGCTAGTCTATACATAGTATTATGAGGAAATTAAATTCAATATCTCTATGGTGTTTTGTTGGCTGTTAGTTTTAACATATATAGAAAACCTACGAAAAGATACCTGTGGAATATTCTTTAGCGTTTGCAGTGGCGCAACCGCATTTCTGTGAGGGGGGCCGCTACTGTTAAGACATTTTTTGTAGCCTACTTCTTCAGTGTAACCGAGAACCATTTCGGGATTTGGTTCATTTTGTTTGATTTGATCTATTTTTGCCCTTGGTATTGTAATACACTTAATAACAAATATTAATACACCCATTCCGATTGGAAGACGCAACAGCTGAGAGGACACCGCATATTCTAATTGGAATGTCAGCGCGCGCGTGTGCCGTTGTTTTTGTTTGCGCGTGTGTGCGTTTGCGCCTTCCCTTTTGCCGGCTGCTTTGTTGCTGCTGTTGTTTTCCTTTCCACGTTGATGTTTTTGCTATTACTGGTATTTCGTTTAACACTAGTGACGCTGCAGGTTTTATAATGATTCCGCTCAAAGGGGGTCAAAGTGGCGCGGCCTTGGGCTCTGCTGGCCCACAGTTGTGGACAAAATATTAGGAGCTGCTAAATCAAAATGCATAGAAAATTATATTTAAAATTTTGTGATTTCAATGGGTGTGTAACTGTAACCGCTAACTGTAATATGAGTAATCGTTTAAAAACAAATATGTTTATGAATAATCCATATGTAAAAAACAACAGTGAACTTCCCAGGAAGCGAATACAGTTTCTCGATTAACTGGCTATTTTTCACTGCAGTGCTAAATATGTATTTGTATGGCCCACGGTGTTAATGGGTATGTACATTTTGTAAATGCGTAATTATCAGGTCGGCCAACTATTTTTGTTTTTGATTATTGATTTTCTATGTTTCTTGCTTCTCGTAATTACCGGGCAATTCGATTTTAAGTATCCGCCGGCATTGTTATACTTTGTATTTGTACTTTCCGGTGTGTGGCTGTTGTGGTCACAGCCTTGACATTAGTTCATTTGTATGTGCATGCCATTTACACCCATTGCCCTCATCTGATTTTTGTGGTTTATGTATGTATATGTATGTATTTTCGGGTGGTAGGAAATCGACATTGGGTGGAAGCTTCTGGCATTCTGATATTCCCCCATTTGGCATGACCAATCGAAAAATGAGTAGCTGCAATGGGTTCCTAATCAACTACACATATAAGCGATTTGCACAGTCACTGTTTGCCAACGAATGTGACGTCATGGAGCACGCGAGCGAATTGCTCATACGCCGTGTTTGACCGAGCTTTAATGGGGTATTCCTCTCCAGCCAGCCAGTTACGCACCAGACAAAGATCTCCGCCGATGGAAAGAAATGGGCAATCATTGGGATGGGGTGTTTGCCGCCATTTCACCACAATATTCAAAGTTTCCGGCTGACGTCACATCGGGATGGTGGGGATGGTGGGGATGAAGGGGAAAAGGAGAACCGAAAAAGGAGCGAAAGAGGGTGAGAAGCAGCCGAAAAACAAAGTATAATATCACTTCACTTTCCTGATCTATCAGCATGAGAATGCAGAAATATCTCACGAACTATGAACGTGACTCACACGGTGGCTACAGTGATGACTCGTTGTGAGGCACCAACAAAACCTATAAACTACAATACCATAAGCATGCACGATCGCCTTATAGTTCCAAATTGCCTAACTTTTGGGAAGTTCGCATTCGCAAGCTGAGCTGCGAATTAAGCTGGTGTTTAATGTCAAATATTTGCCACTATACGTGGTGTACCCTGTACTTCCTCCTACCCCACCGCTTTCTCATACGCATCTCACGGATCAGTTACGACTGATTTGTTGTTTGATAGCGGCGTGCGAAAAGCAATCAAAGCTTTTCAATGCCTTTCGCAGTTGTTGCGACATTTGCCATTATTATCGCACCATGACTTGCCCCCAAATGCCCACTGTAATGTACACATGTATCTATGCACATACGTACGTATATGCATACACATCAGATAGATAAGTATATTACGCATACGCCCCAGGGTCCGTTCAGATAGTGCTGTTTGGCCTTGCCTTAAGTTAGCCTTTATTGAGCGGCCTAATCCCGTCCATTGTCACGCACCAGAAACCCACTCGAAATGCCACAGGCATTGGCTACACAGAGCGAAAATTGGGCAGCAATCATGACTGATGATGATTTAATTACGGAAAAATCACATCGCCATGATATGTCGGAGTGTATGGCCTCTTATCGAAACCTTATCAGCATGATGCTTAAAATACATCAAGCAAACATATATGTATATCTTGTTTTTTGCCTATCAATTAACTTCCAATTAAATTGGGCTTTATCGGCATGATGTTTGGAAAATATTAATATCAACACTTTCATGCAAATCAGCTTGACATTTCGATAATTTCTTATTCAACTTCAATTGGATTTTTCAATTTTCACCCCTTTTTTGCTGTGTAGTTCTAGGCCCCACTCTCCACCAGGTGATTTGCTGATGCGCATTAGCAGTTAACCTGATTGAGTAACCGTTTTTACAGCCGCATTGTTAATATCACCTGTGATTGCCATCGTTTTTTATTGCACGTCGTGTCCTTGTTGTACCTTTTAATTGCCTCTGGACAAAAAATATGCATAGTTGCGGTTATTCACGGATTTGGCATGTAAATCAAAGCCATACTACTTTAACATAGTTAAAATTTGAGTTTAAATTTCGTTTGAAGTCTTCTCTAGACAGCTATGAGTGTTCAGTAGCTAGCTGTTAAGCCTCAGATTAAAACCAATGGTGAATTGAATTTGCATTTGGTCATCAAATGTTAAGTAGTAGATCACGATCTCGTGACTAACTGACTTCCGAAGTTCCCCAGGCAAAACTATCTTAACTGAAACTTTATTAAACTTGCTTTATTAGCTCAAGTGCAGTGCACTTAATTAGACGTCGCTGCCAGGAAATGAATTTCAGCAACCGAATGCGATAAGTCGCATCTTTGTTAGCCGTTTTTGCTTTGTTTTGTTTGGCTGTTGTTTTGTTTCTCCGTTTTGGTTGTTATGGCTTTACACTGGCATTAAGTTAGTTGTTTTACGATTATTACGACTCGGACACACAAAACCCAAGGACTCTGAGGGGGAAACGCGATTGGACCCTTCCATAACTGGTTCCCAACTGGCGAGCTATCCGTAGTGTGCTTATAGGCCAACTTGTAGGCTGTGTTGATTTATCTGAAAGTGCCACACATGTGTACATATGTATACACGCCTGTTTTTAATTAGCAATCGTTGTACTGCGAATACAGGCAAACAGAAGTTACAACAAATTCAAGTAAAAACATCTGGAGGAAAGGTGAATCTTCAGCAGATTATGGGACGTAGGTAGATCGACATACCGCTATTGTTTTCATGTTTTTCGCCTTCGAGTGCGTCACTCCTGCCATTCTTCTGGGTATTTTTGTTTGCACTCTATTTTACGCAATTGAACGACGGACGACTGTGGCTAATTAAACAACACAACTGGGAACAAATTCATATACATATACACGCATTCATTTGCACAAGTGCATCAACTGGCAGCAATAACAATTAGCAAGAAACGAACGAAAAAAACCACCGAAAATGATTAAGCCATCGACGCACACGTGCTCTTGCCACTTAAAGCGATCAATTTGAGCGCCAAATGGGGGGTTGGGTGGCTGGGGGGTGGCTGTATAAAATGTTTGCTAATTTCTATAGTATAAACACAATTCACGTCTGTGGAAAGACCTAATCGAGGGATACAAACCTGAGTTTGTACGAAGATCATCGAGCAAATGGCAGCTGAGATCGAAACTCCGTTTTGCTTAACCGTAGGTTTAATAAACTATGAAATATTTGTAACCTCCGCTTAGGATGCATTGAATAGTTAACTATCATGCTATTAATATTTGATGATCAAGCAAATCAAGTGGGTTAAGTAAGTAAGTCTGTACTGAAGCATTGCTTTAATAAACCATGCAATATTTGTAACCTCCGGTTAGGATGCATTGAATATGCAACTCTCGTGCCATTAATATTTGATCAGCGGCAAGAAACTCCTGCTGTAATTGCCCTGCGACTGGCAATCAATTAAGAAATTAATAATCTTACTGACGTGCTTCTCGTTCCTAAAAAATCCCCGCCAGCCGGGTCGCAGTGCCCTGGTTCCCACATGCATAATTCACGCCCGCCGCCGCCGCCACCTCCACCTCCACGTTCAGGGCAGCCGACGGGCCCCCAGTTGACCGGAATCCTCAGGAAGGCCCCTTCCTAATCCATCGCTGCGCCTTTGATGGCCAAAGAGCATTTATTACGTCGCAATTCAGCGCGACGACGGCGACGGCGACGACGACGGTTGTTTTATGAGTCGTATACGTAATCTGAGCGTTATCTTATAATTTTTCCTATGCACTTTGCCTTTGAAAGCCTATTTCTTTTCTGCTGCAAGAACTCGAGATGCACTCCATTTACTCAGAAATCTCGTTGAACTTGAGGGGCTCAGCTTACAGGGCTCTGTAACTTCTTTTGTTTATCGTTCCGCAGAAATGTGCATCGCATCTATGCTTGTGTGTATCTGCAAGTTTTGCTCGTTCCTTGCACTTTTCCCGCGCCCACCGAGTGGCCAGTGGGCCAATGGGCAAATGGGTTTTGTTTTCTATTTCACTGGCTGTGTCTGGCGACCCTGAAATAAAAAAATCGCCCAGTTGTGTGTATGTTTGGCTTTGCTTTGCATTTTCTATTGCTTCTTTCCGCATTCGATTTGAAATTGTGACTGTGCACATAGAAAACGGCGTGTTTGCTAAACATTCACGTTACTTGATGTGTTGCGAATCAAGATCAACAAACATTTAGCAGATGTGCGATACTAAATAGTTCCAATAATTCAAATAGAGTGGAGAATTTTCCTAAGTGCCCAAAATGGCAAAAGTTAAATTGCAATTCCAATTAAGCAAACAAATCTATTTATAAACAGATCAGATAAAGCCTTTTCAGTTTGCTTATTTCAGCTGTGCAAAATTCATGCAGTTCGTTAGTGTTTTCAGCATTGACAAAAGCATATTTGCAGAGGCTTTTCTTTCTGTGTACTGAAAGGCGGATGTTCCGGTTCGCTTGGTTTCCGCCTGAGGATCAAGTGCACATGCTTTATGACTGCTTTACTGACTGCTGAATGTCTTGAAAAAATAGAAAATGTCAAAAACAGCAGAGCATTCAATAAAAGCATGCACATTACGCATACGCAGTGTGGAGCGCCGCGGGAAGCTGCCTTCAGCAGTATTCCGGCCACTTAACTCCACTTTGTTAGCTTTGTTAGCCATATGCCGCGTCCTATGAACTTGGCCTAGCAGCCAGCTAGTCATTTATGCGACTTCGCAAGCCCATTCGTTTTATCATTCTGTAATGTACTACGAAAACGCCTCCGAAAGTTGAGTGAATCAACCCACAGTTCTTGGGCTTTCCTCCTGCCAGTTGTTTAAAATCTAACAAACACAGCCGCAAAATGGTATCATTTTGGCTTCGTTTGCTGTTCTCGTAATGACACGGCAAAATCCAAAAACGCAAGAAAAGCAAATACAAAACAAAAAACTCAAAATCATCGTGTGGGCTGCCCTTCGGCAAATTCGGTTGCGTTGGTCAGGATCAGAAAACAGGCAAATCAGGCAAATAGGCATCGATACCATATACCATAAACAAATTATAACACCTAGATTTTACACCATATATGTAAACCTTGTATTGCATGGAGATTTCCAAATTTGAGCACGATTAAAGATGGATTGAATGGCATAGGGGCATTGCAAATAAGTTGCACAATTGTGAGGAAAAGTTCCTAGCGATGAAGCGACACTGTCGTTTCTCACTTCGCCCAGTAATTTCCTAATCCCGAGTGCACAATGAAAGCTGGGCAACTAAGTGCGCATTATCTAACCCCATACCATTATATATGTATGTGCTATATGTGCAAATAAGTATGTGCAAGTATGCTTGTGCAATTGAGACTTATCTAAGCGCATTTGCATCGTCGCAGTAACTCAGCCGGTAAACACAAGCAAAACATCCCAGCACTATCTTTGCGAACGTTTCCAAGCCCGCCAAGATACGGAAACCCATTGATAGAACCCGCAAGTGTCCACTCGAGCGGAGCACTCCTTGTGCGAGTCTGCCTCCTTGCTCCGCGTTCAACTTGTTGGTTTGCTGTCCCATTGCTCGTCCATCGGCTGCCAGCTGACGAAAATGCCTAGAAAATGCCAGGAGACGATAAGTACTTGCTTTTGGAGGCAGGCTAATAGTCAGACCATGGTGCAGTAAAATGATTGATGCATCCACTCGTATGGCTGTAAAATTCGAAGGCCGAAAGCTGATACCAAGTTTACGATATCGAATTTAATTCGCTGTAACTACCGACTGTCAATAGGATGTCATGTGGATCACGTTGCAAAGTCAACAGCATACCGGCTGACTCCGGATGAGAAATGAGAGGTGCATCTGCACATCTGGTTTGGCCATCGAATTCGATGGTATTTGGTGGCCAGGCTCCAGGTGCTCCCCCAATACTTGCGGCTTCGGATTCCTCGGAATGGGACAAGGCACAGCACCTGCGACGGGAGCAGAGCTTCCAGCGCTACTACCTGGAATGGAATTGTACACCTACTCCGAGTTCGCACAATTGAATCATGCACGAATTTAGCAGGCCAACCAAACGATGATATACTGGGGGCAATTGATTGAAATCCATGCGTTTCCTCTCCGTCGCCGCATTGAATATTATAAAGTAGCCGAAACTTGATTGGCAGTTATTTACAATTCAGATGTTGTTTCGAGTATTTTGTGGACAAAATGGCATGCCGGCCCCTTGCCCGTCTCGCCGCAATCTTTATGAAGCGGTTGTAAATCAAAGCGACAAAGCCTGCTGAAATCTATAAATATGTAGCAACTTAATATATATAATAAACCCTTCTCGCAGATTAGCAGATTCCTTTCGCCGTGCCAGCGACGAGTAATTCTAAATATAATAAATAACTGCTCAAATAGTTATAATGGCACTCGATCGTTTCGAGTGCGTCCCGCGTTCCATGGATCATTTATGGATTGGCTCGGCTCTGCGGGCCCGTTTATGACCATCGTCCAGATATGGACTCCAGCCCCTGCCTCACATTTTCCTTGGTCTTCCGTTCCTTTCCGGCTGCGGCTGCCCACTTGGACCGGTAAACCCATCCATCCAGCCATCTGCCCATTCGGACTTTTCGGTTCGTCGTCAGCCGACTCCGATTCCGATCGCATCGCCATCGCCATCGCCATCGCCATCGGCGCCGTAAAAAGCTGGAGTCTGGCCGCGTATATATTCAGTCGCGGTTTGGCCGTGGAGCGACAAAAACCTTCTGGCATTTGCAAACCCAGAATCGCACATTTGGACACTTCCAAGTCCACTTGAGTATTGAAAGTGTTACCAACCAGCGAGCGAGCCACAGAAAATAAGAAACAACAGGTATTCCCAACCAAAGTGCATAAGAACCCAAGTGCTATTTTTTCTTTTGTGAATTAAAGTATCCTCTTAAGGGATTTTAGGTTGCTCCATCAGTACAAGAAGTTTTTATTTGAAATAATTGCAACAAGTTAACTATCTGTGGATTTTTGTTTCTTCTCTGGTTTTGTGCTACGAATTTTACCAAATTTAACTGAACAGTTTAAAGCTATTGTCTCAGAACATTCTTAGATATAGCGTTCAAAGTTAATTTAATCCTTGAGCATCAGACATTGCGAGCATGTGTAAAAATTTTAAATTGAGATACATTTTAATCCGCGCACTTACCAGCTTAAAAAGCCAGGCATCCGAATTGTTTGTAGTTGAAATACATATAAATATGAAAACGTAGTTACCATCCGCATACAATTACCATTTGAAGTTGTTCAGCTTTGCAGCGCGTTTAGGATTTTCATAAATCTGTGGAAATATAATGGAAGCTAATTTTCAATGGCAATTGCCGGTTGCCAGTTGGCTAATTACACAATCGCGGCGAGAACTCAAAGCGGTCGCTCCAAATTCCTTCTGTAATTCGGATGGATTCCGACCACGATCGGTGGTTTCATTGTGGCCATTATGGTGGTCGCAATACGCTCCACTGGGCGTTAGTTGGCCAGAAACTCTGGCTTTGATTTGGGGGAAGCTGGTGCGGATCGGATGCCGATGAGGTGAAGTCAAGTGAGCTGGACTGAAGTGTTTTTATGGTTATTGTTTGTATTTTTTTTTTTATTGTTTTCATGGAGTGTTTTGGTGGCGGCCGTAAATCTGCGATCTGAAATTTCCGATCCCCAGTATGATTCAATCAGTTCGAGTGGCGCACAGCAACTTGTCGGCTGTCTAAATATATGTGCATATATATTATATATTTTCTACATTGTTACACACATTCACACACGCACGCGATGGCGGCACATGGAATTATACCCAAAAGGCTGATTTACCCACCTTATCAATTATTTGATTAATATTTGGTCGTCGCACCTTATCAATTAATTGACTCAAATGTTGTAAATTGTGCGAGTGTCAAGAGCAAGCAGCGCACAAAAAATAATGCACTCCATTCCGGCACACGAATGCACTTGTGTCCACAGACGGGAACGTAGATAAATTAATTGGATTCCGGCGACTTTCAGCTGAAACTTGGGTTGGGGCCAATGGAGGGCATTGACTGCGCTCGGTGGAGACGGGAAGTGTATCAGCTTAATTAAAGGAACCATTTCAAAATCGCTGCTTGATACTTTGGCTACTCTCCTAATCAGAATTAATGTATATGATGTTTCAGAGGCATCACTGTACTTGATCTTAGTATACGGCTTCGATTTTGGATGCTATTGATAAGGCAATCAAAATAATCGAGGCAGAAATTGCGCTGCTCCTCCTGCTCCCCCTGCTCCCCTGCTCCATGGACGACCCGGTCATATCGTTCATGCAATTGCGCTGGAAATGCAAATTACCAATTGCAATTGCCTCGATTGCAGTTTTCTATGTTTGGAATGATATTGCACAATGCGATGGCTAGTTGATGGCAGCGAAAGTGGAGGAAAAGTGAAGTGAAGTGTAGTGGCATGGGGAGGACTGGAATTCCGGATGATTATGGCGCAGTAGTCGTAGTAGTCTGTTTCAGACGTCTCATTGTATCGATTTCGATCGAAACGGCAGGCAACTATTAAGGTCAGGTCAGGATGGCGATAGAAACAACCAACTTCGATAGGGATAACCTCCACACCGCCTGTGAGTGAGCCCATAGTAACTCGATTTCTTTTCCATATCGTTGCAGCAATGGGTCTACTAAGCGAGGGCAGTCCACTCTCCTGGGAGGAGACCAAGGCACTGGCTGATCATGTCCGAGAGCATGGAGTGAATCAGTTCATCAACCTGTACCACAGACTCAAGGATCGCCAGGGGGACATTCTGAAGTGGGGCGACGAGGTGGAGTACATCATTGTCAAGTTCGACGATGAGCAGAAGGTGGCACGTGTTGCGCTGCGCGCCCAGGATCTGCTGGCGCAGCTCAATGAGAAGGAACTGGCCGATCCCAAGGGCGTCAAGTCGCTGTGGCGTCCGGAATACGGAGCCTACATGATTGAGGGCACACCTGGCAAGCCCTTCGGCGGCCTGATGGCTCACTTCAATCTGGTGGAGGCCAATATGCGCTATCGTCGCGAGGAAGTCACCGAGCTGTTGGCAAAGGACGAGTGCGTCATGTCCATCACGAATTTCCCGCGCCTCGGCGCCCCCAATTTCACCTATCCGCTTGCCCAGCCACGTCCCGAAGATCCTATTAGTGCAGCCCGCTCGCTGTACTTCCCGGATGAGGCCATCTTTCCGGGTCATCCGCGTTTCAAGACCCTCACCCGTAACATTCGCAAGCGACGCGGCGAGAAGGTGTCCATCAAGCTGAAGGGTGGGCATTTTATTCTATAACTAAACTGAACTTAGCTCAACCAACTAATTGTATAATTGCCATTACAGTTTTTAAGGACACGAAGACCAAACTGCCGGTGGAGGGTGCTCCGCCTGGAGAGCCGGATGTGGTGCTCCTGGACGCCATGGGCTTCGGCATGGGCTGTTGCTGCCTGCAGCTAACCTTCCAGGCGTGTAACATTACGGAGGCTCGTCGCCTCTACGACCAGCTGGCTCCCCTCTGTCCCATCATGTTGGCTCTGACAGCCGCTTCGCCCATTTACAGGGGCTATCTTACCGAGTCGGACTGCCGCTGGAATGTGATTAGCTCCTCTGTGGATTGCCGCACAGAAGAGGAACGCGGCCTGGCGCCGCTGGATAAGCAAAAGTTCAGGATTGCCAAGTCGCGGTACGATTCGATTGACTCGTATTTGTCGCCCGAGGGAGCCAAATACAACGATGTGCCGCTCACTTACGACGAGAAGGTCTATAAGCGTCTGGTGGAGGGCGGCATCGATCATCTGCTGGCCCAACATGTGGCCCATTTGTTTATCCGCGACACCGTGTCGCTGTTCAGCGAGAAAGTGCACCAAAATGACAACGAGGATACAGATCATTTCGAGAACATTCAGTCCACCAACTGGCAGACCATGCGCTTCAAGCCGCCGCCGCCGAACAGCTCCATTGGATGGCGTGTCGAATTCCGACCTTGCGAGGCCCAGATCAGTGATTTCGAGAACGCGGCCATCGTGTGCTTTGTGGTGCTGCTCACCCGTGTGATCCTCTCCTACCAGCTGAACTTCCTCACGCCGATCAGCAAGGTGGACGAGAACATGCAGACGGCCCAGAAGAGGGATGCCTGTCGCAAGGAGAAGTTTTGGTTCCGCAAATCCTCAAAGACCACGGAGCAGAGGGCGGCCAAGGCACAAGCTCAAGCCCAGGCCAAGACCAATGGCAAGGCCACTTTAAATGGAAATGGACTGGCTAATGGCAATGGCAGCGAGAACGGTGACCAGGAGGAGCAGCAGCCTCTGACCAACGGTACGGCCAAGATGAATGGGCACGGAAACACCAATGGCACCACTAACGGGACGACCAACGGCACCAATGATGGCGCCGATAGCGATCATACCGACACCGATGACGAGGAGAACGAGCTTTTCCAGCTGCTTTCCATCAATGAGATCTTCAATGGAAAGGTGAGTGAAACCACATCTATAATGATGTTTAGAAGCTTATGCCATCTACGTCCAATAGCCCAACGTGTTTCCGGGTCTGGTACCATTGATCCGCAGCTATTTGCAGTCCATGGAGGTGGACACCGATACGCATTGCACTATTGAACAGTATCTTCGCTTTATCGAAAAGCGTGCCGCCGGCGAGTTGATCACCACGGCCACCTGGATGCGTGAACAGGTGCTAAGCCACCCGGACTACAAGTAAGTTGTATCCCTAGAACCAATGCCTTTAGATGAACTAATCCAATATGTACATTTTGTAATAAACAGGCAGGATTCCGTGGTGAGCGAGCGCATCAACTACGATTTGCTGAAGCGCATACAAGGCATCCAGGAGGGCAAGCAGGTGGAGCCGGCGCTGCTCGGACAGGGCTATCATTCCAAGACAAAGACGAAAGACTTCATTCCGCCGGCTTTGCAGAAGCAGCTGGCCAAGAACGGCTGCTGCGAGGAGAAATGATCGAGAAGCGCGCTGCGGACGCGTCCAACGCAGCTGGCCGCCGGTGGCCGGCGCATGTGATTCGGGTTTTGTGGGTCCGTTCGGATGGAGTGCGGCATATATGTTGAGGGCAAAGGCGGAGGCATCGGCAAAACGAAACGGAATGGCTACGATACGGATACGGAGCAACATTTATCAATATTAATTTAATAGCATCATTTCAAACGGATTAACAATTAGCGTGCACCAGGATCCCTATTGTGGACAAATGTTTTGCGGCCGTGCGTGACCTTTTGGAAATGAAAGTCAGGCAGACAAGTTGGAGGATAAGGAGGATGGATTAAGGAAAGGTTATGGGGCACACGAGGATCCACCTATCAGAGGATCCCCCGCCAGCCAGGAAATCCTCCGCATCATCATGCTCTCGTCGTCGTTTCGATGGGACTTCGAGATGCCCGAGCCCTCAATCACAGCCGAATTGCCATAGTTAAATAGAGAGCTAATGGGAACTTCGAAATCTACTATATACCAACGTCAAGAACTACAGCAGCAATATAAATCTCAACCAAGTGCCGTTCCACAAGACCTACAAAAATATGAATACATATAGTTCAAAACGAGGCAAGGTTAAAAGCGTATTTCTGTTTGTTTTCGTTTACATCATATATATTTATTATATTATTCCTATTCTTATAAATGCAAGTACAATGAAAAGTTGTTTATTTTTTTTAATAGATATATTTACACACAACACACGCAAATACACATATGTCTAAAAGTGGCCTGCTGTTATTAAACTAGATATGATAAGTACATATAACGAAAAACAACACTGTGCTATTATAATTTATTGTGTATGTGATTGTTTCACCATTATGATACGATTATGATTTATTGTGACCACAAGCAAGCAAATAAACAGAAAATATTGTTGAATCTTTAAACTTAATCGAATTGGGTCGTCTAGGACATAGGGACTTTTGATATGATGCCTTCTAAAGCAAACAAAAATTGTAATTATATACTATATATGCCTAGTGAACGTTATTACAAAGGGAATCGCCCTGCGAACTGTAGTCTAAAATAGCAAATTGCGAACTTTCTGAGACGGTTATAACTTATCAAAAAGAAAAAAGCAATATATATTATACATATGTGTGCCACAGGCAAAATGTTTAACCGAAATACTTGCTAGCATTTAAATAAAGATTTTTATAACGAAGCCCAATTATTTGCTTGCCCTTAAAATCAGTATTTTTATATAAATCACTCCATGTACTGTCCCCCACAAGCAAGTTAAATATTCTATGCAAATAAAGAAACGTTTTGCTGAAAACAGAGAGATCGAGCTTTCTTCCACATTTGAATTATAGCGCCAAGTTGGCACCCCACAAATATCGATAACGATAACAGGCCGGCAGCTCCCACTTCTACATTATGAGAAGAAAAGCAAATAGGAAATAAAAACAAGTTATTGGATAAATGTTTGTTGATCCCGCCGCCCTTGCTTGGTTAAATAGTGAAAACTTAGTTAACGCGACTTGGTTACCCTCAAATGCTGGTTACTGGTTAACTTGTATTAACTGATTGTATAAAACAAAATATAAACAAACTCTAATCGCCGTTAACCCTTAAGGTGTTAGCTTGCGGTTTTTTATATTTAGAGCGATAACGACTGCGATAAATCGACAACAGCTGATGCCAAAGCGCTGATTTTATGTGCGATTTAATTTTGAATAATATTATATAATGGTGAAAGTGGAGGTGGAATACTGGTGAGGAGAATCACTAGCCACTGCCAGCACTGAGTAGAATAATCATAACAATCAATCCTCCTGCAGCGGCATCTGCAACTTCAGCGGGCAGTGCCACCTGCTGCGCGAGTTCCTGCTGGCCTCGTCGCCCGACTTGGACATATCCTGCCGCCAGGGACGGCGGGGAGCCTTCGAGGTGGCCATCGACGGTGAGCTGGTGCACTCGAAGCTTTCCTGCTTGGCATTTCCCCAACACGCGAGTGTCCTGGCCCAAGTGCAGAAGGCGGAGCGCGGGGAGCCCGTGGAGAAAGTCCTGGAGCAGCCCATAAAGGACTGCATCGTGATGTGATCTCCTCGTGATTTCACTTGAAGTAACCTACTTTCATGCATAGACTGTTTAAATAAGATAGATTCACGCTTCCACCAAATCATACGGTGCTGGAACATTTGGCACCCTTTCAAAACCTGTGATATATGGCCCTTCGTTTATAAATATGGATATACTCTCCTTATGTGCATTATGCATAGTTTACTGAATTTAAAAATGGGAAACGGTTAAAATACTGTCGTTGTGGGCTTACATTTTATTAAAAAATAACATAGGTCCTCACAAAAGGATGGTTTAGGTGATCTAGACCAGATGATAATTCTTCACCGCCTGTAGCGATATCGCTTGAAGTGGAACCACAGCTGAAAGATGTTATTGTGGAACTGGCAGCGGAAGCCCCGCTTGTAGCTGAACTCCCACTCCCGGTTGACGATCTTGAAGGCGATATCCTCGTACGGCGGTCCTGTGTGGAAACGCAGTACGGCAAAGTCCCCGTTGTCCGCGCAGGGAGTGAGGAAGTACTGCGGCGTCTGAGATTTGTCCATAAGGTCCGGATAGAATATGTTGAACTTGTAGCCCTGCACGATCTTGGGCGGCGGATTGTCCATGTCGTAGTGCGTCTGGTTGTACTTGTTCCACTCGAAGCCGGTGTGCACGCGATTGAAGTAGCGCGGCTTTCGTGGTCGGTATTTATCGGTAGCCAGCTGAGGCACTGCATCCAGGGTGGTCTCCACACTGAACTCGGCCTCGTCACCCTGCATTCCCTGCCTCGCCTCGTTGCGCATTCGCAGCTCCTGCGGTGTCAGTTGATTGGTGTCCACTCGTTCTGGATGAAGGATTAGCAGACGCTGTCTCTGTGTTCGCCGCTCATCATCCTCCTCCTCGTAGAGGACTCCTTCTGCCTCCGGCTCGTCGTCATCTTCGTTTTGTACTCGTCTGCCGGTAAAGTCCTCCTCGCGTATGTAGCGCGGACTGTAGTTTCCGGCCTGGTAAAGACGCACTGCTTCACGCAGGTCCTTCAGGGGATCCTCTTCTTCTTCGGGTGAGCGCTCACCGACCTCCGGGTCCTCTGCGGCCTGGGTTTCCATCTCCTCTTCCTTGATTTCTGGTACCACCTCCTCCTGCAACACCTCATCATCGTTTTCTCGTTTGAGCAGCAACAGCTTCTCACGCAATAAGGCCTGATGGCGATCTCGCAGTCGAGCTCTGGCCATGTGCGCCTTGAGTTGCGAAAGCAGGCTCTCCCAGTAGCTAATGTCCACGCCATCCGCTCGCCCACTGATCTTGGCCTCGATGCGCTGCCGCATCTCCGCTAGCTGCTGTGCATTCTTCCCCCTGAAGATATCTGCCACATCTTTCACCACCGCCTGGTGGATGCCATCCCGGCGTTGATTGAGCACACTGTTGTCCGCCTGCAGTTTCTGTTGGCGTTGCAATTCGTCTTGCACAATGGTGATCATATCGTTCCAGAAATCTATGTGTTTGTCCTGTTCCAGCTCTTCGTATACCTTTATGTCCACCAGCAGGTCCTCCAGTTCATCCATGGGCAGGCCGTTAAGCAGAACATAGGGCTCGTGCATCTGCATCTCGAGGGAATCTTCGAGCGGCGCATTCCCAGCGGCCACATATTGAGCGAGGAGATCGATGGGCTTGGCACGACCATCGCGGATGCGAATTTCGCTGCGTAAGCGTGCTTGCTCTAGGTGAAACTGATCCTCCTGACGCTGCCACTCGCGGAACTGCACCGCCTCCTTGGCGCGCTGCTGCATCATTAGATCATCCTCGCGCACCTGCCGCTCCAGCTCCCTCTCCTGACGCCGTTTCTTGACCTTCTCCAGCTCTCTGCGGTTTTCCAACTGTTTTTGCAAGGACAGTACCTCTACGGTTTTGGTGGAGAGATTTGATAATCCCTCCACCTGCAGCTTTTTGCCCCAGTGGAATGTGGAGGTGAGATTGGAGTCGCCGAACGGGTTGTCATCGTTGGAGTACGTCTGGTACTCGTTGTCCCAGCCCATTCGTTCGCGACGCCGCTGCTCCTTGGCCTGTTTTTCGCGGAGGCGACGAGCGCGCTTCTCCTCGGGTGTTTCATGGGCCTTCAGCTCCTCCTTCTTTCGCTGGCGATCCTTCTGCTCGATGAGACGACGGGCTTCCAGCGTTTTAAGCAGTTTCATCGAGCTCTTGGCCAGCGGCGAACGAGGGCCACCGGGAGCCGTGCTGGACGTCGAACTGGACGAGGATGAGCTGGAGGAAGAGGAAGAGGACCGGCGCCTTCGACTCTTGTGCTCCCGCTTCTTGTCCCTGTTTTTGTCCTTCTCCTTTTCCCTGCGCTGATCGCGTTCCTTGTCTCTGTGGTCCCTGTGGTCACGCTCCTTTCCCCTCTCGCGTTCACGACCCCGATCCCTGTTCCTGCTGCTCTTCGGATCCGGGCTGCGATGCTCCCGACTGTCGCGACTGCGGTGCTTGGACTTCTCCTTGGGCATCTTTTTAGAGCGGTTTTTCGGTATAAAATGTGGAGAACTTGTGAAATAAAATATAAACAATGTTAGTGCTGCCAGATGTTGAAAACAACTTGAGAGCAGACCAACCCAGGTTGCCGACTGGTAATGGTAAAAGTCCTATCGATGTAAGCAGTATAACCTAAGCATTACGTTGTTTTCGTTCTCGTTATAAGTCGATAATTTGTTTTACCAAGGCGTAGTTAAAAAAACAAAAACGCGCGAAAATCGCATAAATATCCTTTCTTCAAATAATCGAGATAAATTGACGTATCGATATTAGTGTAAAAGGCTTCTCATCAGTGATGCCAATTAGCCTTTTTTCCCGTTTTTTTTTCTCAATCTGTCCTTTTTTTCAGAGAAATATTGGCATCCCTGATACAAAGTGCTACTAAATTAAGCTCGAGCTGTAAGTAATTAAATAATAATATATTATTTTGTCATACTTATATTAGTGAGTGAAATAGTGAGGTCTTTAAAGTGAGTAGTAAAATTTGTCTTAAATAAAGCCTGAATATTATTTAACTTACTGTTGGAACACATAGTTATTGCCGCTTTTAATATTTGTTTGGGAAACATATTTTCTTGTAGCCCTATAATTCCCAATTGGTTCTAGCGAAGACTGTATGGAATGTCTTCTAATTTTGAGTTGCAAAGTAGTTCTCTCTTACCGGTCGAGCAGTGAGTGTAGTGTATGTACCGGTGTATGTAGGTATGTATATATGTGTGTGTATGTATGTATGATGTATGTATGTATGTGTGTATGTATGTATGTATGTATGTATGTATGTATGTGTGTATGTATGTATGTATGCATGTATGTATGTATGTATGTATGTATGTATGTATGTATGTATGTATGTATGTATGTATGCATGTGTGTATGTATGTATGTATGTATGTATGTATGTATGTATGTATGTATGTATGTATGTATGTATGTATGTATGTATGTATGTATGTATGCATGCACGCATGCATGCATGTATGTATGTAGTGTATGTGTTACTTGCAGAAAGTAGTAAAAATTGTCTTAATTAAAGCCTGAAGAACGTTTCACTTACTGTCGGAACACATAGTTATTGCCGCTTTTAATATTTGTTTGGGAAACATATTTTCTTGTAGTCCTTTAATTTCCAACTAGTTCTAGTGAAGACAGTAAGGCATGTCTTCTAATTTAGAGTCACAAAATATTTCAAGTAATCCCTCTTACCGGTCGAGCAGTGAGTGTATGTGTAGTGTATGTGTTCTTAAGTGTGATTACTTGCAAGATCACATTGGCATCCCTCTTGAACAAATAACCAGGCAAATGTTATTCATACAAGTGTTTGAAATGTTATAATATTTATTTTAAAATAATTCATAAAAAATATTTAAAATACAATATAAAATTCTTTTTAAGAAATTGAATACCCTACACTGAAAGGGATATATATTTTTATGTTTATTCGTATACAATTTGAAATTTTCAGGCTATTTTTTCCGTTATTTTTCTCAATCTGTCCTTTTTTTTTTTTAGAAAAATATTGGCATCCCTGCTTCTCATGCACCTAGCGCTATCGCCTACTATCGAGCCCGCGAACTCGATGAGTGCCATTACTCGATATATCGATACAATCCCAAGTGGCCAACCCAGCTCCGCACAGAAACCCGGTTGCCAAAAAATTTGATGTGCATTTTTTGTATTGAAACCCGAGCACGAGAGCCGAGCTACCAGCAAAAGGATTGTCGAGATAGCCCGCCACTGCGCTGAGTAAGTAGTGTTTCTGGGAAAACAGAAAGGAAAAGCAGGAAAAGCACGGCAGACGGTGGAAATTGAGCGCGGCAAAAACGCCAGCGACAAGCCACACACACGCGCGGGCACGCACACACACAAGCACCCGCACAAAGCCGACGCACGTACGGCTCATGCAAAACACGAAACACAAACAAAAGGAAGGCTATTCCCGACTGTAAGATACCCTACTTCCAGTTTCGCAGCCACTGTGAAAGATATGCGGCTTTCAAGCGGATCACTTTCTGCAAAGGACCAAGCTACAGTCCCGAAATTCTAATTTAAAACATTCGCATCCTAGAGAAAAGTGTACGCATTCACTAAAAGTGTCAGTTAAACGAAGTTATATAGAGAATATAGCCTTTCCTCTCGTTGGCATGTTTATTTACTTTTCTTTGCGAAATAGCCCCATGGACTTTTTCAACAAGTGGCATAGCAGGGAACGCAAATGTGTGTGTTTATATTGTTGGTGCATTCTGTAACTATAGTTAAATTGTCTTGATTCTTAGCTGTGGGGTGCAGGTACGCCGTTGCACTTCACAGGGTCTAACGCTTGGCTTGCGTTGCACGACTAAAGTAGTACTAAAGTAGTATCAGTCAAGCAACCAGAAACTCATAGTTCTTCTCTTTTGCAACCTTGTTTCTCACTCCAGTCCGGTGAACAACAAACGACACTGTCCCCGCCCTGTAAACGCCTGCAGTCCGATTCATCGCTTTCCCGTTGCCTCGGCTGCCGCCATCCTCCGGGTGAAGATGTCCGACTACAGCGACCTTGACCGACAGATCGAGCAGCTGAAACGCTGCGAGATCATCAAGGAGAACGAGGTGAAGGCACTGTGCGCCAAGGCCCGCGAGATCCTGGTGGAGGAGGGCAATGTGCAGCGTGTGGACTCGCCCGTGACCGTGTGCGGCGACATCCACGGCCAGTTCTACGACCTGAAGGAGCTGTTTAAGGTTGGCGGCGATGTGCCCGAGAAGAACTACCTGTTCATGGGCGATTTCGTGGACCGCGGCTACTATAGCGTGGAGACGTTTCTGCTGCTGCTGGCGCTGAAGGTGCGTTATCCGGACCGCATAACGCTGATCCGGGGCAACCACGAGTCGCGCCAGATCACGCAGGTGTATGGCTTCTACGACGAGTGTCTGCGCAAATACGGATCGACTGCCGTGTGGCGGTACTGCACGGAGATCTTCGACTACCTCAGCCTCTCGGCGATCATCGACGGCAAGATATTCTGCGTGCACGGTGGCCTGTCGCCGTCCATCCAGTACCTGGACCAGATTCGCAGTATTGACCGCAAGCAGGAGGTGCCGCACGACGGGCCCATGTGTGACCTGCTCTGGAGCGATCCGGAAGACCAGACCGGCTGGGGCGTGTCGCCGCGCGGTGCTGGCTATCTATTTGGCTCGGACGTGGTCTCCCAGTTCAACCGCACGAATGAGATCGACATGATTTGCCGTGCACACCAGCTGGTTATGGAGGGCTTCAAGTGGCACTTCAACGAAACCGTCCTGACGGTCTGGTCGGCACCCAACTACTGCTATCGGTGAGTCATCCTCCTGGGAAAATTGGAAATTGTCTTGCTAACTCTGTCATCCCTTCACATGCAGCTGCGGCAATGTGGCTGCCATTCTGGAGCTGAACGAGTACCTGCACCGCGACTTCGTCATCTTTGAGGCGGCTCCGCAGGAGAGCCGCGGCATTCCTTCGAAGAAGCCTCAAGCGGACTATTTCCTGTAAGACGCCCCCGCTCCTGACTCTGACAATCCGCTCGAATGGTCGCGGAACGGGAGGCGGGTGCCCACTGGCGGCTTACAAAAAGCATGTAGGGAATAGGAAACTGCCAGCCTGCATAAGGAAATCAAACACTAACAGCAACGGATGGTGTAAAACAAAAAAGATGTAACATAAACGTAAGCTAGGATAGAGCAGCCTGACACAGTTCCACGTTCAGTTACAATTACTCTTTTTTTTTCTCCCAATTATATTTTTTTTTATTACCATCTGTTTACCTACCTCTATCTGTGTTTAGTCAGGCTATTTACGCGATCGTTTTTGCTGGAAATGGAAAACATCTAGAAATCCACATCATAGATCGCGTACGAACCTGTGCACCGCATCTAGCTACTAACTAATAGGATTAATGGCCAGTGCCCGGGATTCTTGCGAATTCGCCTGGCGTAGACGGTCTGCAATCACAGTCGCCGTCTTCTCGACGCGAATTCCCTGAGCTCGGGCAGCACACTATACTTGTAGCGTAGGCTAAGGACATAAATATTATTAACGACGGATTGTGTTGAGTCGGAGAGATAGGACGGATTTAGGGTAGCTGGGTGCGAACGTGTGGAGTCGTCGATGTGTTAATTGATTAGGATACGACTTCGCATGTCTGGTCGGGACTTTCTCCGCAAGATAACAGCTGGAGAAAACCACACACGAAGAACAACAGGTAGTAATTTATAGCATGTAAGAATCTTAAAAATATGCCCCAGATTAGGATATTATATACAAATAATTATACTTGTATTTAAAATAAAGATTGTAAGCTAATCAACGAAATTGCTGGTCCCGATGAGTAACTTTCGCAATCTAATAAACAATCAAGTTTGCAGTTTCTCAGTTTATTAAGCACTTAAGAACTAATCATAGTATACACATAAAAAAATAGTTGGTTATATTCCAGAAGGGCGCTTGTGATGCAGTAACGGGGTCGTCCAGGGTCTCAAATCTGCTTTCAGTGGTCCTCCAGCTCGAGTCCGTGCTCCTTCATTTGCTCGTAAATGCATCCTTCGAAGGCGGAAGCAGCATCGCAACTGGAAATGGCAACCATGGCAATGGATTATGGTCCGGAACTGGGCTAACAAACTCCGGCGAGCACTACTCACTGATCCTCGGGTGTCTCGATGGCCTCGCACTTGGCCACCACCTCGGCGGGAGCGTCCTCCTTCTCCGCATCCTGCTTGCTCATGGCCTTGACCAACGCGATGGCGTGCTCCTTGTTCAGCTTGCCGGACTCATCCATCTGCAATGGGAGTGAAAAGGTGGTGAGCGGAGCGCCTTCATGCCGGAGCAGCACTCACAATCTGCAGCTTCTTCATCACGCAGGCGCGCAGGCACTTGGCCTCCTGTCTTTCGGGCAAGTCGTGGCTCATTAGCTGCTCCACATCCTCTGTAAGTGATGGATCGTATTAGATAGATCATGAATAAACTGTTCCTGCTGCTATATCCCGATTGGATCCTCCCCACTGATGACCATCTGACCAACGACTCACCATCGGTGGCTCCGGTCTCAGCCTTGCACTCGTTAGCCAGCTCAGTGGCATGGTCCCTGTTGATCTCGTCGTGCGGCTTGCCGGTGGTGGCGCCCAGGCAGAGGAGGCCCACGAGGAGCAGGACGGACAGGTGAACTAGATGCGACATTTCTATTTGCGATTGGACTGCGCGACGTGCGAACTCTGACTTGGATGCGAGTCGCTGGCGACGTCGGCGTTTTATAGGAGCTATTGCCAAAGCCGAGTCCCGTGATTGGCTTGACAGATCGGATCCATCGCCTATCTCCAGCCGCGTCTCAAGCAGCTCCGGCAATTACGCGCAATTATGAACTACATGTGCAGCACATGGCACTCCACTCCGCTCCACTCAATTCCACGCTACTCCACTCCGCCGTTCTGGACGGGATGGGACGGGATCCGGCGGAGATGCCCTCGACTGGGCATCGTGTGAACGAGTGACACCCCGCTGGAACTGCCGCTGTCAGATGAGATGGCCCACCGATCTCCACTTACCTGCCTAATTGGTGACTGGCATGAAATCGCTGCAAATGGTGTGGATATAGAATTGGGAATGGCTATGGAAATGGAAATGAAAATGAAAATGCGAAATGCAAAATGGGAAATGCCGCTTGTAATTAAATTGTTCAACAGCTCTAGGTGATATGAGTGATTGTGACTGGCGGGGCCATGGAACGATTATATAATTATATGGAACTGGGCAAACTGGGAAGTGCGGTTGTAGCCTGCAAATTGGCCGTTTAGGCCATAATATACCCTTCATATGTCCGCCTATTGCCCATTTTGCCCGTCGGCTTGCCGACTTTCTGATAATTCGAGTGCCAGTGATCGCAATCTGAGTTCCAGTCAGACTGTTTGTCCTTACATCGGTGGATACTTCAGCACGCAATCTATATTATGGACTCCAATAGATGCCAGTATCAGTGTCGTGTGGGCATGTTGCATGCTAATTTTGTATTCCAATTGGTGAGAGTATCATTAAGATCTTTAGCAGGTCGGAAGTCTGTGTGATTGAGTATTAAATTCATAGTAAATCATCCGTGAAATTGGTCCGGGTCATAAAATACGTACATAAAACCCAATGACCGAGTTTCAGGGAAGCGGCTTAACTTATTTTTAATTATTTTTTATATTTTCAAATGGGTTAAGATGGTGCAACATCTTGGCAGAACTATCAGGTTTCCAGATTAGTGATCTAAATCAATGCGACTGTCATTGTCTCGAGTGAAGTGACACATTGCTGGATAGTGTTGGCCAAGTCGAAGATCGTCTTTGGAGCGTGACCAACGGGGGTGACGCCGAGAATAATGAACTTGGCACTGGAGAAATGCTCGCAATCAGCAAAATCGAGCGATAAAGCCATGTGCAGACGACTATGGTGAGGTCATGGGTCACTTTATAAGCCAAGAGCCCCAGCAAGAGCAGAGCCAAAGAGCACGCAGCCGCCGAAATGAAGCCATCCACTCTAGCCGCAGCCCTTCCGCTTATGACGCTCGTGGTCGCTGCCCTGCTGCAGACGCACTGCGTCCGTGGCCAGAACCAGGCTTTCGATCTCACCAAGCTGTTTCCCAAGACCGGTGTGGAGCCCATATGGGCGGTGATCGATCGCAACTTGCCGCAGGTGCAGAAGCTGGTCACCACGGCCAGGATGGAGTGCATCCAGAAGCTGCAGCTGCCCAGGGATCAGCGCCCGCTGCTGAAGGTGACCAATCCCAGTGAGAAGGAGAAGTGCCTGGTGGAGTGCGTGCTCAAGAAGATCAAGTTGGTGAGTAGCCGTGGGCACGTGGGGCACAGCCATGTCTAAATAGTATTAATACCTCTTATTCGCGCCCAGATGGACAGCGACAACAAGCTGAACGTCGGCCAGGTGGAGAAGCTGACCAGCCTGGTGACCCAGGACAACAAGATGGCCATCGCCGTCAGCTCCAGCATGGCGCAGGCCTGCAGCCGCGGCATCTCCTCCAAGAACTCCTGCGAGGCGGCCCACCTCTTCAACCAGTGCATCAGTCGCCAGCTGGAGCGCAACAACGTGAAGCTGGTCTGGTAGAGGGCATCCATGGGCATCCGCACCACAAACTGCCACTAGAGATCTTAACTCGTGATCTATGCGCCCATATATTAAATTTTAGACATTAGTGATGGCAACGCACCTTTTTGTAGTACTAGATCAATTTTAGTTGCCCACTCGTAATTGATTTGAATAAATCCATATATAAATTATTTCATTTCCATTTTTGCACATTCGATGGAATTAAAACACAATCCCTCCTATTTCGCATACCAAATTACGTATGAATTCCCACGCCACCCGATAAATATTCAGCAATTAGTTGGCTGGTTGGGCGCTTTATTAGTTTAGGAAACCACCTCGGGTTCTCGAGCTTTGGTAATTAAATCGAACTGAATCACTAACAAAAAAAAAATAGGAGAACTTGCAATGGTGGGCCAGCGAGCAGCACAATGAGCTCATTCCATGATCTCGGGAATCTTGAAGCCCGAGGAGCGCATCTCGCGCAGCATGCACATGGCGATCTTGTGGGCGGCCTCGCACCTGGAAGTTCGTGTTTGTATTCATGTATCATCTCGTGTACTAGTGTACCACACTCACTTGTCCTGCTCCGCCTTCATCTGTTCGTTGCAGGTCCTGACGATGCGCCGGCCGTCGTCCTCGCGATCCGGGAACATCATGTTGATCATCTCGACGGTCTTGTCCTCGTTGTACTGCATCTCACCCGCGGGCATCAGCTCGAACTGCTCCAGCATGCAGTGGCGGAAGCACTTGGTATCGTGCATGGCGTCCTCCTTGTTCAGCACCATCTCGACGATGTGCACTGCGGATGTGGCATGGTTATGGAGTGGCAGGATGCGGTATGCCCAGCGGTGCACTTACCCTTCAACGGCTTGGGGGTGCAGCCTTCGCCGAAGGGCTCTATCAGATCCACCACCTCGTCCACGCTCATAGATATCTCCTCTTCGTCCGCCATCGTCGATCCCATCAGCATGGCGACGCAGGCCAGTGCCAGCAGGAGGTTGGTCATCTTCAACGTCGTCGTCATCCGGTTGCTCTGCCTCATTTTTGCTCCTCTTGTGAATAGTGGACGGACAGTAATCGCCGCCGGGCAATTTATAGCCGCCGCAATCGTGTCCAGCACATCCGGTACAAGCCAATCGCCTCGGATGTAGATCACCCGGCGATAGCCATGACATTGCTGGCCGGATCATGCAAGCCCCACCACAGCCATCCATCCATCGCAGCCCAATCAAAATGCACCACAGTTGTCGGTGCCCTCCGGCTAGCTTTATTGGTATCACCTGGTCAGGGGATTGGGTTTGGATTCGGGTTTTGGGCTTGGGCTTGGGATTTCGGGCAAAGAGATACAACTACTTCATTTGTTGGAGAGTCACCTGTTCCAGATGCCAAAGTGTGATGCATCCGCCATCGCCATGGCATCCAAGGCCTAGGGAAAAACGAACACATTGATGTTGTTCTTCAGGCAGCTAAGCAGGGCGTGGGCAGGATCGCAGTTGGGCGCGTTCTTCAGGCCCACGGTGGAGTCCTTGCACAGGTTGATGCCCTTGCGGTATGCGTCCTTGTAGCTGTCCGGCAGCATGATGTCCATCTGCTTGAGGGTCGGCTCCAGCTGGAACTTTCCCTTCTTGATCTGAGCGGAATCGAAATCAAGTTTTAGTTTTAGTGCCCTATCATAGTTGAATCTTTGCAATACATACTGCCTGCATCATTTCCAGGATGCAATTGATGTAGCAGTTGGAGTCCTTGCTGTTGGGTATGTTCCCGTTGCGGATGTTGTCGGCCACCTCCACGGTGACCTTGGGATACTTGGGCAGGCAGACGTCGCGCATCAGCTTTCCGGCGGCCCACATCTGCTCCTCCGTCACCTGCAAGTGGACAGTATCCATGAGGCACCCCGCGGCACAGAGCGCTTAAGGACCTACCCCTGCCTCCGACTGGGGCAACGGTCCCAGGGATATGGCGACACAGATCAACAGCAGATGGAACTTCATTTCGGAGACGTTGTGGTGGATTCCAGACTCCGCAACCATCGGCGACTCCTTTTATACGCGGCCCCCGACATGCAAATGACTTCATATTGGTTCGATCGAACCGCTAAGTGGGTGTGGGAATTATGGGTTAGCGCCAATCCCCGCCCCCACTGCCCATTTCCATATCGAAATAGGAGCTGTGTGGTGTGTGGTGGCTGGTGGGCGGTGCGCCTGGGCGGATCACTTGCTGCCCGGACTGTAATCCCGTCACATTAATTGACAGTGTGGTGTTGGGTCACCGGGCGAGGTGACATGCGAGGCGCGACTCTGGCCGAGATGCGTTGACAATCCCATTGCCGGGTCGCATATCGCATATCGCCACTGTTTTCGATCATGCGAATGCAAATAGGATTTCAATCTGAGTTCTGCTGGGGCGGTTCCAAATGCGGTTCCAAAGTTGGAGCCCTTTAGATACTGCGCTCCCAGCTTCCAGTTTTGAGCCCATGTTGATATCGTTTGGCCTGATATCAATCCAAAGATAATCATAAGCTCTAATCATGATATTTGTGCATTCAGGGGGCTAACATAATATTTATTTATTTAAAATAATTATTAAATAGAAATAATTTTTACTAATTTAATTTTATTTTGGGTCAACAAATCAAATGATTTCATACTTGAACCCTTAGATTTTAAGATATACCTTGCTATACTCAGAAAAATATTGCCAGTCAGATAACAAGGACTCATTTTTTGTAAACATATTTTTAAGTATAATTACCAAGCAGACATCCAAAATATAAACCATGCAACCCCTTAAGTAAGTCCATTACACTCGCTTTAACCACCTATTACCTTGTAGGCAAATGAGTAGTTCTGTTTGATTAGCATTCAAACTAGTTGCAAGTTGGCATTTATTTGGCGAAATATATTTCATTTGTGCATTTAGTACGACTGATGACGTTGAAATAAGTGGTGTTGCGTGTGGCATGAGCACAAATCGCTGATAAAGTAACTGCAATAGGTAATAAATGTAAATTATAAATCACAAAAGGCTTATATTTGCATTGGTATAACTAAAGCTTATTGCTAAATAGGCCAGAGTGTTTACTTTGCCGCTAGGTGATAAATATATTTATGGAAACCCTCAAGCGCATACGTAATAGTCGAAGAACTTTCCACTCCTTTCTTTTCAAAATGTTCATGCGGACGGACAGACGAACGGACAGACATCAAGAAACCGGGTTGAAAAGGATTTCCTCTGCCTGGTTCATACTTTTCTACGAATACAGTATACCCCGATACTCTGCGAGTAACTGGTATACAAAAAGTTTATCTTAACATATTCGATAACTCCAGATAACTCTGGTTTTTAGCCTAAGTCGGATAACTCAAAAATATTCGCTTTCATATCTCAATTTCCATTAATAGGTATCCCGCAGCCGATACGAGACTACAGCGTTCACTCCATTTGGGATACCCGAGACGGCTGTGACGACTCCAAGTGACACTTCCTTCATTCCGAAAGCCAAAAAGTCACAATCCGAGTCCCGGTCCAAAATACAGGTCGAATATCGTATCGAATCCAAATTTTAATCTCTCTTTTAAGTTCGCAGCTGCGCCCATCCGGTCCACAACGATCCAAAGATGTCTGACCAGTTCAACTTCAACGACGCCTTCAACAGCCAGACCATGCGTGGTCGCGCCAATGTAAGTGATCCCATGTACGCATCCCATTAACAAGATGCGCCAAAATCCGCCTCCCAAACCCCAAACCCACAGGTAGCCAAGGCCACCTGGGCCTCCATGGGCCTCGTCTACGCCCTGGTCAAGTTGCACCGCCGCAACTCGAAGCGGCGTGAGGCGCAGCTCTACTGCAAGGGCTGCCAGCAGGCCATGCTCCATGCCTAGTCCAGCCCCTTGTGCCCACTCCTCCGGCCCGTGCCCAATCAAAAACTAGTTACTATCCCGTTCCCGTGTAATCCCCGTTTCCAGGTGCCCGATGACCGATGACCGATGCCCGATGCCACAGCTTCAGGCTTGGGGCCAAAACTCATGTACCTTGTTCAATCAATAAAATTCGAGTCTTGCCAGATTCTGAACAGATTTTGAGCTATAGTAGGCCCAGCTTCGGACTTCGCTCCCTGTCATTAGGTTCTCACTCGGAGCTACAGTCAGAACGCACACACCTCTCACCCGGACCCAAACCCAAACCCAAACCCAATCTCCAGATCCAGATCCAGATCCAGTCCTAACGATGGCCGACGGCTTTAAGAAGTACTTCAATGGGACAACCCTCAATGGACGCGCCAACGTAAGAACGGTTCTATCCATCGCCTTGGAGCTGGTAATGTACACAAAAGAGTGCTCAACATGAATTTTGAAAGCTGGTTGAGCATCAGACACATTTTCAGCTTTGCTTAGTATAACCATGCTACTTGATAAATAGTGAATTAAATTGTAATTTAAATACTCCGCTGATACGAGACTCAATTCGCAGGTGGCCAAGGCCACATACGCCACGTTGGCCCTGTTGTTCATCGTGTACAAGCTGCGCCGCGGATCAGGCAAGGCCGGCGAGTTGGCCAGCGGCAAGTGCAGCTGCGAATCTGACCACGGCTCGTCCCTCAATGGCGACGTAGGCGTCTACGGCGTGGATCCCGACTGCTCCGTGTGCCGGGAGCGAGCGGACCGGGCCATGAGCGAGTTCGATCGCGAGCAGCAGCGGCGGGCGGCGGGCGAGGATGGCAATGGGTGTCGCGACGATCCGCCGCCGCCACCTCCTCCACCCGCATCGGGTGGATCCGGCTCAGCTGCGCGCCGCAAGTGTCCCTGCGAGGAGCCGCAGCGGCGAGCGGAGGGAGCCGCGAAGCATAGCAGCCACAGCAGCAGGTCGGGGGGCCATCAGATCCAGCCGCCACATCAGTACCAACAGTACACGCAGCCCGAGCCAGAGCAGGTGCGTCCGGCTAGCCAAGTGTTGGGTCAGGTGCACGACGCCTTTTTCAGGGTGCTGCGAGGAGTCGTGGGTGCCATTTTGGGCAATGCGGCGGTCAACACCAGCGGCACCGCTACTTATGCCCCTGCACAGCCCGTCGCAGTGGAAGTCTCGCGGGATGAGCTCGATGACGAAGAGTTTGACGACGACCAGGATGATGAAGTGCCGTTGAAGCGCCGCACGGCACCGCGCTCTTGCGTGCCCACCAGGAGTCAGCCGAAGGGCCAGAAACAGGCTGGCGCCCAGCCGCAGTCGGATGAACAGGCGGAGTACAGCGCCTTCAACGATGGATTCACTTCCGGCCTGTACTTCGCCGACGAAAAGTAGCTTGCGTGCTGGCGATTTGGCGAGGTCAGGGAATACGCTTCTTTCGATCTGCAAAATTGTTAGTCTAAAATATATGCGATGAACTGCATTATCTTAGCATTATGCCGAAATAATCCATTACTTGGCGCCCCGGGTGGATTCCCTTCTACCAAATCGAAAAGAGGGTTGCTTATTTATTTTTAAAATTTTATTTAGCTTCCGTTTAGTTCAGATAGAGTTTTCTTTGCGGCATCTAACTTTTAAATAGATCATCATTAGAAACGTATTCAGCCCTTTTGTGTTCTCGGGGCCATCAATATCAATTACATAGCTTATTAACTGTTTTGGGCGGGGTTCGGACTCCGAGATGAATGGGAATGGATTGGGTTGGATTGGTTTGGTTTGGATTGGATTGAAGTGGGTTGCGTCTAACGTTTAAGCCTTGTGTATAATTATGAGTGGACTTCAACTAACATTTATATTTAAATTTATATGTATATATAATATAATATGGAAATAACTTTAACGTTTTGCTTTTTGGTTTCATTATGCGATCGACCGATTCCCTCGCTCTCTCGCCGTCTCTCTCTCTCTCTCTCGCTATCTCTCTCTCCTCTTCTGCCTCCTTGCCATCTCGCTCGCTCGATTCGTCGTCTTGCTCAGATTCAAGTGCTAATTTAAAATATATGTTTATACGTGTATATATGTGTACGTGTCGCGTGAGTGGGTTTAACTTGAAGGCTTCGTGTGTCCTAGTGAGTGAGGATCCTAAACTGCTGGGAGATTCGCCTTCCAAGGCTCCAAGGTCTCCGACGGACCCTTGATCGATTTGTTCGGTGTTGCGGCAATGCGGTGACTCGTTAAATTAATTGTTCAGGTCGGGCAGGATGGGTGGTCAGTTGGACAGTGGGTTCGGTTCAACCCTCGTGGCTAGCCACCGACTCCAGGTCGCTGTTGTCCTCGCTGCCGGTGGCCTCGGTGGGTTCGCCCATGGCCACGCGTGCGTACTCGTCCGTGTCGATGCTCTTGCAGAAGTGGATGGCGTACTTCAGCTTTTCAAGGAGCACGGCCTGGAAACAAAGGGTTTGGCATTAATCAGAGCCCGTGTTGGACGCAATCGGTGGCCATTGTCTTTACCTTGCACGAGTAGCGGGGCATCTTGAGCAGAAAGAAGCACGTGTAACTCTCGGGCAGGAAGTGGTCAGGCGGATTCTTCTCGAGCACTTGCAGCACAAAGTCGCGGCCACGGAAGTCAGCAATGGTACGTGGCAATCGGGTGCGACCCCAGACGAACCGCAGGAATAGAGAGCGCTCCTGAAAACGTTTAGTTTCAATTAGGCAACTGCTGCAGAGGATGCAGGGGATGGTACCCACCTGATTCGTGAACTCCTCCATGACGTCCCAAAACCAGGTGACCAGGGCCGAGCTCGGATCGAAGCCCTTGTAGGTGGCCACCGACTTCAGCAGGCCCAGCGGAATGTCCGGCGAGCCGCAGACCATCGCCTGCAGCTCCGCGGCGGAGAAGAGCGAGAGCAAAGGCACTGGAATCACCTTGGACATGCCGTCCCGAACCGCCTTCACCTGCTCGTCGAACTCGTGCAGACGGAATCCGAGCGCCAGGCGCACATACTCCGTCCGATTCTTGGGCGAGATGTGCGTGTAGCGCGTGGACAGCGGCACCTCGTGGCCACGGGCCGAGGACGTCGAGAAGGGCAGCTCCAGCGCATTGAACAGCTTCGGGTCGTCGTCCATGTTGCGGATGCAGAGCAGCCCGGCCACGTAGTCGCGGTCCACCTCGGTGAGATCCGTGGGCCGTAGAACCTCGCCCGTCAATTGGCGCCAGACGGGCTCAGCCAAACTGAAATGTCAAAACGCGGGCGTTAGTGACTAGCTCGGTGACAAGGATCGGGACACTTACTTGATGCTCAGCGGCGATCCTGTGCGCACGGCGATGCCCATGAGGACGCCAAGAAAGCGGAACATGTTCATCTGGAGCACCGAGGACAGGGTGGGGTCCAGTAGAAAGCAGTCCCGATTGGCGCCCGCCTCGCCGCGCCCGTTGGGCGTGTTGATTAAAAGCGGCACGCTGCCGTTCTGCAGCTCGTCGCACATCTCAGCGATGGACTCGCTGTAGCCACCGCCGCAGTCGTCCACACTCTCGCCCACGAACTTCACCTTCCAAACGCGGTGCGGCAGAGCCAGCGCCTCCTGTGTGAGCAACGGCAGCTTCTGCACCATCTGGCCAAAGACGCTCTTCATCCCATCGACGCCGGCCAATCCGTTGCATCGACTGCGTGACCGCTTCACCTGGATGCGATTAAGCTCGATGACGGGCCCGTGCTGCTTGTCTCGCACCATCGTCGTTTGGATGACCTTCCGGAAGGCGGCCTCCTTGATGTTGTACACGAGCACATCCTTCAGTGCGCCCAGACTCAAGTCGCCGGAGATGGGCAGCATGGCCAGGCAGGGGCACACCAGCTCCGAGAAGTGGTGCAGCAGGATAAGGCGGGCGTGCAGGGCCTCCGGCGCCAGATCGCGTACCAGGTCGTACTCCAGCGGTGGATTGGGCAGCGGACGCAGGCGCTCGCTCAGCTGCGATGTTGATAGGGCCAGCGTGTGGGCGGATCCGCAGGTGACCTTGACAATGTGCTTGCCCTGGAGGGCGGCTACCAGACGCGGCCGCTGAATGGCTGTAACCGTGCCGTCGCCCAGCTGTCCCTCGTCGTTGTCGCCCCAGGTGTACACCTCGCCGGAGTCGCTACAGGCGACGCAGTGCAGCGAGCCAGTGGCAATGGAAATAATCTTTTTCCCTTGCAGAGCGGCCACCTTCTTGGGCCGTCGGACATGGTCAACGGATCCGTGGCCCAGGCGATGGAAGTCTCCTTTACCCCAGGTATACACCGCTCCAGATTTGGTGAGTGCCACCGAGAACTGCGAGCCGCACTCCACTTTGACCACTCCCAATCCGGCCAGACTCTCGATCTTGTACGGCAGCTTGCAGCCATCGCTACCGCCGCGTCCCAGTTTGCCGTAGTCGCCATCGCCCCAGCTCCACACATTGTCGTCGTCGGTGATGCACAGCGTCTGGGCATCTCCGGAGCCGCATGCAATGTCGATGGCCCGATAGCCGAGCAGCGCCTCCACCAATTTGGGTCGCAGCTGGTCCTCGGAGTCGCCGTGTCCCAGTCGCCCGTAGCGTCCCTTGCCCCAAGTGAGCACATGGCCACTGGCCGTGATCGCCGCGGAGTGAGCACTGCCGCAGGCAATGTCCGCCACGCTCATGCCGTTGAGGTGCTCCACCAGCTTGGGACGGTCGTAGCTCATTCGGTTCCCGTGGCCCAGCTTTCCGTCCTCGCCCTCGCCCCAGGCGTACACCTCGCCCTCAGTGGTCAGTGCCAAGCAGTGTTTTCCGCCGGAGTTCACAGCAACCTTCTTGACGAACACGTGCTGCAGGGATCCCAGCAATGTGGGTATGGCCCAGCTGTCGCTGCCACCGACGCCCAGTCTTCCTCCGGATCCGTAGCCCGTGGCAAACAGTTTGCCATCGGGCGTCACCGCGAACAGGGATTGCTCTCCGCCAGCCAACTGAACAGGTCGGAGCAGGCTGAGCGCCTCGCACGGCGTGGGCGTTTTGATGCGGCTGCCTTCCAGTCCGCCAAGCTGCCCGCGGTGGTTGTGGCCCCATCCGTAAATGGTACTGGCTCCACCCCAGCTGAGTGCCCAGTCGTCTGGTCGCCGGTTTAGCCACTGCAGCAGTTGGGCGTCGTGCGGAGCTTGAAACAGCGTGTGATCCTCGTGAATCAGTGTGCTAGTGGACTCCAACTGATGGGCATGGCAGTGCAGATCCGGCTGCTCGCTGATGATTCCCGGCGGTGGAGACACATTGCTGACCGTACTAGACGACAGTGAAGTTGTCGAGTTCAGCATGGACGCTCCGGGCGATTGGCAGCCAGGATTGGCATTGGAGTTCGAGCTCGAATTGGGCAGCATTTCGGCGAACTTCTTGCGCACCTCCAAGCAAAACGCTCGTGGCAGTTCCGTGCGCTGGATCAGGGATTGGGCCACTCTAACGGCGATGCAGTATCGCTTGAACCAGGCCCACTTGTGGACGTCGCCAGTCGAGGAGGTGGCACCCGCAGCTGTAGCCGACGACGATGTTGAAGTGGTGGGCAGTGTTGCATCGAGCTGCATGTCGCAGGCCAGTGCGGCCAGTGTCTTGAAGTAGTCCGAGTGCATGAGATGGATGCCTCCGCGCACCTGCGGCTCCTCGTACTCGTACTGGCGCAACAGTTCCGGTATTAAGGGCTGGAGCAGCGTGGACAGCGATGGATCGTGTGGTCGAGGAGCTTGTTCCAGCAGCAGTACGGCGTGCAGTTTGCGCAGCGACCATATCCTCTGGGCGGTGGTGAGGGCGCCCAGTTGTGAGCAAGCTGCCAGTGCGGATGCCAGTCGGAGCAGAACACTCGGCTGTCGAGGGGCCAGTCGGGAGTCCAGCAGCGACATGACCAGTGCCATCGAGGGTTGCGACAGCACGGCCCGATCCGATCCACTCTCGCCCAGCGTGGCCGCCGGCATGATGGCGTGCACCCAGAAGCGCCAACCCCATCCGTTCACCGAGCTATCCGAGGAAAATTTCCAGCGCAGCTCGTCACCCGGCACACGGATCTCCGGAGCCCAGTGGGCAAACTCCCGGCCCGAACGCATAGCGAGCACCCGACCAGTGCCGTCCATGATCACCAGGGGATCGTTACGCTTCTCGGTGCTGCACTGGCTGTCGAACTCCAGGCGCAACATCTCCGCACCGGGGATGCGCACCACTCCGGTCACATTCACGTTGTCCACGTAAGGGTGGCTGCTCTCCTGCATCACTGGCTTGGGCAACTTACCGAGGCAGTGGCGCGAAGTGCACAGGTCCTCCAGTTCCGTAATACACGTCTCAAGGAGCATTGCGGCCACTGGTGGTGCCCCAGCTCCCAAGGAGATTAGGGTGTCGGCGATGGTCTGGGCTGTGCTTGGTGGTCCGCATCTTCCGCAAACTGCCAGCTTAAGCAGCTCCACCAGACTCTTGGCCTCCGGCTCACCCAGCAGGCCGCCGAAGTCGTCCAGGCCGTGGCAGT